AAGCCAGCGAAGGCCTATCTCGTCCGTAGTCCATCTATTAGGACTAACCTCAATCCTGCTATTGCATGGGAGTTTGATATCTTGATACCAATCCTTTATATGGATCTTTCCTTTAAAGATCACACATGAAGGAAGCACCCAACCGGTAGAGTTAATATACTTGATTAAAGTAACCCATTCTCGATTGCCTGGTTGTACAAGAGAGGTCTTTCTGTAGTAATCAGCTCTAGTAACTATTTAAGCAGTAGCTACTAGGCCCATAGCAAAGCCAGTTTTGTTAAAATTATAGATATCTTCTTGTGCGATCCTGTGTTGTATTATAGTGATTTGTACGCGATCAAACCACTCTCTAATAACTTTAGGGTCTTCGCATTTAGCGCGCCGATAATCGTAATGTTGAGTATAGCGAGTTTTCAAGTGATCTTGTTGTTTAATAAAGTTGTATACCTATTTCTCCCTGACTGATTGGATTGGTGTAGTACCACGCTGAGCGAGTAGAATATTGGCCATTTCTCGTATATGAGAGGGTCGGGGAGGCGCTCCACGTCAATCTAGCGATAGAATCCATTGTACGAGCGATTCCTCTTTATTTTGAGTCATTTTATGATTATTGGCGCGTATTTCTGCACGTGTAGTAATACCATGAAGTCGCCTGCGGATAGTTCTCTCAGCAACATTATAAACACGAGCTGCTTCACGAATACTGCAAATTTCTGAATTTTTTACAGCAGAGACTGCTAGTAGGACTCTTCCTTCCTTTTCGATTAAATCTCTTGGATTTTGACGCGCTTTTGGAGGCATGGTTAGTGGTTGAAATGAGCGAGGTGTTTGACCGCGATCAAAATTTAGGAGGTGCGGCGCTCGCTTACGTGCGGCGCTCGCTTACCGGATACGTTATAGACAAGTATTATTACTAAGCTTTACCAAAACATATAGTTACTTAAAGACAGTTATACTGAGCATAAAAAACAGAAATAGCTAAATACAGGAAAGAGTGTCCTTATATCCTATTCTTTGTATACTATATCCTATACTATTCAGGGTAGATCGAGGATCAATCTAATCATGTTTCTGGATTCCCATATACCTTCCATATACCCTTAATAGTAGATCTGATAGTAGATAATCACATAACACAGCACCACTCCGGATATTACTGTTACAGACCCCTGCTAGCTGAACGGACTAGTGAGGCGGACTCGCCAGGCAAAAAGGCCACGCCTGGAAGGCAAAGGATTCTTATCGAGTAAAAACCCGATCCGAGCGACCTACAACCAGGACGGTTACACAACACGTGACCACGACGGACATGTCACCGACACGCTATAACATGGCAGCGCTACGACAGGACATGGCAGCGCTACGACATAACATATCGGCGACATGACATATCATGGCGACGCCATGACGAAGGATAGGATATAAGGACACTCTTTCATGTACTTAGCTAGTTCTGTTCTTCGTGCTCAATAACACTGTCTTTAAGTAACCATACGTTTTGGTAAAGCTTAGCGACAACACTCGTCCGCACTTACTTACGGATAGCTGCGCGGCACTATCTGGCCTTACTTCTCTTCTTCTGTTCAGGACCAGTTCTTTAGATAGTCATCGACCTGACTTACCTTGATTCAGTTCAAAGGTACGCCTTGGAATAGAAGCTAAGCTAACAGGAACAGGGAGAAGCGATCCTAGGGTTTGACAATTACTCAGACCAGGATTCTACTTGATAAGAGCTGCTGGTTGTCCGAGTCCTGCCTTGTCGTCACTTTTCTGCCTAACAAGTCCGCTCCGCTAGTAACCTGGCTAGCAGGGGTCTGTAACATACCCCTCTACCATAATTTTCAAGGGAAAAGTCTATATAGAAGAATGGTTCGGCGAATACAACCTTCTACACAACTAATATATTAAATTATCAGTAAATAGATGGACAAATAATAACATTGGCCTGTAGTGGCTTAAAAAGGTTTTTTTACCTGCTACAAATACTCAAAAAGTCGGCTAATATAGACTCCTTGTTCTTGACAGCCATGGGAGTCATTTAATGCCTGAATTTAACAAGCTTTGTAAGGATAATAAAGTTATTTCTATCTGCATACTTGCTTAATTATCTCATCTTCTGCAATCTCTTGATATTGGCTGTTTTAGATCACTGAAGCAGGCGTATGACTGTCTTATTAAGTCAAGAATACGACTTTCATATAATTATATTAACAAGCTTGACTTCTTATCTAAGTATTCCACTGCTCACCGGGAGGTCTTTAAGCCTCAGAATATTCAAAGCAGCTTCACTGCAGCCAGAATACACCTATTTTACCTTAAAAGAGTCTTTAAAAAGCTTAATATTATATTATATACACCGACACCCCCCTCAAGCCGCGGGGGGCAGTCTGCGACCTCCTCCGCGCTTGTAATACCATATACGGTCAAGCAATTGCAGAGACAGGCAGAGTCGCTTAAAAAGCTTTTAAAAAGAGGATCACAGAGTCTCTCTACACCTTCAAAACATGCTCTGCAACAAATTATTAAAGGCGCCTAGATCTCTCTATATAACTGTACATAACTGGCACTTGAAAACCATGAACTCCGCACTGTAAATGAAAAAGAGAAGAAGAAGGCATGTTTTAAGCGACAGATAACTTCTACAGGCAGCCTTATAATATAAGAAGGTATAGACCTTGTAGTAATAAGAAATACTTATGTGAATGTAGAGGTAGGACTCTCTACAGATCCTACATCTTCAACTTTAGACACGCCAAGACGAGCTCTACCAACATGTTCTTTCTGTCATATTCAGGGCCGTACAAGAGCTCAATGTTCTATACGTTGTCAACACCAAGAAAATTAAAAATAATGAATTTTGCGTTGTTGCGAATGGCTTCAAGTTGTAGAGCGTGGTCGAAAAGCGGGGCGGCGGTCGGATGACCCGTGCGGTCGGTCGTCCCGTGAAATACGTTAACGTATTCCACAAGCGAGTCGGCACCACAAGCGAGTCGGCACCCCAACGCGTTTTCACCGCGATCAAAAACCTCACTCAATTCAACCACCAACCATGCCTCCAAAAGCGCGTCAAAAATCAAGAAATTCAGCCGAGCAGGAGGGGAGAATTTTATTAGCAATCTCTGCTATAGAAAATAAACAAATTACCCAAATTGCTAAAGCTGCACGTCATTATAATGTGCCTCGTTCTACTCTACAAGATCGACTACGCGGAAAAACAAATCGCTCAGAAACACGTGCCAATAGTCATAAAATGACTCAAAATGAAGAGGAATCGCTTGTACAATGGATTCTATCGCTAGATCAACGTGGAGCGCCTCCCTGACCATCTCATATACGAGAAATGGCTAATATTCTTCTTGCTGCGCGCGATACTACCCCAGTTCAATCAGTTGGAGAGAACTGGGTCTTTAACTTCATTAAACGACAAGATCGCTTGAAAACTCGCTATACTCGATGTTATGATTATCGGCGCGCTAAATGTGAAGACCCCAAGATTATCAGAGAGTGGTTTGATCGCGTACAAATCACTATAATGCAACATGGGATTGCACAGGAAGATATCTACAATTTTGATGAGATTGGCTTCGCTATAGGCTTAGTAGCTACTGCTCAAGTAGTTACTAAAGCTGACTACTATGGAAAGGCCTCTCTTGTACAGCCAGGTAATCGAGAATGGGTTACTTTGATTGAGTATATTAACTCTACTGGTTGGGCGCTTTCTCCATGTGTGATCTTTAAAGGCAAGGTCCATATAGAGAGTTGGTATCAAGATATCAAACTCCCACGCGATAGTAGGATTGAGGTTAGTCCTAATGGATGGACTACAGATGAGATAGGCCTTTGCTGGCTTCAAAATCTCTTCATTCCTACTACTACTAGCTGTACAACTGGAAGATATTGTCTTCTTATTCTTGACAGCCATGGCAGCCATCTTACGCCTCAATTCGATCAGATATGCAGTGAGAATAATATCATTCCTATCTGCATGCCAGCTCATTCTTCTCACAAACTTTAATCTTTGGATGTGGGTTGCTTTGCACCTCTAAAGCGAGCATACAGCAGCTTAGTAGAGGAACAGGCACGTTCAGGAATCAATCATATCAACAAACTTGATTTCTTAGAGGCCTTTCCACAAGCTCGTGAACGCGCTTTTCAAGCAGATACTATTCGAAATAGCTTCGCAAGCGCTGGCCTAGTTCCATTCAATCCAGATAGGGTACTCAGTCAGCTGAATATTCAACTAAAGACCCCTACACCACCAGGCAGCCGGTCAACTAATTCAGCGCCAAAAACGCCTTATACAACTAGGCAGCTTGACAAGCAGGCATCTACAGCAAAGAAGCTGCTTAAAGCGCGTACGCAGAGCCCTTCATCTTCGCTAGAAATACGATTTGATAAGCTTATTAAAGGTCATGAATTACATCTTAATGAGCTTATTCTTGCACGCGAAGAAATCCGCAAATTACGCGCTTCTCATGAAAAGAAGCTTCAAAAAAAGAAACGCTCTACTAGACAGCTAGCTATTACAGAGGGATCAGCTATTAAAGAAGGCCTAGAGCGATTTCAGCGCGAGAATGAGGTTGATGAAGCTCAAAATACGCTTCCTATAGATCCTGCACTTTCTGCAGTTGAGCCACGCGTACGAGCGCCACCACGCTGCAGTAATTGTCATATTCTAGGACATAGACGGCTACAATGTCCTACTCGAGTTCCTAATTAGTTTTTATATAGAAATGCAATTATTTTGTTGATAAAGCCTTTAGTATTTGGCCCGCGGGCAGAAATTGGAGCGGGGGTGCCGGCTCGCTTGTGGTGCCGACTCGCTTGTGGAATACGTTATATGTTTGACTAATCTCCCCGGATCGAGTGGTTCCAATCCCGCGAGCAGCAGCTTATCTAAGCAGCGTGTCCGATCACGCAATATCACCTTAACCCCATCAGGAAGTGCATCTATAAATTCCCCATAGCTAGATGACTACAATTCCCCCAGTTTTCTGTGGTGTGTTCTGTTAGCAATCTCTGAGATAGGCTTATCGACGTGGATGATGCGCTGAGTGGGAGAAACGTGATCGTTATCTGCAATTACTGCCCGTTTCATCTCCGCGGAATTGAGAAAACTTGGAACCTTAATCGATTGACTGCGTTTCTCCGTGGGCATGCAAAGATAAATCTACGCGGATCTCCCCATTCAGACTCTCGCTTGCTTGGCACTGGCATTTCATTTCAAACAAGAGACTTGACAAAACTCGAGGAACAGTTCTGAGCATAAGACTGCAAGACCCCGCAGTGGCAATTTCAAGATGAGGGATGCATCGGATAGCGGATCCTTAGCACCTTTACTGACGGCCGTGAACGTCGAGTCCCATGTGCATTTGATCATCGGGTCCAACCCTCTTGCAGCAGCTCGCTGTGCTAAAAGCATCGAAGCTGGTGCAGAGCCGGTCCTCATTGCCCCGGACACAGAGGAACTGCAGTATACGTTGGTCGAGCGGATTGAGAACGACTCCGTGAAATGGATCCGCAGAGAGTTCGAGGGTGCCGATCTTACGAGCCTAGGGAGAGAGGAAGTCGACTGTGTTGTAGACATGGTCTTCGTCACTTTAGGCGGAAACAACCCAACGAGTGCACATATCTCCAAGCTGTGCCGTCGTCTGAGAATCCCAGTGAATGTGTCCGACGCTCCGGACCTCTGCACATTCAGCTTGCTGTCCACATACTCGGATGGCCCTCTTCACATCGGTATTACGACATCAGGACGCGGCTGCAAGCTGGCCTCCCGACTCAGGAGAGAAATCTCGTCCGGACTTCCATCAAATCTCGGGAATGCCATTGACAGGCTTGGTGCAGTGAGAAAGCGCCTCTGGGCCGAAGATTATGCTGCCGGACTGTGCGATGCACCTCTTGAGGGCGACGAAGATGATTCGACCGGCCAACGGCATACTTTCAACACGTTAGTCACAGAAGACGATATCTCCGCAGCCAGAACCCGCCGCATGCGCTGGCTATCTCAGATTTGCGAGTACTGGCCCCTTCGCAAACTGGCCGCTATCACCGATGAAGACATCAATGCCATCCTGGAAGCGTACTCATCTGGCAAAGAAGGGCCCAAAGATATCGGCGGCCGGGAGTCTTTGTCAAAGAAAGGGAAAATTGTTCTTGCCGGCTCTGGCCCAGGACACCCAGACCTACTCACTCGCGCGACATACAATGCCATACAAACAGCGGATATCATCCTCGCCGATAAACTCGTCCCCGCACCGGTTCTGGAACTGATCCCACGCAGGACCGAAGTCCACATCGCGCGCAAGTTTCCAGGCAACGCAGACCAGGCCCAAGAGGAGTTCTTGAAAATGGGAATAGACTCTCTGCGTCGAGGAAGACACGTCCTTCGACTGAAGCAAGGCGATCCGTACCTCTATGGCCGGGGAGGCGAAGAATTCGAATTCTTCCGAGCTGAAGGATACACACCAGTAGTCCTTCCCGGCATCACCAGTGCACTGAGCGCTCCCCTCTTCGCAGACATCCCCTCCACGCACCGCGGCGTGTCCGACCAGGTTCTGATCTGCACAGGCACCGGACGAAAAGGCGCCGCCCCAGAACCCCCTACTTACGTTCCCACACAAACCGTCGTCTTCCTAATGGCCCTACATCGTCTGTCCGCGCTCATAGAATCATTGACTACCGAGCCAGCAGAGGGCTTTCGTCCACGGATCCCCTGGCCACGAGACACTCCGTGCGCAATTATCGAGCGCGCCTCCTGCAGCGACCAACGCGTCATCCGGTCCACATTGGAGCATGTCAGCGCAGCCTTCGAAGCTGAGGGCTCGAGACCTCCCGGTTTGTTGGTGGTGGGTGCTAGTTGCCACGTTCTGCATCCCGCTCAGGGTCAGAAATGGGTCGTCGAGGAGGGATTTCGGGAGTTGGATGAGTTGCTTACGGAGGCTACCTGTCGGGATGAGGCTTTATGATCGTTAGGGACGGTTTTCACTAGATCTGGATTTTGTTGCATAGATACCCACCCACCCCATAGATGAAAGAAAAATAACGAATACATTAGATGATTGTTACGATCTCTATCTGCATGTAATTTGGTCAATTTTGCTGCTTTGAAATAATTATTGTCCAAGTCCAGAGTCTGGGTTGTAATGTGACCGGTTACTGCGGCATCTATGCATCAGGCTCGGAGTGTAAGAGGTACGTAAAAGCCCTTGGAGCGAGACCGACTTCTGAGTTGCTCTCATGCTGATATATAACTACATCGCCTCTTGTTGCTCGTAGCTGTCAAAGGTGCTCTGCATTTCTATATGGAGCTGATCTCAGGTCATGCGGCTTGAAATGGATGGAGAAATAGCAGTCAAAAGTGATGGTGAAGTGAGACTCCCTCCGAAACATATCTGATAAATGTGGGATTATTCCTCGTGTGATATGAGATGACGCAGTTGCAGTTGTGTCCACAAGAGTCACGGATCCTCCCAGGTGGTACGTTGATCAAGAGGTCACCTTAATGACTCTGCGGGAGAGAATCTGGGCGACTTTGTCCCGCTGAGCGTTCATCTGCGCCAACTTGGTTCGGAGGATCTTCCCACTCACTGTTCGAGGGATCTCGGTGACGAACACCACGCCCCCATCCAAGGCTTTGTAGCCTGCTAATCGGGATTGTGCAAATTGGTAGACATCATCTGCTGCCAGGTGGGTTCCTGAGGCAGACTTCACGACAAAGGCCCGGGGAACTTCGACGCCTTTGTCACTCGATTGGACTCCAAGGACTGCGGCGTCGTTTATCCCTGGATGCGTCAAGAGGACAGCTTCTATCTCGGCTGGTGCTACTTGATATCTGTGTGTCGTTAGACATGATTTATTGAATGGGTTGTGAATCGCTTGCCCTTGCACTTTGATGATCTCTTTGGTCCGTCCCAGTAGGTAGTAGTATCCATCTTGTCGGTAGGCCACATCCCCCGTTCGGAACCACCCTTCTCTGTCTATCCCGTCATCTCGTCCCTTGTAGTGTAGAAGGAGACCTGTGCCTCGAACGCACAACTCTCCAGAACAGCCGTCGCTGTTTATTATCATACCTTGATCGTCGAGGAGTTTTGCCTCGTTGTTACCGATGGTTTTCCCGATACTTGCTTTATCAGATCGTTCTCCATATTTGCCTACAAATACTGGGCCAGTCTCTGTCATACCCCAGGTCTGCGCCGCAGTAGCCTGACTGTGTAGCAGACTTTGAAACTTCTGCAGTGATGCTGCATCAATAGGGGCACCCCCAACGCCTACCATACGCAGGGATGATAGGAAGTCCGTTACAGGCTGAGAGGTCTGGTTCAGTAGGTGAACCGTGGCCGGAACGATGTGTGTTTCAGTTATTTGATAGGCTTGGACGGCTTTAAGAAACTGGCCGACCTCAAACTTGTGCATGATGTATGCAGGCTCTCCGTGACGGATGGGGAAAGTGTGCCAGAGTGCCCCAAAACGATGGTACATTGGAATGACAACGAGTCTCTTGACATCGAACGGAAATTCATAGTGTATATTCCTATGTTGGGAAATAATGGCGTGGTGTGAGAGAACGGCGGCTTTTGGAAGTCCGCTGGTGCCGCTGGTGCAGTACATGGCAGCCGGAGTGGTTTTTGCCAGAGATTCCTCATCAAGCCTGATCCAATCCTCTTCGCCGTGGGAGAGAAAATGTGCCATTGTGATGTGCCCAGCACCCCCGACCGGGATACTAGGACTTGATCCTAGGAAGCGGGTGATAGCCAACTCTTCGAACAGACAGACTTGTTCGGGACAGAGACCTTTGCTTGTTGAGACGCCCAGGACAGTCTGTAATGTCTGGCTTGATGTAATGATCAACTTTGGATTTCCCAGATTGAAAACATTGATGAGTTCATAAGGTGGGCTGTCAGGGCTAGCACCCAGGTATACACCCCCAGCACCTATAATGCCGAAGAAGAGTGCTGGGTGGACATACTGTTCGTCTTAGATCAGTCCCAGTCATTGTGACCACTATAATGACACTACGTACGCTGTTGCCCAGGTGGACCAACACACAATCCCCTTGCTGGATATGGCGTTTCAGACCTGCGATCAGAGTTCGCACCAGTCGTCGTAGCTGGATAGCACATAGGCTGCGAGAGGGATCCTTAGCATTGATGTAAAGTGGGCGATCCTCGTAGTTGACCACGCGACCAAAGGCAAAAGACAGCACATCAAAATGATTAACTGCAGAACTATCCATTTGAACGTTGGTCGTTCAATACACAGACGCTTATTAGTTGAATGGAGTAGAATGACTATTTCGGACTCAGCTGAAGAGAGATGATCTTGTGAGCTCCTTGGCATGGCGCCCAAGCCCTCCGGTGATAGTTCGGTCAGGCACGGAGTCCGTTTTCAGGGTAGCGGCACACATGAACTCAAGTTCGGGTCATATCAGGCAAATGAAATGTTCTTCGACTGGTTGTAGCTTTGTGTATTGTGCCGCGTGGACAAGTTTATGTGGATATGGCACTGCAGTTGTAGAGGCCTTGACGTCTTAGTTAGAGCGCAATTTCGCACCTCTTATCTTGGTTTTTTTGCCATCCAGGGTTGCCTCTGGCTAGTGCGGGACGGAGGAGACACGTCCAAGAGGACTAAGACAGGCATGGATACAGGGGCAATATTAGGCGATGGTTTGAAAGCCAAGGCCTTGATGCCGGCGATAAGCCAGCCGATGCCAAAGCTGGAAACACGCCGAGGGCACTAAAGACTGGACTGGCCACTTCGACCCCTCTTGCATCCGTCTTGCCGCGGTTATGCTGCAGCAACACGAGCCATTTACGTAGCCAATTGAAATTCCCAAGCCACAACCATGGTTTGTTTGTCTCTCCAGCCAGCCAGGAGGAAGTGTCGCCGGAGTTGCCCTGTCCTGGTGCACACTATCGCATTGTATTAGCAGGAATGGTATAACTTGCATGTGATCCTCTAGTGGGGATTTTGTTCTCGAATTCCTCTAAAATGAAATGGCAAGAGAAGGTGGTAATAATGAGGGTGGCTTGCGCCTAAGCCTGGATAGACCGGGTGAGGAGCTGCCTGAAAGTGAACCAGTGTTAGTGGGAGGGGTTCCGGTGCGTGGAAGGAAAGGGAAGGGAAGAGCTGCAGCATTTTCACATTAGCGCTGCCCCTGTATCAAGCTACGCTTGCTTGGAAATAAGAGGGTCACCTGAGTTGTGGACTAAAGCAAATATCGGTCGATAAGCGTCGTGGGAGAATAGGGACGGAGTATAAGAAGGAAGTATGCAAGGGAGCGATGGCCGACGGGCTGGCAATCGCGCGGGTCATCTGACTTCCCTCCCATCAAAGTTCATTCTTTTCTGCTCTTCTTCTTCATGTCATTCCCTGAGCCCATCGCAATTATCGGAACAGGTTGCCGATTTCCTGGCTCCGCATCATCCCCAACCAGGCTCTGGGACCTTCTCCATCATCCGCGCGATGTAGCCTCCAAGACTCCTAGTGACCGGTTCAGGCATGACACCTTCTACCACCCCGATGGTCATCATGGCAGAACGAAGGCCCCAGAATCTTATTTTCTCACCGAGGATATCCGTGCATTCGATGCACCCTTTTTCAACGTTTCTCGAGCCGAGGCGGAGTCCATGGACCCTCAGCAACGTCTGCTGTTGGAGGTCGTCTACGAGTCCCTCGAAACCGCAGGCCTGCAAATGGAAGGTCTCCGAGGCTCTGACACAGCTGTCTTCTGTGGCCTCATGAATACGGACTATGGCAACCTTGCTAGCTGCGATTGGGATGAGATACCCACGTATACCCCATCTGGAACGGCATCATCTATGCTGGCCAATCGTGTTTCCTTCTTCTTTGACTGGCATGGCCCATCTATGACCATTGACACTGCATGCTCTTCTAGCTTGGTGGCGCTTCATCAAGGTGTAGGTGCCCTGCGAAACGGAGACTGTCACCTGGCTGTAATAGCCGCCAGCAACCTGATCCTTAGCCCGCGAGAGTACATTGCCGCTTCCAAGATGCACCTACTTTCCCCAACTGGGAGGTGTCGGATGTGGGATGAGAATGCGGATGGTTTTGCACGGGGTGAGGGTATAGCTTCCGTGGTTCTGAAACGCCTGGGGGAGGCCATCGCGGATGGAGACCCAATTGAAAGTATTATTCGCGCCACAGGGGTCAACGCCGATGGGCGCAGTATGGGAATTACTATGCCGTCTAGCATGGCCCAGTCACAGCTAATACGCTCAACATATGCCATCATTGGGCTGAGTCCAACAGCTCGCCCTGAAGATCGGTGCCAGTTTTTCGAAGCCCATGGCACCGGAACGCAAGCCGGGGATCCACAAGAAGCCACCGCGATCTACAAGGCACTCTTTGGAATTCCAGTGCCGCCTGATAAGTCGTCTGAGGACTGGCTGTATGTGGGATCCATCAAAACCGTCATTGGCCATACAGAAGGAGTCGCTGGCTTGGCGGGCGTCATAAAGGCCTCCCTAAGCGTTCAGAAAGGCATCATCCCTCCAAACATGTTTTTAGATCGTATAAACCCCGTTATTGAGCCTCTCACATCTCGACTCCGCGTACCAACGGAGCCAATGCCGTGGCCCAGTCTTGCCCCAGGAGTCCCTCGCCGGGTTTCGGTCAACTCGTTTGGGTTCGGTGGAAGTAATGCACATGCGATTATTGAGAACTATACCCCAGGCACAAATCTCGTTTTGGGGCATACCCTGTCTCCTCAGATTCTTCCATTTACTTTCTCCGCATCTACGGAGCAAGCATTGACCGGTGTTCTGGAACACTATGGCGCGTTTCTCCAAAATAACTTTGACGTCGATCTGGTCAGCCTGGCAGAGTCTCTCCTGAAGCGACGATCAGCATTAAGTCACCGAATTGCTCTTACAGCGGCCTCAATCGAAGACCTTCAAAGCATGGTTCAGATAGAGATTGAGAAGCGGAGATCAGCAACAGCTTCTCCGGCTATTGTCTCCCGATCCAGCGATACTCCTAGGCGAGTACTGGGTATTTTCACTGGACAAGGTGCGCAGTATCCGCAGATGTTCTGGGATCAAATTTCGGCCAGTCCACAAGCCCTGGCCTGGATGGCGGAGCTTCAAGCATCTCTAGATAGTCTTCCATCGCAGTATCGTCCAAACTTTTCGATGATCCAGGAGCTTTCAGCCCCTGAGTCATCCTCAAGACTTCATGAGGCAGTCATATCTCAACCTCTCCGCACCGCCATCCAGATAATACAAGTCAACTTTCTACGCGCTCTTAATGTGAGCTTCTCCGCGGTTGTCGGGCACTCGTCAGGTGAAATCGCGGCAGCTTATGCCGCTGGCGCTATTACCGCGTCTGATGCGATCCGGCTTGCGTATCTACGAGGTCTCATGACCAAACATGCTGGCGCAAATGGTCAACCTGGGGCGATGCTGGCTAGTGGGATTCCCTGGGAGGAAGCGCACGCGCTTTGCGACGAAGGTTTCAGCGGAAAAGTTAGAGTTGCTGCAAGCAACTCTCCTGTTAGTGTCACATTCTCTGGGGACGTAGATGCTGTGCAGGAGCTCGAATGGATGTTGAAAAGCCTAGACCTCTCAGTGCATCGCCTCCGTGTGGATGTAGCCTACCATTCCCATCATGTGGTGCCATGCGCTGCACCCTACCGTCATGCTCTCGAAGTATGTGGAATCCGAGTGCATCCTGTGATGACCAAGTGGTTTTCTAGCGTGTACAAGGACAAAGAGTTGCATGAAGAAGACCTCAGTCCCCAATACTGGGGCCAGAATATGCTTCGTCCTGTTTTATTCTCTCAGGCAGTGGCTGCGGCATTCACAGATGAACCCGAAATTGGTCTGGTAGTCGAAGTTGGGGCGCATCCCACGCTCAAGGGACCAATTTTGCAAACACTATCCGTGATCAAGGATGCAAAGTCCGAGGTAGCGTATCTTGGCTTGGGAGAGCGTGGGAGCAACAATCTGGAGGTATTTTCTCGCGCAATTGGTTTCTTCTGGGCATACTTGGGACCAAACATTGATATACACGGTTATCTATCTTTGTTCGATCGTTCATATGGAAGCCGTTTCCTGAAGAACCTACCAACATATCCTTTTGACCATTCACGATCTTACTGGAAGTTATCCCGCCTCACCAACGCCCGACTACATTGCATTGACCCTCCACACCCTCTTTTGGGGACACCCAGCCCTGAAACAGGTGGAAATGAATGGCGCTGGCGCAACCATTTAAGCCGGGCGGAATTGAAATGGCTCAACGATCATCAGATCCAGTCTCAAGTCGTGTTTCCTGCCACGGGATATATAGTCATGGCATTGGAAGCGGCTGCAATAATGGCACGCGGTCTATCCTTGCGTCTGGTCGAACTTGATGATGTGCTCATCAATCGTGCTATCCTTATCCCTGACGATCCGTGTGGGGTGGAGACCATCTTCAAAGTGGAGCTCATAGAACGGAAGGGGGACATTGTTTTTGCAGCCTTTCAATGCTATGCAAGTCTTGCCGGGAGTCTGAAGGCATGTGCTTCAGGTAAACTTACTGTATTGTTTGGGGAACAAGATCCTCTGTTGCTGCCCCCAAAATCTTCTCTGGTCACGACATCTCGGCCGGTGAATGTTGATGCATTTTATGCGTGCTTGGGAAGGCTTGGACTAGGCTACAGCGGTCCGTTCCGGGGGCTAAAAGCTCTAACTAGACGGGTGGAAGGGTCAATGGGCATCGTTTCAGGTACCGACCCGACTTCATCATTGCTGCTACATCCAGCGACTATGGATTCCAGCTTGCAGGCCCTGTTAGCTGCGAGGAGCTTTGAAGAACTTCGCGCACTACAGGTCCCTGTGTCAATTGATCATGTCGCCATAAATACACTGTTGTGCAAACATGACTCAAGGGGAACTAAGAATGAGCTTGATATTGAGACCTTCCTCTACGATGTCAACCCTGATGGCATGACGGGTGATATAAACGCATTTAACCTCGATGGCCTAGGTATATATCAAATCGAAGGCCTTCATGTCGCTCCAATCACATCTGCTGAGGATCGTGCCATATTTTCAAAGATTATCTGGGGGCCACTTCTACCTCAGGTTAATCCGAACAATATATATCAGGATTCCCGGATCCAGGAGGAACTCCATTTGGCGGAACGCTGCGCTCTTCTATACATGAGAGATGCTCAGCAACACCTGGTTTCCGAAGAGTGCGAACATCTTGACTGGCACCGTTCTCGTATTATCGCATGGATGGACCATGTTCTGTCCACAACACGCGAGGGTACCCATCCAGTCTGCCGTCCAGAATGGCTGGTTGGCACTGTGGCTGATGTTATGGATATGGCACCCGCAGCCAGCAATGCCTGGTCTTCTCTACGGCTAGCAGGGGAGAATCTACCGAGTTTCATTAAAGGGATGAGTGTGTCGGACCAAGAAAGTAACCGCGACGGGGGACTTAATGACCCCTTCGATGTCAATTTCAGCAACTCCCAGCTCGCAGTGTTCATCGGACAAATCGCTTTTCGTTTTCCTCAAATGAAAATTCTCCAGATCAATGCAGGAAGCGGCTCCGCCACAAAACCGATCATGAATGAGATCAAGCGATCATATCACTCATATATCTTCACGGACGTTTCCCCGGCTTCCTTTGCGGCGGCGCAAGAAGCTTTTTCCGGACACAAAGACCAGTTTTCCTGTCAGGTACTTGATATTAGATCGGATCCCTGCCATCAAGGTTTCAAGGAACACTCGTATGATCTTGTCGTTGCGGCCGGCATAATGTGTAACCATAGAGAACTGGTGCAGGCTTTGACGAATATTCGCCGCTTGCTTAAGCCTGGCGGGTATCTCGTTGTCCATGCCGCTACTAACACCAATATCAACCGCCTCGCACTGATTGCCTCGTTTGAGAAGTGGTGGTACGACGAGGAAGGCCATCCGCAGAGCCCAGCTATTAGTCTCCAGAAATGGGAAACGCTGCTTGAAACCACAGGATTCGGTGGGTTTGAAGCGGTTTCACCGGCAGGTCAACTTGAATCCGGCTCAACCTTCGTCACCCAGGCCATTGATAGTCGCATCCAGCTATTCCGTGATCCGTGCAAATTCTTGGGGGTATTGCCGGCTAACTTGCTCCTCATTGGGGGTACAACAGAGGCAACAGCAGACTTGGTTCAATCCTTGAAAGCCTTACTCGCGCCCCGTTTTCGTCGGCTGGTCGTTGCAACTGCTCTCGACGCACTGAACGTGGAAGATCTATTTGGATGGTGTGCTCTGAACCTGGCCGATCTAGACTCACCTTGCTACGAAGACATTACAGACAAATGTCTCAGTGGTCTGAAGATGCTAATGAACAGTGCCAGCAGGCTTCTATGGGTAACTGCAGGCTCGGAGAGTAGGCAACCCTACTGGGGTATGAGCAAGGCCATGATTCACTGCGTCGCCTATGAAAACCCACAGTCTATCTTTCAGTATTTGAATGTTCCTGACCATGAAGAGATCACTGCACCTACTTTGGCCACGATCTTCATGCGATTAGCTCATACACTTATGGACAATGATCACGACCTGGACACCTGCGTGGATAGTACGGAGTTCGAATTACAGCTTGTAAATGGGACACTGAATATACCACGCGTCCATTTCGATGATATCAAGAATCAGCGATATTCAGCCAGCTACCACGTAGTCAAAGGCCTTGTTGTTCTGCAACACTCCACAGTACAGGTCATTGCCCCGTCAGGCAAGCGCTGTGAGTTTATCTTGGGTGAAAGACAGAAATACGAACAAGATGCCAAAGAGCCCCAGGTAACTTATCGTCCGCTTACTTCACGCTTCTCAACAACAACCGCGTTCAAGATAGATGGCGCCGGGTTTTTGCACCTGATAGTTGGTCGAGATGAAAAGGACAAGACACGGTGGCTGGCGCTATCCGACCAGCACGCTTCAGCTATTACAGCACCGCCAGAGTGGTGCTGGCAGGTTTCAGACCGCGTGGGTGAGGACCTAGAGCCAATTTTATTGATGAGGACAGCTGCGGCCTTGTTGGCTATTCAGATTGTGGACAAGGTGCGCTCCAATACATCTGTTTTGGTCTACGGAGCCGATACTCTATGTAAGGCTGTCTGTGATGCACTTTCAGCATTTGCTCTTGCACGAAATATCCGGGTATGCTTCAGCACTAGTGCTCAGTCTACACCACCGAAGAAAGATATGTTGTTCATCCATGAGAGAAGCTCTTCACGCACTCTATCTCGTCTCCTGCCCGACAACCTATCTGCCATCACCGGAAGTCGGGCCACATGCGGGGTTTACAACCGAATAAAAACTCTCATGTCTGAGGATGTTGTCCAAATCGACATAGCCAGTATTGGCAGGGTGTCCTCCAATCTACTGGCGTCTCCTGACTCGACCACTGCCGGGCAGACATTTCTAGCAGCCTGTGGGTTTGCTTTGCAAACATTCACATCGCAGGAAGAAGTTAGCCTTATTCCTGTCCAACGCTTGCAGGGCACTTTCCCAGGCGCAAATCAATTGGAGATTGTGGATTGGACTCAGTCAGGTCAAGTACCTGTTCGGATCCAGACTGCAAGCTCTATGATCACATTTTCCGCACATAAGACATATTTACTTGCTGGTATGACGGGTGATCTAGGTCGATCTATCTGCCAGTGGATGGTCAGTAGGGGAGCTCGGTCTGTAGTACTTGGTAGTCGATCCCCCCACGTTGATGTACAATGGATTGAGGAAATGGCAAGACTGGGAGCCCGGGTAGTTCCAATGGCAATGTAAGTTTCCCGCCAGTGACATGAGAACATCTATTAACGTTTTTCACTAGGGATGTCACTAACCGTGGATCCATCTGTCGCGCCTATGCCGCCATCTGTAGTGAACTGCCCTCGGTTGGGGGAGTTGTCAACGGGGCGATGGTGCTCAAGGACTGCCTCTTTGCTCAAATGACGCTAGAGGATATGCAGAGCGTAGTTGCTCCAAAGGTCCAAGGAAGCATCATCTTGAACGAGGTCTTCGGTAATCTCGATCTAGAATTCTTCATCCTGCTCGGATCAGCCGCTGGGCCATTGGGTAATGTGGGCCAGACAGCCTATTCCGCTGCCACTGAATTCATGTCAGCGCTCATACAACAACGGCGCGAGCAAGGCCTTGTCGGTAGTATCATTCATCCTGGTCTGATCAAGGGCGTGGGTTACTTTGAACGAGCAGATAGTGCGCGTCAGGGCGCCATTGAGCGGAACACAGTAACCCCGCACTTGACAGAGCAGGACCTGTATGAGCTCTTCGCTGAGGGTATTCTCGCAGGGCATCCAGATTCTGGCAGAGACCCTGAGGTGATTGCGGGATACACGCTCATTGACACTGCTGAGAATCCTAACGCTTTGTGGCTACGCAATCCGAAGGCGTGGAATCTCATAAAGCATACCGCTCACCCGGCCACACCAGCGTCTAGCAGTAATGACAGTGTTCCAATAATGATACAACTTGAGTCGGCTGAGAGCATGGCCGGCGTTGTCGAGGTCATTGTCAACGGCTTTATCAAGGAGGTCCGCTCCAAGCTGCAGCTTTCCACCGAGGAATCGCTCACCGGAGCGACGGTGTTGACCGATATGGGAGTGGACTCTCTTGTGGCCATCGAATTGCGGCATTGGTTTGTCAAGGAGCTGTCTGTTGATCTTCCCGTGTTGCAAATCATAGGGGGTGTCTCCATCCAAGAACTGTCCAGCTGCGCTGCATCAAAGCTATCGGCAGATCATATTCCAAGCATCATCATCCAGCAAACAGCACCGGGTTCATAACCCATGATGGCTTTATCAGGACATACGGTCAATCTACCATTCAATTCGATCCCAATTTGATCTGCGCTGTATATAAACACCCTATAGCACTTTGCAGTCAACACACGTAGCGTAAATAGTAACACCCTGAGCGGAGATATTCATTAATCTACACCTACAGTCAAACTGAACTACATAATTCACCGACCAACCCCCTCCCACCTCAAAGCATGCTTAATCTCCGCCCCCTCCAAGAAACTTTTAATCTTAACAAACTCCTTAAACCCTTCAGTCTCCGCAAAAGCAAAATGCCTCTCCACCGCATCCCACCCACTAAACAAAACATATTCCTCCTTCCCTTCTCCTTCTTCCTCCCCACGAGAACACTGATCTATCCTCCACCCACCAGCCAAGGGCAACGGTGCCGTAAACCTCTCCAAATGACCTCTGGTGGCATCAAACGTCTCCTGATATCCAGCCTTCTTCCCCGTAGCGACAAAGTACCTCCCAATTGCCATGACTGGGGCATTGAGTGGCAGAGGTGCCTCGGCGTAATCCGTTTGCGTAGCGTCATTGATCTCAATCCGCAGCGTCCATTCTAAAGCCACCCCTTCGGGGTGCGTGAACTCCTTTGTGTTTTGTTGCTCCGGGGTCGATTGCTGGAGGAGATATATGTATGTGGGGTCTTCGATTTGGGTATATATGTAGGTTGGTTGGGTGGGATTGGAAGTGAATTTGGAGAAGTGGGATTGGAGGGTGGGAGAGGCGGAGGGGAGGGAGGTGGGGAGGTGGAGGAGAGTGAGTTGGAAGAGCATGATGATTATCAGGGTAGGTTGGAAGTATGCTTTAAAATGTTATGGTTCAAGGCTCAGTCCTCACTGACAGACCGGGCTTTTATATAGACATGGGTACGGATATCTGAGTCACTGGTGAGGAAGCTCTTTGAGGGATCCCCGGGCGTCAGCACCAATTTCCTGTTTGGGATTGCAGGACCCAGTGCCCATTAGTGGGGCTGTAGAAGAAGCTATTCTGAGACTTAGCCAATGGTTATTTTTATGAAAACGCATTAAGTTCGGAGGGGGGAAGTCGACATCCAGCTTCGACTTCACTACATAGTGCTATGTAGTTAGTTGGTGAAGATGGAATTGATGACTGATGTCATCAGAGGGTCTCTCCGCGCTAGACCCAAATCAGAACGCGGCCAGACCCAATGAATTACGCTAACCCCTATACGGCAAGGTCCCTTATCAGCGCATCGCATCCGCCAGGCTACCTTCCTTCCATCTTCCCTTCTCCTCGCCATCAAACCCTCCACCAATCCACTCATCCAGACGGCATAATGTCATCCGAACCCAAGACTTACGTGTCCGGGGGACGTGTCCTCTCAAGGTAATCGCCCTCAGTAATACTACGTCCTACCACGATGAGATGCTAACAGTACCAACCTTCATTCAGTCCCCCACTCACGGTCCGGATTGCTCGATTCTTTGAAAGTGTCTACGTCTTCATTGGATTGTACTTTGTCAGCCTGTTCTCGGTATGTCTCATCCATTTGTTGATAGAAAAGGTGGAAGTCCCGTGGTATGGGATATGGGCTAACAGGTGTCATACTCTAGTTGGACCCTTACACTGCCGCCCAGAACTCGAGATTCAATGTCACCGGCACGGGAAAGGATCCCAATGCAAGTGCTCGTTGGGGAGGTGGTGGCGGTTCCTGGGGCCCTGGAGGCGGCGGAGGTGGACCGGGAGGACCTGGTAGGAGGATCGGACGGGTGGATGATGTTCGCGGCCCGGAGTGCAAGAGCTGTGGTTAATGGCGGCGGCGGCGATATGTTTATGGACTTCAGACATGCGACAACAAGCAAGGTTGTGTAGTGTAATGGTCATCACTCTGGATTCTGATTCCAGCAATCCCGGTTCGATCCCGGGCACGACCTTTTTGCTTTTATGGTTTATGTTTTATATCTCTCTGGAATAAAAGCTTCATCTCGGCGTTCTTTTTTGTTTTTCACACGCCTGAGACTTTGGTTTCTTGAATTTTTATCTTGATGTGGACCACAGGTCGATGCAGATGCTGTAAAATTTCGCCTGATGCATGGTGAGTGGAGGTTTGAAACCCCGTCCATAGGTTCTGTACGATGGGCTATTGTACTTGGTCGGAAAGCAAATGGGACTGATTGGGTTGGAGATAGTGACTCCAGGGCAAAATAAATGCAAACTGCCTAATCACTGCAAACGACCTTGTTCTGCACGGCCTTAGCTGTAACAGAATCGTGGGAGAGAATACCCCTCACAGCGGGGATCACGATGGATGTCTTGCAGCTGGGACGCCCCGCAAAGAGGGACCCGTGCCGGAAACTCAACTGCCATCGAGTTTCTTCCAAACATCCATCGACTTGGAGCCATCTACTGCAGATTGAGTGCTGTTATAGTCCATACAACGCCCCAGGGCTCAACAGAGGTACACAGAGCTTCGAGTCTACCGTCACACCATGTCCACGCCGCAAACCGACGCTGAATGGGCGACGCTGATCTCCAGCATTCAGCAGTCTCTCCCGACTACCTTCCCCTCATATGACATCTCATCAGCAATCAATCGCACAATCGACCACACCCAGCTATCCCTGACTGCAACAGATCAACAGATCGACGACCTATGTCAAGAAGCCATTGAGCACCAGTTCGCAACCGTCTGTGTCCGTCTGAATCATGTGTCCCGTGCTGTGCAAAACCTACACGAACACCCTGCTGTTGGCATAGCCTGTGTGGTGGGCTTCCACGAGGGAACTTACAAGACGACTGAGAAGACAACCGAAGCTAAAGAGGCAGTGAAGCTGGGCGCGTCCGAGCTCGACATGGTCCTCAACTACCCCCTCCTTCAGGAGGGGAAGTACGTGGACGTCTACACCGATGTGTTGGAAGTGCGCAAAGCAGCTCCTGCACCAGTTGGGCTGAAGGTCATCCTGGAAACATCGCAGTTGACACGGGAGCAGATCGTGGCTGGATCTGTGTTGGCGTGTATAGCCGGGGCGGACTATATCAAGACTAGTACAGGGTTCAATGGGCCTGGTGCGAGCGTGGAGAATGTTGCTATTATGAGAGCGACGGCCAATCTAGTTGGGAAGGGAACGAAGGTCAAGGCCAGTGGGGGAGTGCGATCTGGGGAGGACTGCAGGAAGATGTTGGAGGTCGGGGCAGAGCGCATTGGGAGCAGTTCGGGGGTGATGATCATGCGGGAAGGAGAAGTAGAGGAGGGAGGAGATGCTGGATATTGATCAGAAATCCTCCGTCATATGAAGACAACTTTTCAATGCGTTCTTCATTGTTCTTTCCGTGATGGAGTAAATTTAACCTTTGGTGGAGCCGGTGGAGCTCGACGTCATCGGAAGGGAGTCTGATCGGTCAATCATCCATCCATTATCCACCCATTGTTGGACCATCCCCTGCTCCACGAAAGATCTTTTGCTCGTCAAATGAACAAGCGTTCGTTCCTGAAAGTCTTTTTCATCCATTATTTTTGACTCTCGCCCTCCCCCTTCTCTCACCATCCACGTCTTCTTTTTCCCGCCGCTCCGTGATGCGCCGTCCCAAATATAAGGTATGTCAATGGCAACATACTGTCTTGCTTGTAACTTCAGTCTCTAACATCAATCCTGGTCCGTATAGAAACGGAAGACAACCCACGAGGGCAGCCCACCGCATCTCAATGGCACAGCCGACGCCCTGTTCACCGAAAAACCCTCAGCCACTTTTACTCCCAAGGGTGGCCGATCACATACTCTCAGCATTGCCATTCCTGGTAGCATTATAGCCAAGTAAGTACCCCAAGCTCTTGATTCAGATCAATTCTGCGTGTGTTCGGTCACTAACAGTGTTGCCCAGCGCGCACTCCATCGAACAAAAGACTCTCCTGGCCGGTATAGTCGCACGTGCCCTTGCTGTTTTCTGCGTCGATGAAGTCATAATAATTGATGACGATGAAAACGGAGCCCCGTATGACTTCTTTGGTCATGAAGACTACTATAACTCGCGCACGACCAGAACCAGTGAGCAGGTTGACGGCACTGTGTCCTCTTCCAATGGCTGTACCGCTTATTCGGACCCTTCACACTTCCTAGCCCATGTCCTATCGTATCTTGAGACTCCACCTTACCTGCGCAAACACCTCTTTCCGATCCATCCAAACCTTCGCACAGCTGGATTATTGCCTAGCTTGGACATGCCTCATCACCTGCGTGTCAATGAGTGGTGCGACTTCCGCGAAGGCATCGTTGTTTCTGGCCCTGATCGAAACGCACATCGAAGTAGACATTCGGCCAGGAACACCGCCCATATGAGCAATGACTATCACTATCCCCATCATGATAACCCTACTAAGAGTGCATATACCACTATCGTGGACACTGGTCTCTCTCACAAAACAGTCCTCCCACACATCCACCTCCCAGGAAATACCCGAGTCACAGTTCGATACCCCCAGCACGGGTCCGCCTACGCAGAAGCCGTACATCCATCTACCCCGCGGGCAGAGGCAGGGTATTACTGGGGCTACTATGTGCGGCGCTGTCGATCTTTATCCACCATTTTCACTGAATGCCCCTTTGACGGCGGCTACGATTTGTCCTTCGGCACATCCGAGCGCGGAGTGCCAGTCTCCACCGTGGTGGAGGAAAAACCACAAGTCTACGATCAGGATAATATACACCACCGCCCAATTTGCCACAATCAACCTCCACTAGACTTCCAGAATATTCTCATCGTTTTTGGCGGTGTTGCTGGAATCGAAGCAGCTGTCCGGAACGACCCTCAACTCCGCGACATGGAGATCCGCCCATCAGATGCCGGGAAGCTCTTCGACTACTGGGTCAACTTCCTCCCGGGTCAGGGAAGTCGAACCATCCGTACGGAGGAGGCCGTCTGGATGGGATTGATGAGCCTGCACGGCTTGACAGAGGGTACCCATCGACTGAGAAAGGCATTCCGACATCCTCATGGTTGCCAAGCGGCTCCACCTTTCTCAACGGGCGCTCATTCCAGGTGAGATTGAATGCTTGCCATGCGTCTATTTTACCCTTTCAAGTGCTCTGTCACCTCCACGCTACCCGTCTGGAACGGGTGGGCTGCCTCTCTTGCACAGGTTGATACTGTAGAATCCACTAGACATGACCTGACATCCCGGCATCCACCAAACCCATATATCCCAGAATGTAGCAACTGGAAACATCAATTTCCTACAACTCCATCAGCATGTTCTCGTCTCGACGACCATCCACCAGCCCCAGTCCCAGATTCCTACGTACCATGATCGAATGCCAATGAAATGAAAGAAACGAGTCATCAACCATCACTGTGCTACACGGTACATATTTTCCCCTCCCCCTCAAATAATATGTCCATCTATCATATACCATCACAGTATTCCCTTCTAGCCCCGGAATGTTTCCCACATACTGGATACATAGCAGATCACCAGCGCAATGCACCAGCCGCATGATGCATACATACACAGGCGCATGCATACCAGAGGTGGGGAGCTACCTGCTACCCACATTCCTGTGTTTCTAGTCTGACAGCCATTTGCTTCATGTTCAGGCGTAGTGCATGTTTCATGGATCATTTCATCTGGGCGCTGTGTCGTAGTATTCCGTATCATATACCCCGTATGTGGTGGACACTAGAACGTCATGACGTTAGTAAATGGGTGGAGTTCGTGAGGCCGAATTGGTGGGTCAATGTCAGGATAATTTTAGTACTGGTAAATAAGCTCATCATGATAAACTTTTGTGTATTATTTATATACAATGCTGCGTGTCTAGCCAAGTGCAAGTACCACTGTAGTGTAGTGTAGAAGATATTTGTGATGTGGTCTGTCTACGATGAAACCTCCCCGTCACTGGGAACTTTTTTTTGACCGTTGCGCCTGCCGAATGATGTCGGAAATATCCGGGTCTGAATGCAGACTCTATCGTGAACGAAGATGAGATGGTGGTGTAGATGATGGTACCGTAGATCTCGTTTTATAGAGGGTTAGAGGGAGGTGATGATGGAGTTGGTCGAAAGAAAAAGCACACTACTACTCGTCACTGCTCTGGTCATCCGTGTCACTTGTCATAACGGTATCCTCGGCGTCCATCTTGCGGAGAACCGCATCACCCTTCTTGCCCTTCTTCTCGGCTGCAAACCAGGCTTCCCGGCGGCGGGTTTCGCGCTCCTCTTTCCGGGCCTGTCGGAGGACCTTCTCCCTTTGGGCTTGTGCTTGCTTTTCGTGAAGCTCGTTGATGTAGTCGTGGAGGTTGGCCAGGTCGGAGCGGAGCTGGGTTACTTCCTCTGTTGTAGATTGGCGGGCGGTCTCGTTGATGGTCGATTTCTTCTTCAACACGGCGAGTTGCTCCTCGAGTTGGGATATTTGAGAATCCTTGGCCGCCAACTCGTCGTCACTTATCCCCTGTGCTATCGATGAGACTGGAGCTCCGTTGCTACCGGACTGGCCGAAGGCGGCTAATTCCGCGAGACCTTCTTCGAGCATAGACTCGGGGAAATAAGCGTGGGAAAAGGCCGCAGCGAATTCGTCGGGTTTGGGAGAGTCGGATTTTGACGAGATTGAAGGAAGGAAGTGAGTGCTGAAAGTGTAATCAGCAGGGACGGTGCCGGCCGCTTGGGAGGTTTCGGACAGAGTATGGTCGTAACGGGGTTTGATGATGGTGTGTGCTACCCGCTTGAGGTCGAGAGAAGGGTGAGGGATGCCGTTGGGAGGGAGCATGAACAGGTTTGTGACGGGGTGCGTGTAGTCGGCCGCAGTAGAGGAGTATTTCTTCCGTCCAACAGCCCATGACAAAACCTTGCCATTCTGGTGGCCAGAGAGAAGGGTCATGCCATCGTAGGAGAGGGTGAGCGCATGCGCTGCGCCACAGTCGGTAGACGGCGGTGCCCAGCGGTCTTCTGCCGGTGGCTGCGAAGGAGTGGACTGAAGAGAGGGGTCGTGGAGAGGGTGCTGAATGGACTGGTTCTTGTAGAAGTCAATCGACTGGATGCTTCCATCTTCGTAGCCGACGTAGAACGCCCGGTCGGCGGGATCAAGCGCGAGAGAGATCGCGTTGGATGGCAAGAGAAATGTGCGCAAGAGGCGGCCGGTGTGATAATCCCAGGCAATGGCTGTGTTATCCTGCGCGGCAGACACGGCAATGTTGTATCGGGCAGCGCTGTGGCCCACGGCGATAGAGGTGATGGCGGCGCGGTGGTTGGAGAAGGTGCGGATGGGAGAGTTCGGGGGTTGACGATCACGGCCAGATGGGGGTTTGGTGAAGGATAAGAGATCCACCAGCGACCAGACATGGACGCTGGCATCGGACGAGCCCGACAGGATGAAGTTGGAATTAGGATCGACCACGAGAGCGGTCACTGGCCGCAGATGCGACGCTGTCGTAGCCACTTGTCGCCCGGTGCATGTCTAGGAAGCACATGCTGTTAGATCGGAGCTAATACAGATAGATGGCTGGGATGCCATTGAGAGGCAGGAAGCAATAGACTTACCTCCCACAGAATCAACCGTCCACCTTCGGTGCCCAAAACCAGGACATCACCATTCTTCCCCCCCGCGACGGCAATGCTGCGGATGCGCTCCGGGAAAGGAACGGTCGCCTCCTGGTTGCCTTTCTCCCTGCTATATACATGTACGATGGCTTTTTCGGACTGCGCGGCGAAGACATGCGACGGGCTCACGGCCAGACAATTGGCAGCCGTCGAGCTCTTCTTGAAGGTGGAGCGCAGGTTCAGCGTAGGCTGGAATTCATGCACGCAAACACCCACATCTCGGAGGCTCGCAGACGCTGGCGCTTTGCTGGACGCCAGCGTCGACGCGATGAAACACTCGGAGAGCATGAGGAGATGCAGAGAAAAGAAATTGCAGAAGGCAGGGAGAAACCGACACGCTGCCAATTTTTTTTTTTTTCAGAAGGAAATAAAATCACTCCGAATTGGATGGATGCTCCAATCGATAACCGGCGGGTTTGCACTGTTTGTCTTCCCATGCCCGATAAAGAAGGCGGCGGTGAATCTCGGCATTAATTATGTTGATTAGGTAAGCCCCGTCCAGTTCGGCTCGTTCTAACTAATCTATTAATCTATAAACTCGCTTTCTCTCTCCCTCTCCCCCCCAGATCAGGTCAAGTGAGTGATATTCTTTCCGTCCCTGTCCTTATCTTCAGCTATCCCTAGTCTCCTTCATGATTAACATGCCTTGCTAGGTATCACTACCCCTTGGCTATCACTCCCTGAGCTATTAATCATCGATGCGCACCCCAGTAGCCGACTAACTTGACACCATCAGGAACTCTCATCTGAACAGCGGATTGCTGGCCTTCAAACGGTATTCAAGCCATATTGATAAATAACAAATCTCCGCGGCCGCATTTGATGTAGGATTCCTGCACATGCTGCTTAAATTAAATTTCGCCTATCCCTCAATCAACATGAGCCTATGCCCGGCACCCACAGCAACCTCATGCAAGGGGCTTTCCCCTAGGGGCTGGCTCTTAGCCTCTTTGATTGCCCAGCGCAACGCCTGCGCTGACCAGACGGCCCTGAAAATGGACCGGTGACGTTCTCTGAATACCCATCTAAGGGTCCTCCCGTATCCCTCCTGCTGCATGTCTCATTCCTTTCGCTAATTAACGAGATCCAAGCACCCTGGAAGACGGACCACCCACGTTGCGCTGTCCCTGCAGGTGGCGCGCATCTAGCCCTTGAGCCAATGGCTGTGCACTCTGCCTCCGCTCGCCTCTCTCTGGTATGCAAGGACAGTGGGCGTAGTCGCCCTTCACACTTCGTTTATGTTCCAGAGTGTGAGATGACCCTCTGAAGGGGGAGCATACACATGCCCAATGATTAGTTTCCCGTCACCGCAAGGCAGTCAAGGGATACGTCGAAGTGCAAGCTGCGCTGTAGTATAAGGTCCTGCCGGCTGCTTTCCCGATCTGATTGAAGCTTCTGTTCCCCTCTTCTTTTGCATATTATTTTCAGTAAACTTTCGACTATCCTTTGATCTATCCTTAATCCTCGTGCCGGCCATGTCCTCGACTGACTGCCAGCCAGCCAGGGCATACTTACACCCCCATAACAGCTACCAGCATCAGCATACCATGTCCGCAAATCAGGTCCCAACGTTTCCAAATAGAAGAGTAACATCATACGGCTCAATAACCGAAGACGCGATGATTCAAGGAAGCGGCCGGGCCTCCCCACGATATTCGCCTAATGTTCAGCCGTGGAGGAGGCAGCAGACGCAGAGCTCTCTCTCGTTTGTTCCACCAACATCTCCTCGGCAAGAGCAATCGGAAGATACTACGGCGCCTCAATCACGACGACCAGTTGAACGCCCTCCCGTGTGTATGTCGCCGTTTCGCTCCGTGCGCAGGATGAAACAACCCTTCCAGCTTCGTCTGCCATCCTCTCCGTCTCTCGAAAACATAGCATCGGCTGCAAAGGAGGCCAGGCTGTCGCGACAAATGTCTGGAGGTCAAACACTTCGAGCCTGGCGCTCGGATCAGAACATCAATGTTACCAGCCTGGACTCCTTCGGCCTTCTGCCCAGCCCCCCTCTCTCCGATTCTCTGGACTCACAGACGTCGCCATCATCCGCCTATTTCTCTTCGAAATACGAATCGGAATCAGACTATGACCCCAGAACGCCGAAAGGCTGTGTCTGCATACCTGGGAAGGAATCCTGTGACGACTGCGGCGGCCGAAAGCAGGATGATCGACGAGAAACCTCGACGCACGAAGAAGAAACTACTAACGTACACATGGCTCACTCCATGCTGGTCAAACAATGCGAGTCGGCTGAGGGACAGCAGCCCCAGGCATCGGCCAACTCGGAGCCCGTGCCATCGCCCGTACCGTCCGCGGATTCCGGGACCGTTGGGAAGAGAAATTTTTCAGGTTCATCCAATGGGTCACAGAGGAGCAGGTCGGGAACAGTGTCAAGCGAGGGAAGCTGGGTCCCCAGCAGCCTTTCCTACTGTGGAGATTGGCTTCAGGGCGCTCCTGTGGAAGCAGCTGGTGCCCAAGGCGAAAGGACCAAAGAACAAAGTCGCAGGAAATGTCAAATTGTACAGAAAAGCCCACCGCGTCTGAGAACCGCCACGTCGGACAAACATGAAGTAAGTGCCATCCGCTAGACCTGCACGAGGCTTGCATTGACCAATTCCATAGATCTGCACTGTGGCTAGAAAGTCGAAGCCCAAGTTGGTTGACATCTCGCGTCAGTCATCTCCTGCGATGAGTTATACGCTTCCAACACCGCCACGCCCCATTCCATCCACTCCAGACCTAGGTCAACAGGAGGTATCCGCTTTCAGTCCGGACACCCCAATGGAAATGTCCGACAGTGGTTACATTACCCACCGCTCGTGCTCGTCCCCCGACGACTTTCCAGACGACAAGGATGACGATGACGACGATGACTACACAGATGCAGGATCCCTGAGCTCAGTGAGCGCTGGAGAAACTGTAGTATGCAACCAGCCGACGCCGGTCCCTATCGATGCAAAGTCGCCGCCTAAGCCGGATATACCACCGAAGTTTAGTACATCCCCTCAGGTTCAAGCATCGCCTGGGCGCTCGTCAATCATGTCAGAAAAGGAGGAGCTGGAAAAATGGTGGGATCACGAATGGACCATCGACCAGTTGGAACATTCAGTGAAGGACTTTCCACGAAACATGCTCCGCTTGACTTCGCCCGTCATCATGTTCATCCGTCACAACAACGAACGGGCCTTGTTACGGCCTTTTCGTGACATCTTCCCAAACGTTGCGGAAAACCTATTGGACGGTCTTTGTGCAGCCCTAATTGCACGGAACCATATAGTGACCCTGGCGTCCAATAACCGAAGAATCAACAATTTCTCCCATCCTTCCCCGGTGTCTCGCCTGGATACAGTGCCTGAAAAGGTAGCTACATCACCGGGGATGCAATTTAGCCCGGCCACCCCGTCGCGGATTAAGGAACGCGTCCTGGGGTCACGGAGCATGGAGCTTCGCAAAGAGTTGGACCGGATCGTGGATAACCTGCTTTTTGCTATATGTGGCCGAGCAGACGAGACAGTGAAGTCCGCCGTGGTTGTCCTTGCCCAGGTTCTTGAGACCAAGAACTAGGCAGTCATTCTTTCTCTGCCAATATTTGTTTCTTTTCTCGACCAGATTGTTTAACTATAGACCCTCCCTTTCTTTTTGGTTGTGCCTCTGTTCATTTTCTCCTTCTGTTTCTATATCCCAACCCCCGTCTTCTTGTGACCATACATTTCCTTGATCTGTCTTGGCTAGACCAGTCTGCATAGAACCCGCCTTTCGTTTCGGTGTATTCTGTGGCCTGTCCTTCATTTACATTTCCTACCTGTCATACATGCCTGTGGCCTGTTCTCTACTACTCAATCTCCTATTGGCGCATGAGATCTCATATGTACTGTGTGCAATTAGCCGCTAGGGCTAATGTATAATAGCTAGTTTGACCCCACCGACCTATATACCCCTGCATAAGTAATCTTCAACCCCTTTCCATGCCAATCCTGTAAAGTGTACTCCGTAGGGCTGCCATTCATCGTTGCGTGATTAATCAGCGCTTCCAGACACCTGAGGCATGAACTTTCGCTGAGTCAGGCCCCGGCGGGATCGCAGCCGAAGGCCGATTATCAGCGACGGGTTTCCCGCGGAATCCAACTCAACTTCTCCAACCTGCAGCTTGTTGAACACCCACCCTCACCATGGCTGCCACATCAACATACCGGCTACGGCTCCTTTGCTCCTCCACGAGGGCCATCCCTCAATCGAGCGTCCTCACCCCCTTCACCACTCGAGGATACGCTACCACCGACTCTCCCTCCGCCACCACCGGCGCCGCAAATCCACGCCGGCGAACCCAGTTCACAGACAAACTGAACGCCGGCCCCTCCTTCACCGACTTCGTCTCCGGCAATAAGGACAATGCCCCCCTGGATCCGGAAGAAGCATATGCCCTCAAGACCGCCCTCGTTGGCCCCGCCGGCCGCAAGAAGCAAATGACTCGTTTGCCCCCGTGGCTGAAAACCCCAATCCCCGACAGCAAGAACTACCAACGCCTCAAGAAGGACCTGCGCGGTCTCAAGCTCCACACCGTTTGCGAGGAAGCCCGCTGCCCCAACATCTCCGACTGCTGGGGCGGAGGCGACAAGGCCGCCGCCACCGCTACCATCATGCTCATGGGCGATACCTGCACTCGCGGCTGTAGCTTCTGCAGTGTCAAGACATCCCGCACACCGGCTGCGCTGGACCCCCACGAGCCCGAGAATACCGCCGAAGCCATCTCACGCTGGGGATTGGGCTACGTGGTTCTGACAAGTGTGGACCGTGATGATCTTGCAGATGGTGGCGCGAATCACTTTGCCGAGACTGTTAGGAAGATTAAACATAAGGCCCCCACTACCTTGGTTGAGTGCTTGACCGGCGATTACCGCGGTGATCTGGACATGGTAGCCCTGGTGGCAAAATCCGGGTTGGATGTGTATGCGCATAACGTGGAGACGGTCGAGGCTCTCACTCCCCGTGTGCGTGATCGTCGCGCCACCTTCCAGCAGTCCATTCGCGTTCTGGAGGCCGCCAAGAAGGCCAATCCCGATGTCATCACCAAGTCCTCGTTGATGCTGGGTCTCGGAGAGACTGAGGAGCAGCTGGAGCATGCCCTGGCGCAGTTGCGCGCCGTCGATGTCGACGTCGTCACTTTCGGTCAGTACATGCGTCCCACTAAGAGACACATGGCTGTCCATGAGTATGTCCATCCCCAGTGGTTTGAGCATTGGCAACGTCGTGCTCTGGAATTGGGCTTCCTTTACTGTGCTTCTGGACCTTTGGTCCGCAGTAGTTACAAGGCTGGTGAGGCGTTCATTGAGAATGTCTTGAAGAAGAGACGTGCCGGTCTCAGTGAGGCGGTCAGTGATAAGAATGTTGCTGTTGATGAGGCGGCACGTTGAGCCTAGCTTGACGTCTACCACCTATCTTGTACGATTTCTTTTTCTGTGGTTATTGTCTATTGGCGCCCGGTTGCATTGGATGGGTTTGATCTTGTCTTGAGCTTTTGTTTTCAAAATGCGCTGTCATTGCAAAGACTGCGGATGTTATCAACTACTATTACTACTATTTGCTATGGTTTATTATTCTCGATGATGATGATGATGATGGAGCGGAGAATCATCGATTTGCATGGAAGGGGGTATCTAGTTACGGGGAGGATGATCATATGCCCGCGATATAGGGACATAATTCAACATATACATCCAATTCCAATGAGAGAGACGAAATATAACAGCAGCAGCAGCAGCAGCAGCATCATCGTGATCACCCAGTCATTTCGAATCAATCAATCCAAATCCGTCATATCGTAGTAGTATGTACCTGCCCGTTTGTGTCCTTGCCTACTCCGACGCCCGCATGTAACGCTCTCTCGCTCTCTTGGTCATCGTTCTAATGCATGAATCTCCCGCTTGGCTTGACAATTGCATGTTCAGGGAAAGAAGGGATATGGCTGCTTTGGTTTGGGCTGATCTACACATGCCAAATCCAAAACGTTCGAGTAAAAGGAAAAGATATGTAGAAGAAAGGTAAATGTGAAAGGGGGAAGGAACATATCGAACGGTGGGTCCCCGTCGATGGATAAGAAAAGAAGAATACGCACCCGGCGAGATGTGCGCAGATCCGTCGCCCCGCTGACTAGTGTGTGACGAAGTTGCTGGGCCACCGCAACAGAGGCTCGGTAGTATATTCCGACTACGCGATCAGCTCGCCAATATCCTCCTTGGTCAGACCAAGGAGGTAGAGAACATCCACAAGACTCTCCCCGTTGAGACGGGTCGGTGCCTCGAGCTGGACCTTGCTCTTCGCCCGCCAGGCGACTCCCAACCCCGCAGCGTGCAACATGAGCAGATCATTGGCGCCATCACCAACGGCGACGGTCTGGGAGATGGGGATTCCGTGCTCCGCAGCGATCGAGTGGAGGAGTGTGCGCTTCTGGCTCGCATCAATGATGGGATATGTGGGCACCAATTTACCCGTCAGGGTCTGAGTGGTAGGATCGATCTCAAGCTGAACAGCGGTTAGTCTCCAGACGAACGATCGAATGATCGTGAAGAGCCATGTGTTATGGAACGTACATGATTGGCGTGGGCATAGTCAAGACCCAGCTGTTCGGCCAGCCACTCCGCCAGAGGTTGGAAGCCTCCACTCAAGACTGCCATCTTGCAGCCGAGAGTCTTCAAGGCCTTGCACAGCTCGCGCGCACCAGGAGAGATCGTGATTACGGACTTCAGCTTTTCGAATACGTCCGCGGGAACGCCCTTCAACAGACTGACCCGCTCCCGAAGAGATGCGGAGAAGTCCAGTTCGCCGTTCATAGCACGGGCCGTGATTTCCTGCCATTAATATCAGTATGACAGCCCCTTCTCGGACGCGATCATTATGCGAGGCTTGGCACTAACCGAAACCTCCTTCTCCACGCCAATAAATTTGGCAATCTCATCAATAACCTCATTCTGAATCAGTGTGCTATCCATGTCAAACACCACCAATCGCTTGTGCCGGCGGAAGATACTCTCCCGCTGGAGCACGACTTCGACATTCCATTCACGCTCGAAGCGCCAGATACTCTCGTGTTTGCGAAGGTCCTCGAAGGTGAGATATTCCGGGTTGGGAGGCGGCGAGAAGGTGACTTCGATAACGCGGGGTTGGTCGTGACGATCCAAGCAGCGGTGCGACGTGTTAGTGCGCTGATACGGGGTTGGAAGGGACTCGATGATTTGGAGAAAGTTGGTCAGACAGAGCTGCGATACAAACGGCCCGTACAGATGGTCGAGCGGCTCCGGCTCCGGCGCGGGGGGCTCCCGTGGGATCTTCTCCATGTCGACCGTCGGGGCGGAACCAACGGGCACCATGGGGGAGGGGAGAGTAGACCCAGCATGAGGAGACGAGTCGGGGTGCAGATGGGGGTGGATCGGCTCAGAAGACTTGTAGAAGATGGTTGCAACCAGCTGCTGGGTTCCAGTGGGCAAAGAGGTTGTGTGCGGGTTGAAGATGCTGTGGATAATGCCGCTGTCGGTCACCTTCTCGGGATCCGGGCTAATGGGATTAGCTTTGAGAGACAGCGAAGCGAACGCCGACTCGGGGGAATTGCCAATCACATTGCCGATGGTCTGGATAGGAGCGGAAGGTTTGTACTGCTGATGGTCCTGGATGAAGGAGGCGCTGGAAAGGGTCTGTCGCAACATCGGCCGGGTTGGACGAGCGGCGGTGGTGGTGGTGGTGGGGTTGGGCGCTGCCATTGTGCCGGACTAAGAGACTTTGGCGCAAAGGGGTTGGATCGGAGATGAACGGAGGGGTAGTGCGGTCGAGCAGTGAGCAGCGGATAATCCTCAGCAATCAACGGAGAGCCCACCCGGCGGGAACACACCCTTGAGAAGCTGGAGAAGCGGAGAGGAGATACGACGCGTCGAGGCCGTCAGAACGAAGTCTGGCATTGAGAAAGAACGGGCGAATTTCCCCTGCAGCTCCGATCGGCCGCACGTGGTGGGGGGTTCCGCCTGCCCCTCGGTCACCTGAGCGGCTGGCTTCCCCGCCCGGCAGAATCACTGCGACCTTTCATTGCTTGTTGCCTGTTGTTCCACTCGCAATCCGGATCCTAGCAACTATGAATGACGATGGTGAAGGAATGATGTTATCAACCCCAGTGACCACTATGAGACTATTTTGTCCATTTCTCCCCGTCGCCAAGACACCACTAGCTCGACTAACGGTCAGACTGTCAGGGTCATCCCCAGCTGGGTTGGTTTTCTAAGCACTTCAATTCCCATAAGCCCGAAGCTAACTACAACTTAGGTAGATCTGCATCTGCTGTAGCCAGAAAATAGACCGGGCACCGGTGCTATGTCGTGATCATGATAAGCAGGTCGGCTACAACTGGTTGCCGGCCGGGTGAATGGTAATCTTCAGCCCTTCGCCTGTGTTCTGCACTGTTCCAAACCATTGTGGAACAGCACGATTTATCAGCCAGAGGGAGTCCAGGGAAATGACCTAAGCGCATGGGGGCAACCACAGGAACCGGCCGCGCAAGTATTGCGTGATTTCCCCAGGACATGAGGGAATGAAATTTTTCAGCCCCGTCACCCGTTTCCGCAGGCGGTCACAGACGATGTCGTGATCGAGAACGGCAGAATGGGTCGGCATCTATGAGGGACTGGCAGCAGGAAGAACGAGGGCCCCGACCCGATGATGTCGTGATTGCCCCCTGTCCGGCCTTGCTTTTATATCGGACTGGTCGAGTCGTCTCTCTGGTGTTCAATCTACATCATCTCTCGCCTCCCATTTCAGTCCCTAGCATTTGTCATCCCTCTGATCTGTCGAGCCCATACAAATAGACCCGCTTTCATTCTACTCTTCACTGGGATTGACTCGTCTATTTAGTCTTCTTTGCAAAGACATTCATTCAACATGCCTGCGAAGACGTCTGAGAACTACCCCTCCGGCTATGAGGCCGTCGACTCTCGAGACAATGCCACAGACTCTGGCTATGTTAGTGGCGGCTCTAGTGATGACTACCTTCCAGAGATTGTCTTCACCAAGCCACACTTGAAGTTCCTCAACAGACAATTGCAGTTCCTCGAGCCTCAAGGTCAGCAAGGGTGGCCCCTCACGTCTCCAGGCCAATTGACTAACCTTTCGCAGACGTCTTGAGATGGTGTGTTACCTCTCTTCCTCATCTATACCAGACCACCGCTTTCGGTCTCACGGGTCTTGTGACTTTGGATATGCTCTCCAAGCTGGACGTTCCCCGGCCCCAGATGGTTGATCTCATCTTCCTCGATACCCTCCACCACTTCCCAGAGACCCTGGCCCTGGTCGACCGCGTCCGTCAGAAGTACCCCTTGGTCAACATCCATGTCTTCAAGCCTCAGGGTCTCGAGACTGAGGAAGAATTCGCCAACAAGTACGGTGCCCGTCTTTGGGAGACGGATGACCAGTTCTACGACTGGGCGGCCAAGGTTGAGCCTGCTCAGCGTGCCTACCGTGAACTCAACGTTCATGCTGTCCTCACCGGACGTCGCCGCAGCCAGGGTGGCAAGCGTGGTGACCTGGATGTCATTGAGGTCGACGAGGCCGGCCTCATCAAGATCAACCCTCTCGCCAACTGGTCCTTCCAGCAGGTTAAACAATACGTCCAGGACAACGATGTTCCCTACAATGAGCTACTTGACCGTGGCTACAAGAGCATTGGCGACTACCACTCCACACAGCCGGTCAAGGAGAACGAGGATGAGCGGTCCGGTCGCTGGAAGGGCCAACAGAAGACCGAGTGCGGTATTCACAACCCTCGATCCAAGTATGCTCAGTTCTTGATGGAGATGGAGCGTAAGCGACAGGAGGAGGCCCTGTCGCAGGCTCTTCAGTCATCCCTCACGACTACCGCTCAGTAAAAGCTGCTATCCTTCTCGCACCTTGCATCTACAACGGCGTTCTATGTCCTGGAGTTCTCATGTCGAGCGGAGTTACACAGCCTGTTTCATTATTTGTTTTAAAAGGATCCCATGAGCGCGGGATTCGGGGATCATGTGTTATGACTTTGAGGGAATTCTTTCAAGCAAACGGTCCTAATGGATCAAAGGCCTCTCTCGCCAATCCTACCCTGACTGGGAAATACTGTACATACTTACAGGGTTGGCGGTGACTGGCAAGGACTTGCAAAAGACGGTTTACAAGCCAAATATATTAATGAATTACATGATACAATGACTAGATTATCTTATTTTACTTTACTTTACTTTTTCTCCGTATGGTTTGTTGAGTAGAGTCCAAACCCATAGATTGAAGGACTGTGGGGTGGGATGTTCATTGTTGAACCCTATCCGATTTTGCATCCGACCCAACCAATGTGTATGCCAAATTTCAGCATCCCTTATACCCTCACCAAGTTTAAGGTTTTCCAATACCGTCTGTTATTATTTTCATCTTGATACTGCACAGCAGTCGATTCCTCCCTCAATAATCACCGGAACCTAGCTGCCAATCATCAAGAACCCTGCCAAGGCTCTGTACAGGCGCATTTAGGATCTAGTGGGTTACCCCAGTTCTTAATAAGAATAGGCCATGGTGCCTGATTGAACTCACAGGAAGCTGGATGAAAACAATAGGGATAGTTTGGAATATAAAACTGCAAGATATTGATTTGCGAATCATATGTAGTCTTAAAGTGGAAATAAAACATATCAGCGAAGAGTTTATTACATGATCTGTTTGATCTCGCACACATACCTACAACGGCTCTCTTCATTGTGGGAAGGGCTCATGCCTATGCACCACACTCTAAGCTTTTATTAAGCATGAACAACCAGGGTCTAGAATAAATCCATTAGCTTGGATAAATTCACTTACTTACTCACACACTCGCCCCTCAAGGGTCGGCTTCTAGGTAGTATCAACAGTCGCAAATCCCACTAGGTACCCTTCCAGGCGCGAATCGCTGCTGACTCAGGATCATCAAAATTGGACTAAGTCAAGCATCCTAAAAAAGACTAGAACCTTAAGCCACCGGATTTGGAACGCATATTACTCTTTTAACTACTCGGTTAGGCCTTTTCAGAAAGTAGGCTAGAGAAGAGGCGGATTTATCAAAAGTAGAACAGCATCGTCATCTACCCGGATTTGTTATTTTTGTTTTATCCTTAATTGGGCACGAGGAGCTGCTCTTAATTTAGTAAAGTTGCGTTAAATCATCTCTAGGGAGAATCTAATCTTATCAATCTAATCAGTCAATGGAACCTTATCTGTTTCTCGTGCGAGAGATCCTGGGTTGATTGCGTTGCCCCGTTTTCTTTTATGTAAGAGTATGGAGTATGGGGTGGCTGCTTGTGTTCTAGACTCGTAGGGAGAAATGGTTGAAAGCGGCTCATGTATCAATGACTCGGTGATATTCTAGAGGTTTTTTAGATCGCTGGTGCGAGTGAAATCTCAAGCAAGTTTTCTTGAATCTAGAGAGGTCCGGATGCATTAGAATTCCTATTGTGCTATGCTTATCTCATATGTTGGTATTGAAGCGTGACCTTCAGAAGTATTTTTGTTGATGGGTGTGGTACTAGGAAATTTCATCTGATTAAGCAGCAAGAGGATGGCTAGTGCTATAACTTGTTACATCATTTACTTCCAATCATCGGTCTTCTTGGCCACAACGGAATCCTGCATAAGGCTTTTGGCCCCTCCCGCAATCCTGGACCCTGAGACCCTGAGCTAGGTACGAACAGGCTGTGAGAAGTTCCACAGCGGACCGAATGCAAGTCACATAAGTTCAGGGTGTGTATCGGGTATCCAGTGGCAGGGTCTGGGCGTTGCTGATGGGCTGGATACGAGAAGTATGTCGTGCTTGTCAAAGGATATTGCTCATATAAAGAATGTACCCATGTGTTGACTAAGCGGATCAATACTGACTACTACTAGTCGTACAATGTCCGACTAGTCCGCCATAACTCACTATGCACAAATGACAAGACAGATGGATATTCTTGACAATTGACCTTATTCTCTGTGTCGAAGGACTCCATCTGCAGCAGACAGCTGGTTAGGGCAAGCGGGTCACCTGAACGGGCAGAGCGGAACCGGTGCCAAGCAGGGCTCAGCCCCGGCTGGCGTAGCGCCGAGCACGCAAGCCGAGCCGGGGATGTCGTGATTGACACGTGACTGGATGGAGACCGTTTCAAAGGCGGCGGAGGGCCGTTTCAACTTTTATGCGGGCTGACGTCTCCGATCGGAGCAGCCACAGGAATAGTCGCAGGTCGCAGCATCTATCTGAAAAAAGTCCACGCATGCGATTGACATGTCGGGATCCCTGCTGGTTTTGTATCCGGGGGTGTCCCAGCGGTGCCCCTGAAAATCTTGACTTGTTCTGGGCTCTGTAGACCCAGCGGGGGAGATTATGTGGCTTTCAACATGAGGGTGATGACGACGATGGGGGGATTATCCCCGTGGTGTAGTGGCTGCGCCGTATCTCCGAGGAGCCAGCAGTATACGAAGTATGCGACGCATATTCAACACCCACCTTCCAGAAGGCCTAAAAATAGAGGAGACATTAGGATAGCATGCTCGGGGAAGGCGATGGCGCCATCGCGCCGGGCATAACAAGGAATTGCGAAATTGTAGACCGACGTATTGTGATTTGTGAAGCCTCATCGGAGCGACAGCAGACAAGGCCAGAAGGCCAGAACTACTAGGCATACGTAGACCCTCCGCGAACCAAGAGTTGGATTGCTCCACCACTTGAGGAGACAACGGGTCTGATGCCGACGGTTGATTTGGCTGAGAGAGAAAGCATATTGGTCATCGCGGCAGTCCGTCAATCTCCTGAGGGCTGGAATTGGATCTTGCCTTGCCTGTTCTCCGCCGTTCCCCTCTTCAGCCCCTGCCTACCTACTTTTTTCTTCCCTCGCATTCCCCCCCTCTTCTTTATAAGCCTCTGGATCCTCCAGACCCTCCCTCGCCCTCTTCTTTCTTCTCCCATCCATCCTTCCTCATCCTACACAATGGCCAACTCTCCCCACGGTGGTGTCCTTAAGGACCTTATTGCTCGCGATGCTCCCCGCCACGACGAGCTCGCTGCTGAGGCGGAGTCCCTCCCCGCCATCGTTCTCTCCGAGCGCCAGCTCTGCGATCTGGAGCTCATCATGAACGGTGGCTTCAGTCCTCTGGAGGGTATGTTTCTCATCTCAGTGTTGCTTTCCGCAACAGCCCCTACTGTCGCAACGGACAACAGGCGCGGGGTACATTGGCCTTGACTAACTCGGGCGCAGGCTTCATGAACCAGAAGGACTTCGACGGGTATGCTACCATCCCTCACCCCCACCAATCTACGCCGGTGGACCTTGACCAGACAACCGAGAGAGGAGCTGATTCTAGGCAAAAATAACGGGGGCAGTTGGCTGATTTTGGTTTCCATACAGTGTTTGCGAGAACTGCCGCCTGGCCGATGGCAACGTCTTCTCCATGCCCATCACCCTCGATGCCTCCCAGCAGACCATCGATGACCTCAAGCTCCAGGCTGGTACCCGGGTTACCCTGCGCGATTTCCGTGACGACCGCAATTTGGCTATCCTAACCATTGACGACATCTACCGTGCTGACAAGTGAGTCGCAACTCTTCACTTTTTATTGTTTATTTTCTCTTTTTTTTTTTCTTTTTTTTTCGCAAAATAAAAAATAACCTTGGCGAACGTGGGGTGTCAACGATCGCTACTCCCCTGACTTGAACGGGGGTTTCAATCTTGAAACAAGTCCGATGGGGATCAGCATCATCGGTCTTGATTTCCCACGGGCGGAGTTTACTAGCTGTCGGGGATTCTCCAGATAGTGGGTCTCGATGACGCGGAAGGCTAACCATGCGCTTTTGCCCCTGATTTAGGCAAAAGGAAGCCAAGCTGGTCTTTGGCGGAGACGAGGAGCACCCTGCCATCAAGTACCTGAACACCAAGGTCCAGGAGTTCTACATTGGTGGAAGGGTCGAGGCTGTCAACAAGCTCAACCACTACGACTATGTCGCCCTTCGCTGTATGTCATTGCCCGTGCACAGGCCCGACGATCGCATCAAGGAGTATTTACTGACCGCGCGGGCCTTTAATTAGACACTCCTGCGGAGTTGCGTGTCCACTTCGACAAGCTCGGCTGGTCCCGAGTTGTCGCTTTCCAGACTAGGTGCGTGTGACCGAGTCAGGCTCTTCTGCGCCCCTCGCTATGCGGAACCTGAACTAACGGTGCCTTAGAAACCCCATGCACAGAGCTCACCGTGAGCTGACCGTCCGTGCCGCACGCGCCCGTCAGGCCAATGTCCTGATCCACCCCGTTGTTGGTCTCACCAAGCCCGGTGACATTGACCACTTCACCCGTGTCCGTGCCTACCAGGCCCTCCTCCCCAGCTACCCCAACGGCATGGCTGTCCTGGGTCTCCTGGGTCTGGCTATGCGTATGGGTGGTCCTCGTGAGGCCATCTGGCACGCTATCATCCGTAAGAACCATGGTGCCACTCACTTCATCGTTGGCCGTGACCACGCCGGTCCCGGTAAGAACTCCAAGGGTGAGGAGTTCTACGGCCCTTACGATGCTCAGCACGCCGTCGAGAAGTACAAGGACGAGCTCGGCATTGAGGTCGTTGAGTTCCAGCAGGTCACCTACCTGCCCGACACTGATGAGTACCGTCCCAAGGACCAGGTCCCCGCTGGTACCAAGACCCTGGATATCTCCGGTACTGAGCTCCGCAACCGCCTCCGCACCGGTGCTCACATCCCCGAGTGGTTCTCCTACCCCGAGGTTGTCAAGATCCTGCGTGAATCCAACCCCCCTCGTGCCTCTCAGGGTTTCACTATCTTCCTTACCGGTTACCAGAACTCTGGCAAGGACGCCATTGCCCGTGCTCTGCAGGTCACCCTGAACCAGCAGGGTGGACGTTCGGTCACTCTGCTGCTTGGTGACACTGTCCGCCACGAGCTCTCCTCCGAGCTGGGCTTCAGCCGTGAGGACCGTCACACCAACATCCAGCGCATCGCCTTTGTGGCCGGTGAGCTCACCCGTGCCGGTGCCGCCGTCATCGCCGCCCCCATTGCTCCCTACGAGCACTCCCGGAAGGCTGCCCGCGAGGCCGTTGCTGGATCCGGTGGCAACTTCTTCCTTGTCCACGTTGCTACTCCTCTGGAGTACTGCGAGAAGACCGACAAGCGTGGCATCTATGCTAAGGCCCGCCGCGGCGAGATCAAGGGTTTCACTGGTGTTGATGACCCTTACGAGACTCCTGCTAACGCGGACCTTACCGTGGACGTTTCCAAGCAGAGCGTTCGCAGCATTGTCCACGAGATCATCCTCATGCTTGAGGGCGAGGGCTACTTTGACCGCATCTAGATTAGCGTAGGCGCTTGGGAAAACATTGGATTTTTGTGATACAGATGGGATTTCGGAACCATGGGCGATTTAGAGGATCTATGGTTTATAGAGACTTGGCTTTGAAATAATATGATTGATTCCCCAATACAGTTGTTGCAGCTTGTATGCCAAAAGACAAACTTATCACGTAGGCTTCTGTAGATCATGAGTCAGTCAACTGGTGAGTTGGGTGACTTGCAAACTGTGCAAACTGTGCAAACATGCACCTGACCTGGGCAGCTGTTCTTCCTTCGACCAAGTTGAGAGCCGATCCTGGCACAACAGACTTGCGACCAGCACCAGAGAATGCTCCCTCCTCGCACACCAATTCCTCGAATACCAGGGGCTGGCCGCTTCTCGCGGTCCCCTGTTCTCTACAATCACCGCCATGCATCGCGTCCCTTCACACAGAACTCCCGACTTCAGGTTATATCCCCGCCGTTAGGTCGGCCTCAACTGCCTTTCCTCTCATCCGCCGCAGGCACTCGGCCACTTCCACCCTTATCTTTACATCTCCGACAGCATTTCGCACGCCTCGTATCCACCGAGAGCCGGAGTTACTATCGGCGCCGTCTCTCCAATGGTCTGAAGATCGGTCTGTCGTTTTACGCCATCTTGGTTATGTTCCAGGTCATCAAGATGGGCGTGTACCAGGAAGAAATCGAACACCAATGGCCCACGCCGCCGGAATGGTCATGGAAAAGCCGGTGGTGCTTGCGTTCGGCACAGGCACTGCAGAACCCCGAGCAGATCGGCAAGCTGATGACCAATTGGCCCATGGTTGCGGGATATCTGCGGGATTTGTTGGAACGGCTTGAGAACCCAGAAGGAGAAGGAAAGGGAATTGTAGAGCAAGAAGATGGGGGATTTCTAGTCACTGGTGTCGGGAAAACCGGGTTTGATATCACCGCGAAGAGTGAGCCGTGGCGACGAGGCTACTTCCAGGCTCTCATAGGCGCTGCAAAGGCCGCGGAAAGTCTTGAGGGTTGGTTGACCGATCGGAAGCAGCGTATCTCTGCTCCTGCAGAGTACGTCGTTGGTCCCTCGAATCCTCGTCCGAAGCCCATGCCCGCTGGACAGAAGAAGGTCCCGCGAGAGGAAAACTGTGAGCCTGCCTCTCCCAGCCCGGAGACCTTCTACATGAAGATCTTGACGACACGAGGTTTCGACACGAGACAGAAAGTGGAGGCAGCCCTCTCTTATGCGGATTGGCTCGAATACAAGGGCCTGAGGAGCACTGCGCAGGATATGTACAATTGGGCTATGGATATCGCGGCCGCTGGATCGTCCGTGGATGCCTCGAAAGTCGTGGACTTGAAGACAGGCGTCTTGAAGAACGATGGGAATAACTTGCCCTCCGAAAACATCATCCGAGTGTCCACTGCGCTTGCGGTCTACCATGCCAAACAGGGCAACCTGCCCAATGCACTATCCATCTTCACCTCGGTGCTGAAGGCTCGTCGCTCCCTTCCAGCCAACCCGTCAGACAGCGTCCTTCCATTTTTCCCCTCTCTTCCTCGCTCGAGCAATGACCCTTTCCGAACCCTTTTCAACGCCCTCAAGACAGTCCTCATTCCTGTTGAATACCCCCCACCTCAACCCTCGGGAGATGAACCTCCGGTACGAACCGTCACCTCCGCCTGCGACGAAGCGGGTCTCATGACCTACATCGGGGAGATCATCTACGCATCCTCCTCCAGGGAGTCCGGTCTAGCCTGGACCCGTGATGCCGTCGATATGGCTGAAGCTAGCATTCTCGAACTCGGTACCTCCGAAGAGGCCCGAATCCCTCGCGAACGCTGCGCAGACTGTCTGCGAATCGGCCTGAATAACTGGAAAACCATGGTCTCCCGTCTGGTCGTACAGGCCGAAAAGGAGGAACTGGAAGCTATCGAAAAAGCGAAGACGGCTTGGTACGGTGGCCAGAAGCAAATCCAGACCAAGTCTCTCGAGCGGAAGAGATGGGAAGCCGAACGCATGATTCTGGACGACCGGGCTAGAAAGCTTACGCCCTTTGTTGACGACGACAGTGTCTTCCAGGGACTTGCACCTAACAGCTCGATGTTTACCTAGCCCTATTCAATGCCCGGCTAACTATCCTGTACTTTGTTTTATTTTGACCCATGCATGGAATTGAGGAGTTGAGGCGAGGGCATACATATCCTTCATAAGCGTTCGGGGTTCGTCAGGGACGGGGTCTTTCTCTTCTCTGTGTGTGATTATCTTACTGTATAACTAACTGCAAATATAAAACTGCTGTTCGTTCAGGACAATTAGTATCTACACCAACATGTCTATTCCCATTTATCACATCCTAAATTCATTCATTCCTATTGAGTATGGGGAATTATCTCTGCTTTAGAACTTAGAATCTAGAGCCTTCTATATAAATCTATAGTAAATAGACCAATCATAACAACAGGTTGTGTAGTGTAATGGTCATCACTCTGGATTCTGATTCCAGCAATCCCGGTTCGATCCCGGGCACGACCTTTTTTTGTCTTTTTGCCTTTATACCAACCACACCACCTACCCTTTTTCTTTCTCTTCCTGCATGATATGATTTTATTTTCTCCGATCAGTTTTTGTGTGACGTGATGAGCTTCTTCGTTCGTATCTATGGTTCCATAGACGTTGGACCAGCGTACCACGCGTATCTATACCATATGTACTCCGTATCCATCTGCGCATTACCCGTTTGGGAAGGGTCGATCGAGTGAGGCCTTTTTTCCTATTCTTAGTTCTTTTCTACTTTTTTCTTTTCTTTTCTACATTCAAACGGATGATGTAAATTTGCGTTAGGTGATGTCTAGGCGCTATGAGGCTATAAGACTACTACTATCTATCGATGTTGCTTTGTCTGGATTGGGTAGGAATTAGGAACTGCAGCATCGGAATAGGAAGGTCAAATCCATTGCTCGACTGTTCTGTATCTACTCTAGATGTACAAGTACATGTACGGACTACTATCGCTAAACGGTATTGCAAAATGCCAAGTCAAGATTGAAGCAGATAGATTAATTAAAGATACAACAGCTCCCGCTGTTCCAGGTACGCTAGCCGCCACCGACAACACTGCCACTGGGTAATTTGATCTTGTAATCGTCGAAGTCCAACGTGTAGTTGCCTAGGATACCAGATGGAGTGAGGTCGATGGTGAAGCTGTGGGTCTTGGCGTCGGTGTAATCCTCGGTCAGGTAGGACTGGATGTTACTTTCTGAGAACTCGGCGGCGGCGAGCGTGCCGGTTTCTTCGAGGATGTAAAGAACGGCGACGCGGGCAAAGTCGAGGACTTCCGTGGTAACGGCGGTGGAGTTAGAGGATGAAGAACCAACCGCTGTCGTGGTCGAGTTGGAGGTGGAAGTTTCGGTGGCTTGAGATGCGTGCCCGGTGTTGGTAGCCGTTGCAGTCGCGGAGACTGTCGTTGGTGGGTCGTCGTCGAAGACGATGCCGTGTGATGTAGCGACAGAGTCGCGGGCTGCAAGGACTTGTGTGGGGGTCAATTTCGACAAGGTAGAACTGGGAGGCTCAAGGTTGGCTAGTAGGTAGTCTGAAATCAAAGGCTCAGTCAATGGCGAGGCAGAGAGAGCACGGCGGGCTTTGCTGCTGCTTGTTGCTACGCCAGCGAACGAAACAAGCGTGTTTTCCGTCGTGCAGGAGACATTGCTTTGGCTGAAAAGTGCCATGATGGTGACTGCGTCCAAAGAAATGCTGTAGTTTTGCTGGGAATACTCGAATAGACGGGGAAGGTTGCTGCCCATGGTGGCGTTCTTGTTATCGACCTGGGTGGTGACGCAGCTGGCATCGCCAGAAATGGTACAGCGCGATCCGGTATAGCCATTGGCGCAAACGCAAGAGCAAAGACTGCCGCTGGAGACGCTGACGCCGCCGTTTTCACATGGGTTGCTCGTTGCGCAGTCTGTACCATTTGACTTGTGGCGAAGCACAAGCAGGCAAACTGGGATGAGAATTGCGGCAAGAATGATGATGATGATCAGAACGCAGATGAGGCCAAACAGCCAGGGTGGCAATCCGCAGCACCGACGGGGTTGTCTCGGTGCGGCTTTCTCTTGGTCTCCCTGAGGGGGTTCGTTGGACTGTATCTGGTGAAGCGTGGACCGTCTGAGGAAGAACGGCCAGGAAGAGTGGCCTCCCTCCGGGGTTGCAGCAGGGGGTGGGAATGAAGCCAAGATGCTCTTGATCGATCCGGACTTGCGTTTGGCGTCATCTGTAAACATTGGTCAGTCTTGCCGCTGGATTGACGCTAACATCTAGGGCCAAACCTACGGAATGGAAACCTTGAACCTCCACCGCCATTCAAAAGGTCGTTCCTGCTTGCAGTCCGTCCATGTTCCAGATTTGACGCAAGTTTGGTCGCGCGTAGGATGAGATCAGGCAAGCTCGTAAGGCTCCCTCGAGCCTCTGCATCACGGACAGCAAGCATATTGAGGCGTGGAGGCCTACGGCCACCTGGTCGTTTGTCACTCATCGTTGGCGCAGCCTTGGGAAGTGCTCCCACCTCCTTCTGCAAGGCTTCATTGTCATTGTATGGGCGAGCTAGAGCAGGATGTTGCGTGCTGATATCCAAGATGATTGGCGCTTTCTCCAAGTTGAAATGTGAGGACGATGTCGAGGTTGACGAGACAGAATCCCTGCGATCCGATCCTACAGAGACTTCTTTCAGGGCGACTTCAGGTAGCATGGTTCCGGCTGTCGTTGGTCTCGCGGATACAGGGGTCCGCTCCGAGGGCGGCACCGGCGAGCTAGCATTGGACTTCTGAATAGTGCGCAGGGAAGGCTTCCCTCTGGTTCCAATGCTGGCTTGTCTGAGGAGCGTAGCGATTCCAGCGTGAGCAGTATGTACTGAATCATCGTCGTCAGATTCGCCGTCTAGATATGTTCCCAGAATTTCTGATTCGGCCTGCCCCGAGTACCAGCTGGGTGGGTACGGTTGAGCTGTTCCATAGTGGTCTTGCGAGATCGTCGGGCTGTCCGGGAGTTCCTCTGGGATAGGCGAAACGGACGAGGCGCGGTTTCCACCCGGCCGCGCCACCGGCACTGGGGGCGCAAGGCTAGCGGCCTTTTTCGGAGCACCTCCTGGGGCCGGACGATGCTGCAAGGGCAGTGGCTGGGGAACGGAAGGAAGTTCAGTGATTGATGAGACCGTGGAGATTCCCGACTGTCGAAAAAGATCATCCGTCGCAACTGAAATGCGGGGTGTTGAACCGGCAACACTGTCCGGGCTAGGCGGCCGAGGGATGGGGATCCTGATGGTAGGACGCGGGCCTTGTTGTAGTGGGAAGGGTTGCGAGAAGGAGGGAACTGGGCGTTTGATATTCAGCGGGCTGGGGGCCGAGGGAACATCCGACATGCTTCTCTCTGAATAAACCGAAGGCGACGGGCAGTCAGGGCGAGGGGGTCGCACCGGCGGAGGTCCTTTGAGAACGCTCAACGTTGCTTGGGGGTGAGCCAGGTTCGACGGCAGCGGAGTATTGTCGGGCAGAGGCCATTGTGTCATATGCGCTGGATTGACCCGGAAGGGAGGTTCTGGTTCAACTCTCTCAGGGCGTTTTCCAGCCTGAAGCATCTCCCGCGCTCGCTTGACGGATCCTTTTCGCCCAACATCCTCATTCGATTGAGGCTTGGAGCCTGCGCTGTCGGATTGAGGCTCCATAAATTATCAGTTCTAGACCGTGGAGTTCTAACAGTCATGTGATACGTTCGTTGAAGATGGAGCGAAGATTGACCAGCACATAGGATGAAGGTGTTAGAGGTACTGTTAGTGTAAAGGCCTTTCTTCAACACTAGAGAGGGCTGGACGATGAGCGAAATCCGGCTCGACGGTGTTGAGATAGATGTAAACGAAAGAAGACAGTAACGGCTCTGGCTGTCCGACGCCGTGCAACAGTCAAGGCGTGAAAGCAATGAGTTCAGAATTCAATCAAGAGAAAGTGGTTGATAACAAGAGTCGCAATGGCACTCAATGCCTCTAGACGGGATGAGTAAGTTGATGCTGCAGACCTAGACATGGTAGATAGCCAGATAAAGCTTGCGTACCGCACGGAAAAGGTCTTTTTTCAAAGTTAAAAGAAGGAAGATAGACCCAAGTCAAAAAAGCATAGTATCAAACTCCCGAAGTCTCAAAAGGACCTTTGGCAGGTCTTGAAACCCCTGAGCGCATAGCAAAACATCAGTTAGTCAACCTGGCCACGGAGCGCACTAGTCCCGGACTTACGGGGTGGTCAATCCAAAAGAATGACAGGGAATGAAAAGAAAGAGCTTCTAGCCCTGACTTGGAAGCAAAGGAGCGAGCGACTGGAAGGTAGAAAGAAAGGGAACAACCCCCAGTGTCGCGTCAAGACTCAGTCCTTTGGGCGATAACGCCTCACACGGTTGGGAAAGCAAGGCCAAGGGTTTTCCAGCAACCCGGCGAACCAAAAGTCAGACGTTGATATTAAAGTGATTCATTTCCGTCCTATGCGCGGGCATAGGACCGGATAAGGGCGCAGACGTTTTAGAGTCGGTCCGGTTCAGTGCGAGTGGAGTTGATCCAAAGCAATAGCGCGGGGACAGGCACGGAAAGCCGTTTGTGATAATGGTGGCTATTAAGAGACCAGGTACGCGAAACCCAGCCTCCCACGTAAACATTGCATTTAACAGGTGGTTGACACCGCGTTTGGGCGACAGTCAAGGTGACGAATGGCAACCTCCATCACGCCCATCCGATATCAGATGCCCGAATATTCCCTGGTTTCCCATTGCCATCGTGTACCTGGGTGCACTGAAGTCGACGGCCAGCGGAGACCCATGAATCACCAGGCCATGCTAAAGGAGGGGACAGAGGGTAGGCGAGGGCCATGGATTGGCCAGAAATTGGGATCCTGAATAACCGGGAAGCTAAAAGACAGAGACCAGGGCCGGCCATTGGTCAGGGTCGGGGGACCAAGAGGACGGTGGTTCAACTAGGTCTCACCTTGAGCAGAAGTGCCGCTGCTCCAGCGCGGTCCTGCGGCCCTGGGATTTCAATATGAAACGGTCGACGAAGCCTTTCCGTGAGCACCGGCCAATGAACGGGGCCACCGGGCAAGCGAGAGGGAGCGAGACATGGTCGTCAGCGCAGGCCATCCACGAGTTGCAATTGATCCTGGCGCGGCTGGCTCCACCGCATATCAGAGCCATAAAACCATTTCAGTCTCACGACCGTAGCGTCCTTCCCGATCCTCCTTTTTTTCTCTCGCGATGATTGCAGGAGAAATAGTCTGTCGGAGGCGAGCAGTTGCGCCATTGCTAGCTGGCTATCGACTGCGTACCCAGTAGATAGGTAGATACTAGATACTTCCAAGGTCCGTCTCTGCCGTCGGGCGGAAATCTTGTTGTGGTTTAGTGAATAATGAGCCCCGGAGATTAAGCACCACCATCGGGAAGAGCCCAAGCGGGTAGCATCATATGAGAGATAATAATAGTATCCTCCTTTTCTAATCCATGATCTGGGGAGCAAACCGACGTCCGGGAGCGAGAGTACTAGTCAAGTGGCCCGCCATGGCAGAGACTGAGAGAACCTGAGATGATGAAGGAAAGGAACCCAAATCCGAGGCTCAACGGGCGGCCCCTCATCAATGCTGCAGCCACCTGCAACCACCCCTTCCCCCCGTTGTTCCCACTCCGAAGAGCCGACTGTGGTCTGACAGGAGAGTTCATTGGTATCGACGTTAATTCTTCCCATATCCATGGTAAACCCCATTGTAATTTGAAAGGTGCTTCAGATCAATACCGGGGTGGGTATCCCCATGGCATGGAATGTTCGACGGTGTTGATATCCCCGCTCACTATCTATCGATCAACCCAATAAATCGTTGGGACTCCATCCATGTCAAAAAATAAAAATAGAATGGAAAAATGTGCCGAGTGGGCACGTCTGTTCTTCGATATTATCTTTCATTTATTTGGCTTATCAAGTGCCGTAGCTTCCATGTCCGTACTCTATACTCTATCTACATGCCTATAATCTATAACCCACTATAGATACTGATGGCCTGAGGCACATATTTTGGTCTTTCTGTCACTGATAACATTACTCCTAGCGCATGGTGGCCCAGACAACAACTCTGCAAACACCAGATTACATCACTATATCTGGCCCAGTTCACTTCGCACTCGCTCGACTTCCTTCTCCACGATTCGCATCTCAACTATGACACTAGCCAGCTGGGGCAAGCGACCCTCAACGGCTTCGGTGAAGGACTTCTGGGCGCTGCGAAGATAAGGGGGCACCAAGATTCCGTACCAATGGATAGGGTTCGAAGAACGGAACTTCTTTTTCGATCGCTTAGGCTTCGCATCTGTATCCCCTTCCGTTTGGGGCTTTGGCGTGGCCGGGGATTCGCCACTTTGGCTGTTGCTCTCTTCGCGTCCCGAATGATCTTCCTGAGACGGACCAGTATCTGATTCAATCTTATCGTCGATCTCGGATTCATCCTCTGTGTGTCGCACGGTAACTGTTTCGATCTCAAAAATAGATTTGAAATTGCTGTCCTTGGTATCAGCCTCTGGTAAGTTCTCAGCTTCTGTCGCATAGCTTTCTTCAGCAAGATTGGTAGGAAGTTGTAGAGACCTGGTTTGGTCGAACCGATTAGCATGGTCCTGTAAAGATAGAGTATGTTGACCATTTCATGGTGCAACCCAGACTCACACTCTCTTAGTCGCTTTCATGCGTTCGTCATAGTAGTCCGCGCCATAGTGCCGACCAGGTGGACAAGTGTAGTTGGCTTGGGCGAGAGAGAAATATCCCTGATGCTAATCTCAGTATTGTATACCACAAGATTGAATCGCCTTGTCGCACGATTGTGGTGACATACTGAGGAGAGCTTCGAACCTAGTTCGGCTTGCAGCTTCTGATGCTGATCCAGAAGGCGCAGATATCGTTCCAATAGATTGTCCAAAGACTGTAGCAAATCCACCGGGGACTCTGCTACAGGAGCCTGCTTCGGCTCAGCATCCGGAGCTGGCGAAGCAGAGCGGGAGGCAGGCGGAGTGGGGATTTGCGCCATTGGGACTTGAAGATGGGATCAGCGTTCGATCCGAAGTACAATGACGCTCCCTCTAGGATAGGAACAAGCTTCAACCGTGGTTGTTGAGGAAGAGCGGAGCATGGTGGAAGCCGAGAGGAGAGGGAGATCCCCCGTGGAGGTCGGCCGGTGAGTCCGATAACTCCGTCATCGCGCCTCCGAGAGCCAAAAGCAAAAGAATTTCCCGGGCCTGCCTGCGACTGTCTCTTCAACACTCCGCCTGCATCCCCGTCCGGAAGTCTCCGTTTTTCTTGCTCGCTTCCGCCTGCTGGATCCAGCCCTCTGTGACTGTTTCTGCGATTGAGACGCCGTTTCGGTTGGTTGTTTGGACTTCTATCCAGAACGCCACCTGCCCTGCGCTGTCCGAAGGAGACATCCCAGCCCGCCTACGAATCGCCTCTCGGAGTCGGACCTCCTCGGTAAAGATCACTCGGACTGTTCCTCTTTGGGACTCACAACGTTGACGCGAATAGCATCGCCTAACGGACCCTCCCACGTTAGCGGCCCCGAACGATTAGAAATCGGGAGTAGCTGTATCTGCGATCTTTCCGGCATCGCCCTTTCTAGTTATACCAAGTTATAATCGCATCTCTCCACTCCGAATATTCAACTCGCCATTATGTCTGTGCCAACCTTGCAGCGAGAGACAGGATTTCAGGTTCGGTCTCTGGTATGTCTTCTGCTCCCCGCTTGAGCTCGATCGCCAAACCCTTCTCTTGTGCTGCGATGAACTGGAGCTAACAGGTCCTTTTTATGCGGGCAGTTCCGATCCTTGCTCCGGCAATCCTCCCAGTTCTCGAACTACAACTTCCGCGAGTATGCCCGCCGGCGCACGGTAGATGCCTTCCGCGAGCACCAGAAGGAAGGCGAAGACAGGCGGATACAGGAGTTGATCCAGGATGGACTACAGAATCTGCGGATGATGAAGGTCAGTGGGATTCCCCAGGTGTAATTGGTTGGAACTAGCTGTGTTTGTCTATTCTGCGCAGACAGTGCGCGCTGAGTCAAAGCGGGGGTTATGCCGGTGAACGGGCTGCTAATACTGCTGCAGAGGCAAACCGTTATCAGTCAATTTTACCAGCTGGACAAGTTGGTTGTTGAAGGCCAGAAGACTGTGAGTCCCGACTTGAGCTGGCTTACGATGGTCATGAGCTAATGGGACGATAGGGAAAGCAAACTGGCTCGGAAGGCAACATTGTTCGCCAGAAGGATACCGGGTAAGAGGGTCCCTTCAATCCCGCGAGGGCTTTGGCTCCCCTTGGTTTTAGACTGTGCTGATTCCGATGTAGCTGGGACTAATCGATTTTCCTAAATCTGTTGTTTTTGGAAGCGTGAGTACGGAGTTGAGGGGAATCCGGAGCCATACGACATTGATATCACCCGCAGATGAAGTGACGGAATAGACCGGAGGGGTTCTGTATTTTTATTGAAAGCCACTGCGCTGTAGGTAACACCGATGCTTACTCTGACTTGACCGCAATACGATTCTTCTCTCCCCAGAAACCAATTAATCCATCGGGGGTCGCTGCTGTAAATCCTGTATCTACCATTATTGATTATTACCTAGCTGTCAGCCGGGTCTCTGCGGGCGCAGTCACACAGTCACGTGTGGCGAGGTGTTGCCGCGCTTCTCCATCCATCGCATCGCGCCCATCGACTTGAGCCGACTCTCTCGCTTTTCCCCCAAGAGTCTCTTTCGTCCCATCGCGCATAACAAACACCCAACTCTGTAGATACTCTGGGTGAGGGACTCTCCCCCCATTTTCTTTGTCCTTCTCCGAGAGTGGGACTGACTGCAGGGCCGGCGCTCGCCATGCCACCTACTGTAAGCTCCTCGTCGCCATCACCACCACCCCGTCTTGGATCAATCCACCATCGATTTCATCGCCGCTTGCCAGCTTGTAGTGAGCAAAGCCCTTGGTAGCCTGCTGACAGTTCCCAGTTCAGATCTTCTCGCTCCGGTCGCCAATTCGGCGACGGCGCCAACCGCAACAGAAGTCAGATCGATCATGATGTGTTTGAGGGCCTCCCTGTACGACGATGGACACGACAAACCCAAACGGTCTCGCAAGTTCCCAAGACCGAAGTCCCGGAAGCCGTCGTGCAGGGCCCCGGGGGGAAACCAACCATACCAGAGCACCCAATGCCGAGGGACAGCCACCTTTTGGGTCCAATGAGCCGAGCCCTACTGCGAGCCGCCCGCGCCGGGTGCATATACATCCGCCAGGCATCAAAAGACTCCGAGGACGAGGAGAAAGAAGCGACCGATGGGGAAGAACCACCCCTAATCCAGAGCACGGAGCGCAGCTTCGTCACGCGCAAATGGACGACGGTACCGAGACATTTGGAATCGGCCGAAGTCGAATTCCTTGCCAAACGACGACCGGGCTTGCCATCACTATACGGTGCCGCTGCTTCATCTGCCGATGGAAACAATGCTGCTGCGCCGATGAGGAGGACACGATTCAAGAAGGTTGATCCGACAACTGGGAATATCTCGATCTACGAAGCCTGGGTGCCGGAAGGACACAAAATTGAGGGAGAGATCACAGAAGGAGCACAAGTTGTAGCCGACAATAGCGCGATCACAGTGACTCCTGAGGCGCCAGCGCCAGGTACGGTCATTGAGGGGGTTGGAGTCGTCAACGCCGAAGGTGTGGTAGTCGCAGATACTACCTCTGCGGCTGTCATGACTCCTCCCAAAAGACGGCCGCCTCCCCCCAAGCGTAAGGCAAAAGGCGTTGGGAAAGGACGCAGAAAGAAGGTCATGTTTGCTCCCGGTGAAGGCGCGGATGCCTCCCTGGTTCATGATGCCAATTCCAGTGGTGTTGATGGCGCAGCAGAGTATGTCAAGGATGAGGACACGGACCCGTCACGGATGTCAATGGATCGGAATGGCCAGGAAGATGAAGATGAAGAGGGTGACGATGGCGATGAGAGCGACGAGGGTGACGAATCGATGCTAGATGCAAAGACTCCGGAAACTCCGCTTCCACGTCCCAGTACCGAGCCGCCGGCCGACTCAGTGCCTGCGTCTGCACCTGCTCTTGCCTCTGACTTCGCTTCGGCAACAGAACCGGCTGCAACAACTGCACCGGACACTACGGAAGCTGCCGTGCCTGCTCCAGGGATTTCATCCGCAGAAGCTTCAGAAACCCCGGCACAACCAGTCATGCCGCTAACTGAGCCGCCAGTTGCCGAACCTCCCGCAGAAGTGGTTGCCAGTCTGCCCGAATCAGCAAATTTTGAGAAGCCAAGTGAGGCACCAACATCTACAGAGGATGTGGAGATGGCTGAAGCCACCCCAATACCTGAACCTGAAGATATCGTACCCGCTGCTCCTTCTCGGCAAGAAATAGCTATACAGCAACAGGAGCCGGCTCCGGAGAGCGCTGGAACTGCTCCTACCCTATTACCCCAGGAGGCTCCTCAAGCTTCGGTAACAGAAGCGTCCCCAGTCGTACCAGCGGTGGAGCAGGCTGTCAGTGAAACGCCTGCGGAGAAGTCAATGGAAACGGCTCAGACAGGCCCTGATGTGGCCCAGGTGGCAATCCAGGATGATCAGGTGATGGACTCAATCATGGAGGATTTTGCACCCCTCGTTCAAACAGCACACAACCAACCCCTAGAGGAACAGCCAGTCGAACAAGCTGTTCCTGAACAAGCCCAACCCCAACCTAGCCAGGTTATTGCAGATGATAAGGAAGTCGACCTCCTGGGTACTTTGGAAGCAAGTTTGGGCCGTCCGCCGAACGAAGAACAGGATGGCGATCAAGTAATGGACGTTGGGAACGAGGCCGATGCGCAAACCCCCGTCGAGCAGCCCGCTGTCACAGAACCAGCCGAGCGGGATGAGGATAGAAGAGCAAAACATGTCGCGGAGGTCACTGAAGTGGCTACTGAAGCGGCCACCGAACCGGGCGAACAAATCGCAGAACCCTCAGCAGAAAAGCGCACAGAGGAACCTCCAAGGCCTATTGAACAAGTTCTAGAAATACCGGCAGAACAAATCGCAGAGCAGGTAGAAGAACAGGCAGAAGAACAGGCAGAAGAACAGGCAGAAGAGCAGGCAGAAGAACAGGCAGAAGAGCAGGCAGAAGAGCAGGCAGAAGAGCAGGCAGAAGAGCAGGCAGAAGAGCCAGTCTTGGAGCAACATTTCCTGCCACAACAGCCTGACCAGTCAGAGCTACCTGTCCAATCAGAGCTACCTGTCCAACCAGAGCAACCTGTACAGCCTGTGCAGCAAGAACAGCCAGAGCAACCTGTACAGTCTGTCCAGCAAGAACAGCCTGTGGAGCAAGAACAGCCCGTGGAGCAAGAACAGCCCGTGGAGCAAGAACAGCCCGTGGAGCAAGAACAGCCCGTGGAGCAAACAATAGCACAGGTCCTGGAGGATGTCCCATTCCAGGCTGCGGCCCCAACTCCTGATATTGCCACTGAGCAGCAGAGCGAGCAGCCGCCTGTCGAGCAACCATCCGAGCCTCAGACTGAGCAACCACAAGAGGCACTGGAAGCCCCTGTGCTAGTCAGCACAGAGGAGCCAGCTCCCCAGGTGGAAGAAGCAGCAGCTCCACCTCAGCAGCCAGAGGAAGCCCAAGCACCCAAAGAAACCACTCCACCTGCATCAACTACAGTGGAGGACGTACAACAACAGACAGAGCCGGTATCGGCACCACAACCCCAGGCCGAGCAACCCTCCGAGCTTATTACTGAAAAGGTCTTTACCCCAGGCGACTCTGCGCCCATTCCCGAGCCTATACCCAAGCAAAACCAAGAGGGCGCAAATCCCGAAGAGGCAGAGCAATCAGCCGAGACTACTGCAGCTTAGGCTCATATAGAGCCTATTCTTTCCAAATATACTCATTATCAGACTTCTTGGAACCAGAAATGTTGTTGCCAGTTCAGGCGCAGCTAGGAACGGCGCTATGGCGCGATAGCCAGAAAGGCTTGATTTACTTGAATTGATTATTGCTGTCCGCAGCATAGCCATCATCGGGTTTCTCTTTTGTTGTATCATAGGGCTTTCATTTCACATCATTAGATGCAGTGTACAACATGGCACATAAACTTGTCTTTTCGGGGTTTGGGGTTTTCCTCCTCTCTTCTATAATGCAGCTCATCGCACACAAACCAGTCGTAGTCTAGATAGTGTCTCCATTTAATCAGGTCTCTCTTGTACCACCGATGTACCTACCCTCCATCTTCTATCACGTGTCCTGGGCTATTCTATCCCAAGGAGAACCGATACCACGTATGGTAATACTATACTATCCTGTATCCTTTACCCCCTCAAAGTACCCCTGCGATCTATAATAGCACTCCTATACAAATCAGCTGACCCAGACAGAATCTGTAACTAATTCTTTCCTCCCTATTCTTAACACAATCGAATCATTCAATTAAGATACTATATTCCAGTAGTGTGATTACCACTCTAGGCAGGCCCCTAGTATACATACATACATACCTACATTATCTTCATCCACATTAAACATCGCCCGTAGTTCCCACGGCACAAATGGACTCATTGTGTAACCCTACTTGCGTGCCGATTCAGCAAAAAGAAAAGAACGATAAATACAGTCTCTGGTCACCGATTTGCAAAATTTCCGAAATCATGCAAGATTACTAGTCGGATTGGGAATCAGACTAGAGCTAGTAAGTGAAATTGTGTATAACAGTCTACGTCTCAGCCTGATGCGTCAAAGATGAGGCATAAAGCCAATAAAGCTCAATAGCGCAATTCATAGTCTGTTTGCTTTTTGGAATTTTGCAAATCTGTGGCCAAAGACTGTAGCAGGAATTGAGTAGCTATAAGGGAGTACTAATATAAGTATATAGAGTAATAGATCGAACTCTTGGAAATACTAATAAGCTAAAGCAACTTACATTCCCATCGAGTCTAATGGGCATTGTCCACATACATCACTGTCAGCCGAAATATATTTCAGCAACAGCAGCACCCGCATCGCCCATTCGTAATTAATTGAAGGAGAGCCGAAAAAGCAGTCGAACCAAAAAGGAAGTAATTAAAAGAAAAAGATAATTAAACCAGGCTAAGGTCCCGAATCAAACCAAAAGGAACAAAAATTCAGATTCATCAAGGAAATTCAGCGACTAGACATGTCGCTATTATCCAGAACCACAACCTGGTCCTTGTAGACCAGCAGGAATCATTCGTTTAGCCTCAACCAAGAAAACAAAGACCACTAAGTATAAAGGTAAAGGTAGACCAGAAAAGGTAGGTAGCTAGCTACATCGAGGGCGATACAGGATCAGACAAGACACGCAAAAGCAAGCAAGCAAGCAAGCAAACACGCACACAGGCATCAACTGTCTCGTCTGGACTTGTCTCGTGATTGCACAGGACATGATGCAGGATAAGTCATGATAGGAATTCCTTAGTCGTCGACGTGGTTCAACATAGGATGGAAGCACAGAACATTAGGGCGGACATGAAAACGAACAGAGGGAGAATAGGCCAACAGGATGGGGGATGATACATTTCAAGAGCGCGCCATCGTAAGGAAATAAGAAATAAGAAATAAGAAATAAGAAAAAAGAAAAAAGAAAAAGAAGAAAAAGAAGAAAAAGAAAAGAACAACCGAACACAGATAGCAAACATCCAGGGGGGTAGTATTGAATGCCTACCTACCTGACGACCTACCTACCTATTGCATTAGGGACTAGAAATGGGGATTTCCCGAAAATATAGGTCAAGAAAAGAAAAATTTGAGAGACACCGGAAAAGGATTGGGGATTGGAGATCTGAAAGCCGATGATGTTCCAGAGCACCCCCCCACGAGTACAACAAAAAGGGGTAATTGAGAGCCCAGGTAGGGTTAGACCAGAAGAGATGGATAGATCATGGATGGGCTTTTAGTTCACTACAACAAAAGCCATGAGAAGGTTGTGATGGAAGGATGGGCGGAGAAAGACGTGCGAGGCGAGCAGCCGTCGCGGACAACGCGAGCCCACTCATTCATTTCTTACTCCCCTTGGTGGCTGCAACGGCGCGTTTAGTCGCGCCTTTGGGCTTGGGGGTCCGTGTGGTTGCTTTGCTCGCGGCCTTACGATCTCCTTTAGCCTCGAGTTTCTTCTTCTCCGTTGGTTTTCTTCGCGGGGTGGTGCCCTTGGCTGCCGCGAGGATTTTCGCCTTGGTGGCTGCAGAAGGGCGACTCAGTTTCGAGGTTGTCGAAGCATTGTTCTGAACCTTGGCTTTTGCTGCCTGTGTTGTCTTGGGCACCGTGGCTCTGGCCTTGGCCTTGGTCGCTTTGACCTTGGGGAGCTTGATGCTCTTACTTTCAGCCTCATCTTTTTTCGAGGGTGGTTTCCTGACTGCTATCTTCGTAGCCTTCCCAGCTGCTCGCTTTGCCGGGATTTCCAATACTCGCTTGTCAGCGTTGGGTCGCAAAGCGGTTGCTTTCGACACGGCCTTCTTGACGCCGGACTTGATCGACTTGGCCACCAAAAGCTTCCGCTTCTTATTGGTGCGTGAAGAAGATTCATCGAGCGCCTCGCCGGATTTGCGTTTCGAACCTCTTGCCTTGCCGTTTGCCTGCTTGGTCCTGGACTTCTTCTGTGGTTCAACCTTGGAGTCTTTCGCACGCTGGTCCTTCTCCTTTGGCCTCGGGCCCAGAATCCCACGACAATTCGAAGAGCCACATCGGCATTGTTGGACGTTCTTTTGGGAATAGGGACTGGAATTGCATGTCAGCCTTGGAAGAGCAATGTTGGGTTGCGCCGGGGGACTTACTCAAAGTTGTAGTCATAGGTCAGCTCCTCGCCCGTCATGATGCCGCGATCGCCGGCAAAGAGAGCCATGCGCGGTTTCCCGGCGACCGTCCACTTTTCCATTCGGCAGTTGGGCTCGCAAGAGTGGTTGACGAAGCGGGCAATGGAGCCTCGAGTGGCATCGATTATCATGTTTTGGTCGAAGTACATTAGGTAGTAGCACTGCCAGGTTCTTAGCAAGGTGGCTGTAGAGAGGGTTGGATGAGGAACGACCAACCTCATTATGCTTATAGATCGTCCGCATTCGTTTCTCACACTCGGTCTGGGTGATGATCTCGCCCGTGTATTCCACGATGATCTGGTTGGGCTCAAATGTGCGGTTACTGCGCACACCGTATCCACGATCTGTTGTTTTGATAACTTCCACGCCGATATTATACTTGCCTCCAGCCTTGGTCCGTTGCTTAAGCTCATCGAAACTTCGATTTCCACACTCAGGACCCACCCCACAGTTGCCGTCATCGCACTCGTAGAACATGTAACGGTTCTGACATTCCTCGTCGCAGCCGGTTTCTGGCGTGCACATACACTTGGACAGCTCACAGTGCTTGTTTGCACGCCATATACTGGATGCATCCCCCACAAAGACGTCTGAGATCCACGTTAGTCATAGCCTCCCCCTGTCGTCCGATAAGTACATACTTTTGTTGGTTTTTCTCCACTCATCCGGTTTGGGCTGACCAGGAGGCAGCGGGGAGAAGATGTCAAAAGGCAATTGGAAGTCCCTCCCCTGCTTCAATAATCGGTCGCCTGCAAACATTGGCATTGGCAGCAGTTTCCGTTGAAGACTCTGAGTCTGGGGTTGACTCTTCCGTCTGCTCCGATTCCTGTTTTGAACTGGCGGAGCATCCGTATGTTCTTGTCCTGTGTACAAGCCATGTACCAGCCAGCGCTTCCGCTTGGAGCGTGGGACAGCTTCCGCAGGGGCCGTTTGCTCCTGAGAGGATTCTTCTGTGGTCTGAGCATTGGATGGGATATCACTGTCAGAGACCCGTCTCTTTTTAGAAACGGGATCAGTGGGTTCAGAAGCTAATGGCGCTTCCTTAGGCGCGGAAACATTGCGCGGCCGTAGACTGGCTCGGCGACCCGGCTCGGTGCCTTTTTCCATCTTATCACTCGAGCGCTTCCCCAAAGCGCTGCTAGCCCGGCCAGCGAGGTCTGATGCCTTGTCTAGTATACTCAATCGGGTTGAGCGACGTGGTGACTTCCGGTTGTCAGACTTGGCAGTCACAGAAGCCTTGTTGATTTCCTTCTTTTCCTCCTGGGTCAAAGCCTGTTCCACGCGCTTTCGTAGAGTCCGTTGTTGTAGAGACGTGCTCATGTCGCTGGGTTGTGGTTCTTGAGACGACTTGGAGACGGGGGTATCTGGCGCCATTGGGTGATCATCGCCGTCCACATTGGTCTGCGGGAGGGTTGTCTCGCTCCATAGAGCCGTTTCCATGACCGCTATGCTGTGCCGAAGGTGGGAGGTGGACTTGGACCGTTTCACTTCCGCAACTCCGACCCCATCGATCAAGGTGTCCCCGGAGACGGCAGGATCGAACTCATCCGCTGGAGAAGGTATTCCATGATTATTTGTATCTAGATGGTCATCGTGTTGGGCTGGCCCCCGCAAAGAAGCGCGTGTTACACGTGTAGATCTTCGACGTAGAGTAGGTTTCTCATCGGTGGACGCGTTCTCATTGTTGCTGGAAGTCTCGGAGCGACTGTTTTCGGGGGTAAGCAGTTGTTCGGTATATTCGAAGCCCATTGTGCCTTCGAGGTGCTCGTGTGTATGCTTCTTGAGGTCCGAAAGGGTCGCGGGTGTCGCGGGAGACGCGCCGGATGAATCAGTTCGAGCTTCCATCCCAAGGGCCGGCGGGAAAGGATATGCGGTGAGGACTAGGTTTGGATTGAGGGGCAGGACTGCCAGGGAGCTCGGATAAGCGGCGTCCTCAGGGCGGTTTACACGTTCAAGGCGGGGGGGTCAACTTCCGATGGCAGGCTGCGCTGGAGGGTCAATGTACCGGGGCCTTCCTCCTTAGCAGGAGCAGATATCGGTGGTGGGAGCCTTATACCTCCTCACAGATCATAGCAAGCCCCGGAAGCAGGATGGACGGCGTGAAAAAGCCGACGCAGAGAGCGTGCCTGAGCGAGGGTCATGGGCCAGGAAGGGAGGAGGCAGAAGAGGAGGAAGAGGAGGAGGAGGAAGGAAGAAGAGGAGAAAGAGGGTGCGGAGAGGGTTCGAGGAGGGCCGTATCGTCAGCCCCCCCCCGACGACGGCGCCGCGGAATGCACTCGGGCCCAAGGCCAGGCCAACTCCCCCCGTTTCAGGTCCCATCTTGACTCGTTCAGCAGCCGATCAGGATTCGCCTTAGAACTCCCTGTCGGGTTCTCTCCGCCCCGCCTGGCGCCTCGGGAAGACGAGGTCATACCCCCCGGTCTACCCCTTCGACTTACTATGAGGCATTATATCGCCAGCCCCCCGTGGATCCGAAGTGCACCGCTCGCTCCCTCCGCTTCGCTTGCGCCCATTTCTGTCTATCACTGATATGTTTGGTCTATCTGCTTGTCCGGAATCTGGATATTGTACATAGCCCTAAATCTCGCCCGATATCAAATCCAATTCGGCCTCTCGCAGCCGAGGTAACAGGCCCCCCAATGTGACGCACACGTATACATAGAAGAGGGAAAAAAGGAAAAATTTCATGAAAAGAACGTAGCCAACGGCTGCTTCATCCGGGCAACTCGCTTGAAAGCAGGAACATGACAGGATGTAAAGTGGGGTATGTCAACGTATATCCGGAGAGCCCAATTGGCTCAACAAAGGAATGGGAAGGCGGTTGCAACATGCATTAAGATCTCACTATCTCGAACGTGGAGAAGAAGAAGAAGAAGAAGAAAGAAGTATAGAAATAAGAGCGCCTCAGGGAGCAGAAGAAATATCATACGAAACAGGTGTAACCGCTCTGACTAAGCGTAGGTTGGAACCATCCTGGTTCACGACTGCGGCTGGGAAGGCGGAGGCACCTGCTGCATCTCGATGTCGGTTTGCGGCTCGACATTCCGAGGGAGATACTTGCGCTTCATCGTGCTCAGACGCTGGTCGCCTTCATGATAAGGCTGCTTGAACTGCATATACGTCGGAGGCCGTGGCCGCAGGAAAACGGACAGCCAATTGCGGAAGATGTTGCCCTGGGTGAAGGGACGATGGCGGTCGGCTTTCGCAAACTTGTGAGAGTTGAGATATTCTCGAGTCGTCTCACCTCGACCAACCAGAAAAAGATGGTAAGCCCATAACGAGGCCGGGTATGGTGCAGCAACTGCTCCGTAAATCACCATGGCCCAGGGCACTCTCCATTTATCGATGGCCGTGCCAAAACTGACGTGCTCTCGTGACCGATACACCAAAATATGGGCGAGGCTGGCGCCAAGTAGGAACAGAGCAAGGAGCGTCGAGGATGCAACAAAGGTGAAAAAGTATCGATAGTTACGCCGGCCAACGCAGTTGTTGAGCCAGACGCAGTGATGATCAAGGGTCTCAACGCAATTATCACATACCCGGCAATGGTAGCATCGGGGAGGGCGCCAGATACAGCAGGTCTTGCAGTACTTCACAGGCACGTCCATAGCTGCGACGTCCGACGTCGCCAGCTTGACCATTACCCAGTCGTTGGTTGGCGGGCCTATCGCCAACGGATCGTCTGTAGGATCCGGTGGTGGCATCTGGTGAAGGTTGCGAGGAACAATCTGGACACAACTATTAGCAATACAGGGTGTGTTGTCTCATTTGGATCTTTCTCTTACCCCAGGATCAACGACCGAAGCGTGTATGAATGACGAGAAGCACAAGTAGAAGAGGTAAGCAAACAAGATCGGAATGGCGGGCGAGATATGATGCCAAAGCCAAGGAGCCCTATGCACCGTTAGCTACCCGATAACTTCAGGATAGAAACAGGATGCTTACGAATATGCGAAGAACAGAGCCGAAGGTACAATCACAAAGATTGCCGTTGCGATGTTGACGGGCTTGTCCCGGGAGTTTTGGAGCCTTCCGCCGCCGAAGAAAATGGTATTTCCGACAAAATATTCATAATTTTTGCCCAGACGGCCTTTTCCATGACTTATTTGCGGTGTTTTTTCGATAGACCCAGGGGTGGAACCAGCTGATGAAAGCCTCTCATGCGTCCGGATGTCACGGTTATCTTGCCCCTGATTCCTATTTTGCAAGGAGAGGAAAGAAAGCGAGGACCTCTGAGAAGGGTCCGGATCATTTGAGCCATTATAGTTCGCCCCCATGCTGAGATGCGGTTGTTGAGCCTTGTAGGCCCTCTCTTTGTCATAAATAAGTTTGGCGCTCTCGCCTTGACTTCTCCCTGTCGTGTTACCGATAGGACTAGCATTCGATGTGTTGCGGTCTGGGATAATAGGGTCGGTATATTCAGTGCCTCTTGAGGGAGGAGCTTCTTGCTCGATTGGGGGAATGGACCCTTGAGGCATCGTGCTATTGGATATCAAGCTCTGCCTGTTCTGACTCGACTGGTCATTCCAATCCTCCGACGTATCCGTTGTGGTTCCTTTCGTCATAGGTCGACCTCGATGAGCCTGGAGTCGCTGAGAAGACATGGGACGGAAGAAACCCTGCGCAGCGAGCGAAGGAATGTGTGATCGACTCTGCCTGCTGCCGGAGCTTCCTGGTCTATTCGTCCATTGACTGCTCGATGTGATAGAGCTCCTGGCGGGCGGGGGTGCTCGCCGCGTTACAGACGCTCGCGATTGAGCTGGATGCGATGAAACTCCCGTATATGCTTGGGACTGTTCTCCATCGTCCGAAGCCATGTCGGTCACTCGGGATGAGATTCCGCCCACGGAAGGGGGCCGCGGAATACCAAGGACATGTTGCGCGGGCGCCGAGGTGGGCGTATCGCTGGTCTCTGAAATCGCGGAAGATGAAGGCATATTGTTTGACGTAGATATATGACTCCTGTTTAGTTATCGTGGCGATATATCATGTTGCGGCCGAACAGGAATGAAGCGATTCCGGTCGGTGGATCAAATGTCGGACGTCAACCAGGAGCGCGGTGCTTGAAGTCTCGGTAGGAGTGGGGTGAAGGAGTGACGAGAAAATGTATACCGAGGGAGAATCGAATCAACGTGAGGTTGAAAAAAAATGAATGTAAGCAACCTATATTGGACAGTGCTCAGTTAGCCTCATATGAAGGACGGGGATCCAGGCCGCCCCCCCTGTCCACATGAAAGGAGCCAAGTGACGCACCTTGGGATGGAGTTGCGTTGATTGCAAGACAGCCGGATCACGTCACATCACGGTCGCAAGTCAAAACCCACGACTTGCATTGGCTGAAGGGAGAATGATGGACGCAAGCACCCCAAAGCCTGGCAAGTGGATGGCATGCGCAGCAAACACGAGGGTTTCTTGCAATCAATACCGTATGATTATAGTGTAGGTGCAGTTTGGGGGGGAAACTTAGTTACTAACGAGTAACGACCGACTAGTCGGGAACTAGCTAAGCTCAACTGAGCTTGGTTCAGGCCGTCAGGCAGTGAGGCCACCACGCGGGCTGCTGAGTCAGCACCCGCCGGAAGCTGGCCAACGAAATGTCACCTGATGATGCGCCGGCAACATCATCGTCCGACGCCCACCGATTCTCCCACCTCCTCCCTCAAGTCCGACTTTACCCCCCCGTCCTCGCAGGCAGACGTCCGCTCCTCGCAACACATCACAATGTCTTCAATTGCTGCCATGGCCTCCCGCCGGGTCTTTGCCCGCCAGTCCCTTCTCCGCGCTCCCCCGCGCCGCTTCTACAGCGCCTCCAAGGTCGAGGAGGCTAACCTCGACAAGGCTCCCAAGCGTGACCCCGAGCTCTACGTACGGACCCATTGGCCGATTCAATCCAATTGCGATCCTATCTAATTGGGGAAAAAAATAACAGGTTCTGCTCGGTGTTATGTCCGGTGCTTTCCTGCTTGCCGGATGGTGAATTCTTTTCCCTACCCTTTTATCTTTTCACAATGTCAGCAGGACAATCTTGCACACTCGACTGCAAAATTCCTCGACACTCTTCTGCCATTACCAATCGACCCAATGTGCTAACCATGCTTCGACAACAGGTACTTCGGCAGAAAGCCCACTTCCGTCACCTCCGAGAGCAACGTCCGCATTGGCGAGAGTGCCATGCCCTGGGAGCAGACCGACGAGAGTGGCAAGGTCTACAAGTACCAATACCACCCCCACGGTGACAAGAGCCAGCCCCTGCGCAACGCCCCCAGCGCCTTGAACACCGTCATTGTCCCCAACGTTACCCTGCCCGCGGTATTTACTGCCCCGTCCTTCTACTTCTATGTGGTTGATATTCGCCACCAATATTCGTCAATGCAAGCAGAATCGCTAATATACCACTCCGTCTGCTTTCTAGGACCTCCACGAGCGCTTCAACAAGTACGGAAAGGAGGAGTGGGACTACTGAATAGTCGCACGCTGCAGGCAAGGCGGTTGAGATTGCAGAAGTTGAGGCACGTCGGCGCTGATCGCTGTACACTAAAACTCGTGAAGATTAGAGTATGGGGCGAGACCGTTCTTACAAGAGCTTTGCGCATAGTTTGTTTTGACGAGATTCATTCGAATATTGTTTTCGTTGCGCTACAACCAAGCCCTCAAAACGTGAGGCATGTACAATCAAGTAGGCCGCTAACGCCAAATAAGTAATCATGTACAAAAAGTGACATTTCGTTAGTCTAAAGTAGGAAGAAGTTACTGTTCGAAGAGGAGATACAGGAGAAGTAGATGAGAAAAGCCAAGGATGGAAAGCAGTACAGTGATCCCTCACAGACGCTTCCGTTCTATTCAAGATTGGGTCGCCTCGTTTACCTCGCTGGCCGGTTTAGGGTCAGGCGAGGATTGCTGCTCGTGAGAGCTACCTTGCCCGACTACTGAAGCTGGGCGGTCCTCAGCAGGCACGGGCGGCTGTCGTCCGACAGTTTCAGGGTTCTGGCCTTCGACGTCGGGGTGCGGCGGGGCAAGTTGGCCATCCACCATATCAACGATATGGCCATTCTCCAAGCGAGTCTTCGTCTCGTGGCGGGTCTCGAATTGGACCTTACCCTCCTTCTTCAACGCAGCGACAAATTCTTCATCCAGGACATTGCCGTCTTGATCGCGATACTCCACACGGGCCTTGGAGCTGTGCCGTGCCCGTTCCGTGACAGCGGGTTCCTCGGGCTCCTGGGGCAAGATTGCCTGGTTCTGTTGCGGAGCCTGCTGCTGTGGTGGTTGTTCCACCACGACGGGAGGCGCTTGTGGCACAGACGCTTCAGTAGTTGGGATGGCCGCATGTGTATCCACAATTTGGGTTACATATTGGTCAAGCTGTGATCCTGTCAGCATCGGCAACGTGGTGTACTATTGCTGCCACACGAGAGACTTACGCTAGTGTAAAATGTGTTACAGTCGAAATCCCACGAGTCCAAGAGTTTCACCTGATTACAAGCCTCCTGTGTCCAGGGGTTGCCATAAATCAAAGGCGAGTAGAGGGTGAAGGTAAAAATGCTGATGGCAAGGAAGATACCAGCCAGGATTTTGCCAATGACCGGTCGAGATGGCAAACCAAGGCTCTGGATGCGGTTGGCAAGGAAATCAAATTCCTGGCAGAGCGCAATGATAGCAAAGTAGAGCGCAGGGAAATAATGGTGGAGGAAGAGCTGTCGCGCCATGAGGTAGAAAGGGAAGTAGTGGAAAGCCCAGCCAAGTACGCTGGTACCGACTTCATAGTCGAACCGCTTGAAGTTCACGTTATTATAGTCACCACAGCTCCGCTGCCAGCGGAGAACAGAGAGACCCTTGAAGAGAATGTAGACACCAATGGCCACGGTAGACGACCACCAGATGAACGGGTTGCCGAGGAGGTAAACTTGACGGTGATCCTTGCCCCAGAAGTTGATACCACGGAGAAGGGTTGGCCATGACGGCGGGCGAGAATCCCAAGCATGTGATTCAGTCAGACCAGCGTTGGTAATCCACATCACCTTCTGCAGCTCCCAGAACTTGCCGAAGAACCCGGGGTTCCTGTAGTTCACCTTCTCCGCGTTCTCTGCGAGCATGGGGTGACTGTTCGACTCGATGTACCAGATGCTGTTGGGCAGAGTAGCTTGTCTTGCGCACGTCACCTCTTGCTGATCAAAACCCCACTCGGGAAGCTTGACTTTGTGGGAGAACAACACACAGCCAGTCATGACATGCACAAGGCGGAACTTGGTCTGGATGGTCCGCAGCCGCTTCTTTGCCTCCTCGCCCTCTGACAACGACTTGACAATTTCGACGCGGAAAAGATCGTTTGCATCACCAGGAAAGCCATCGTATCCATACGCAGACACTTCAAACTGCCAATCAACGTCTGTCACAGGAGGCCGCTCATCATGCGAGTGAATTCGTCTCCGTGTGATGAAGTGATTCAACCTGATTACAGCTCCGTCTTCGATGTGCTCGGCAGTCAAGTTATCCCAGGCCAAGGGACCCTCCACTGATCCGTAGGGACCAAGAGGTTGAGTCTGGTTCTCGAGAACGAAGACGTTGTTTTCATCCTTGTGGGGATAAAGGGTGATCTGTTGCTGCTTGCTACCCGTCGGGTACATGTGGTTGTGAGAGTGAAGATAACCTCCCTGAGTGTTGAGGTGACGGATGCTGACGCGAGAGCCAAATGCAACATCAGCGGGAACGTCCTGCATCCCTTTCGAGTTCAGGGTCGCTTGGAACTCGGACGACATGAATCCATCTCCATCACCGGGGTTTACAAGGCACAAGAAGTGGATTCCAAACATGGCGCAGTAAAAGCTCAGGGGGATGACAATCAGACAGAAAACGCGAGCAAAGAAATGCTTGAACCACAGGCGCTATGAAGTTAGGGGTTAGCATCTGCTCGAGAAAGTCGGCAATATATAGTACATACCGGTGTCACGTTCTTTGGGTCACCAAGCAGCACCCACAATTGAAGCACTGTAAGCGAACCAACCCAAGCAACTGTGAAGAGACCAACCCATTTGACGCTGAGAGTAGCACCCAGGCAGAGGCCAGTCGCAGCGAGCCAGAACCACCAGGGTCCACGGAAGGCGTGCAATGGTCCCAATTCTTGTTGATTGGTGAAGCATGTGAAGGACAATGCCGTAAGCGCAGTGAAGAACACCAATGGGGAGTCCAACAGGATCAGACGAGATTGCGTGATGAGACCGTTCTCTGCACTAAATCAGCATGGGCTACTGACCCTCGGGCAGTTACGGAGGCCTACCAAAGATCACGACACCAGCACCTAGCACTGCAGTAAGAGTGCGACACCCGGATGCCTTCAGCGTCAAGAACATCAATGGAATCGTAAGGACACCCAGAATTGCCGGTAGCATCCGCATTGCAACGTATGGCACACCGGGTTCAAGATAATCCTTTCCAATATCCTTGAAATCGAAATCGCCATCAAAGCCCGCCAGCCAGCCAGCAAGTGTGATGAGCAATTTGGCAAGAGGGGGGTGGACATCCATGAAAAAGCGGCCCTTGATGTACTTTGTCGCAAAGCCTCCGAAGCTGTTCGTCACGTATTAGAACGGGGTCTGTCTTCACCGGGGTTTGCGGATTGGAAAAGGCATCGACACATACTGGACTTCGTCGAATACAACGCTGGAGGGTTGGTAGATCCTGAACAACCGCACCACCGCGGCCACAATGGTGACCAGAGCTAGAGTTCTGTAGTCGGAGGTGGGAAGATGGAAGATATTGTTATCCGCAACACCATCTGATTTATAACTCGAGGACTGGGCGCCCGCCTTCTTGCGGTTCTTGGGACCTGGCGAGCGGCTGGGAGAGCGTGACGATGATTTTGGCGGAGGCGTAACCGCCAGAGTATCTTTGGATTTGGGCGCCATTGTTGAGGCGCTTGTCGAACACGGGGATAGAAAGAAAGAAGGAGAGGACCGGACAGTGGTGAAAGGGGGTTATGTTATCCTAAACGAACAAAAAAAAGGGCAATTGATCATCAAGAGCTACCGCGGGAGAGCGAAGCAATGACGGAGCCCAGACTGCAGAATGCTCCGACTCCAGGGGAGTTTTGGAGGACCCCCGCTGAACAGGCACAAGGACGATAGGTGAGTATACAAAGTGGACAATCAAAAGAGAGTAAGAAGTCAAAAATGAAGCGCCATGACAGGAACGTAGACAAAAAGGGACCGGAGTGAGCAAAGAAGGTGACGGACGAGGCAACACGTGTGGGACGATTTAGGGAGGCGGCCGGGATAAAAGCGTCGGCCGCTTTAAGGCCAGATCGTCGGCCGCCTGCGAAGTTGCACTTTTTGCCCGTCAGCAACAGTCCGTCAGCATACTACTGCGGTGCAAGCCCCCGGGCCAGTCATCGCCGTTCCTTTCTCAGGCAGAAGGCGAGTTTAATTGTAATTTTAGCCTACAGCCCCTCGTCTACGTTCCCCCCCTCCTCCACCGTCCAAGCTTCGAGCCATGACAACAGCAATCCATTAATACCATGGCGAATGCCCCAGCGTTCATGGACGGCCTTTACCTAAGATTGATTGACACGCCAGGGACTGGCCCATCGCGGTTTAGCCCCGGGCCTGGCCAGCCAATCACAAACTGCAAGGGACAAGCGCGCGGGTAGCCGCTTTTGCTGCGCTTAGTCAGCCGTAGCCGCGATGAAGTCAAGCCGAAAAGGACATCAGATATCGGCGGGTCGCCTCAGTGTCGCTCCCTCATCCCATCTCGCATCTCCCCATCCCGACCGGTGAGAACCATGGCGTCTGCAAGCAATGGAGCTACCCCGCTGCCGGAGGAGGTGAGCAAGCCTCCGGAGGGCGTTGTGTTGCCACCTAAGGATATTCGAGGTAAGTTCCGTGTCTATGTGAGAACTGACAATGGAACCAAGCTGACATTGCAACAGCTATCGTCGAGAAGACAGCCGGCTATGTCGCTCGAAATGGTGTGGTCTTTGAAGGTATGCCTCTCATCCGTTCTATGATCTGCCAGACGAATTACGCAGCTCACATGCATTCTTTCAGATCGCGTTCGCGAAAAGGAACGGAACAACCCCAAATTCTCCTTCCTCAACCCCGGTGACGCATACGCACCCTTCTACCAATGGCGTCTCGTCGAGATCAAGGAAGGGAGAGGGACTGCGGTTTCTGCTGGCCGACCAGGCGAACCAACCCCCGCTGCTGAACCCGAGAAACCCAAGGGCCCCGAAGAACCGCCGGAGTTTCACTTCTCTGCGCGGATGCCCATAATCAATGCGCAAGATTTGGAAGTCGTCAAGCTTACTGCTCTATTTGTCGCTAAGCGCGGAAAGTCGTTCATGACCTCGCTTGCTCAACGAGAAACTAGGAACTTCCAGTTCGACTTCCTGCGCCCGCAACACAGTCTCTATTCATTCTTCACCCGACTCGTCGACCAATATACCATCCTCCTACGCTCCGAAGGAATCGACGCCGCCACGACAGAAAAGAAGCGTCTCACAGACCTTGCGCACAACGTCCAAAACAAATTCCATGTCCTTGACCGCGCCAAACAACGCGCAGAATGGGTGAAATACCAGCAGCAACAGAAGGAAAAGAAGGAAGAAGAGGAAGAGCAAGAACGCATCGCCTACGCGCAGATTGATTGGCATGACTTCGTCGTCGTCGAGACCGTCTGCTTCACCGAAGCTGACGATCAAGTCGATCTCCCTCCCCCGACCTCCCTCAACGACCTTCAATCCGCCTCCCTCGAACAAAAAGCCATGATGTCCCTCAACCCCCTCCGCATCGAAGAAGCCATGCCCACCGAAGAGGAATACCCTACATACTACAACGCCTACCCCCAACAACCCGAACCCGTACCCGTCGTCCAGCCCGCCGGCCCCGTCTATCCCCCCCAAGGGCTCCCCCCTCAACCCATGCCCGTTGCCCCTGCCATGTCTCAAGCCGCCCAGGAGGAAGAACAATGGATCCAGGAACGGATGCAAGCTCGCGAACAAGCCGCCGCCGCCCAAGCAGCCGCCAAATCCGCCCCGGGGCAGCAACAACAACCAATGCGCATCCGCTCCGACTACGTGCCACGCGCGCAAGCCCGTCGTCTGCACCCTACTGGTGCCACGGCACTTTGCCCCAACTGCCACCAGCAGGTACCCGTTGGCGAACTCGAACAGCACATGCGTATTGAACTGCTCGACCCTCGCTGGAAGGAGCAGCGCGCCAAGGCGGAATCCCGCAGCGCAACGACCAACCTCTCCACCGTTGACGTGGTCAACAACCTCAAGCGACTGGCCAGTCAACGGAGCGACGTGTTCGACTCGACCGTCATTCCTGGCGGCGCAGACCCAGAAGAAGAAGCCCGACGGAAGAAGATGGCCTTCGAAGGCGCCCCTGGTTCAGGCCCCGTGCCGCCGGTGGTTGGACCTGCCGGTGGGCCGCCCAATCCTCAGAGTATGAATATCGAAGAGCAGATTCGACGGATTCACGAGCGGCAGGCGATGACGAGGAAATAAATTAAGTTGCATGGTTTTCTTTGCTTTCTCCATCGGGCATACTGGGAATTAGGACCGTGTTTTATCGGAGGCGTTTTCTATGTCGGAGTAAATAAACCTTATTGATAGGTCTTCTTTGAGGTGAGACAGATACTGTTAATCTCATTTGTAAAATCTTGATACTATTATGTTTTCTTGTCCCGCATATGTAGAGAAACTATCACAGACTCATGCGCAAATGGGTGTTCTACGAGGGTGGCCTACTAAGTAGAGAATGTGCTTGTGGTTCTAGTAATCATGAATTCTCGCTTTACTTATGCTATGATATGTGCAAGTAAAGCCGTCACCCTGCATTCCTGCAGCATCCGCTCCATAAACCCTGAGATCTCTGCCGCCATGTATATCGCATAAAAATGAGTCGACCGCAAGATAATGCATGGGGTAATAACAACAGAAAGACTTTCATGCAACAAAACCTGGAAAGAAGACGCTTTCCGGTGTGAAAAAGAAACACAAACTCATTCGAATGCCAGGTCATAGTTCATCCAGAAGTGCCTCCCCACATCGGCCATCGGTCGCTTCCCGATAGCGCTCAGCAAGTGATTGGGGCAGGAGGAAAGAAACACAAGAATGGGAGGAACTTAGGGAAGCGAAATAAACAGAGGAGGTAAGAACAGAACCAATAAGAATAAGTATACAAAGAAGAAGCAAATGGACAATGAATTATAATACATACCACATGCCGCTCTTGACTGATATAATGTCTTCGGATGCAAAGGACAGGATCGGTGAGGAATTAAGCAAGCAGGCATGGTTGAAATAGATCGGTATATGAGAAGAAAAAGGTTTGAAGAGGGGGGGAAGAAAAGCGCATGGTAGTTGGAAGTTGATATCAAAAATCAAGTAGAGTGCAAGGCAGTGAAAATACGTTCGTGTCTTCGAACGATAGCAATCGTGGTCAAATCAGCATCGATCACATCAGTTATCTCCGCTCTTTGCGGCGTCAACTTCAACTGTGGGTTGGACTGTCTCAGTTTCATCATGAGTAGTCTCAGAAGCAGCTATTTGGACAATAGACTGCTTGTCCATGTCATCCCCGAGGTCTGCCTTCTCCACTGGTGCGTTGGCCTCAATTGGCGAGACCGCCGTGCTGCTGGCCGTAGATTCTGACTCGGAAGGCGCAGACACAAATGGGTCGTCTCCCACGGAACCCTCGTCATGAACGTGCTCACTGTCAATTTCGTCCAGATTTTTGGTTTGTATAGTCATGTGCTCGGGAATCGTTGAGATAACGGATCGCTGACACTCTTCACGACTCTCGGCGGCAAGAACCTCTGCATTCTCATTAAAGGTGGGGATATTCCCTTGAAAGCCATTGTTGTGGGCGAATAGAGGAATGATTCCACCACCAATGCGCGACCAGAACATTCTCTCCCTCAACCGAATAGTTTCATCCCATGCATCCTTTTCCTCTTCCGAATCGCCGATACGAACATGTCCATCGAGGATGAGTCGAAGGTAGCCAGTAAATTCGCAGCATGAGCGCACTTTTTCTAGACACAGCACACATAGGGGGTATCGTTGAGCAGTCTCGCTATCGGACGTCCGGAACCGATGAGTCCTCTCGTTGATGGAACCATTTCTGCGTTCGCCACATAGTGAGCACGGGAACTCGTACTTCTTTGCTGATGGTGGCATCGGCTCTACCAAAAGACTCCCCTCGCAGATCCCGCTCAAAACCGAGCGTCGGGTAAGCCATGATATTCCAGGTGCGGCATCCAGCCTTAAGGTTGGTTCGACATCTTCGGCAAGCACCCGCTTGTAGAAGCGGGTCTCCTTGAGAGGGATGTGAGAGGTCACGGGCTGTGGAGAAGACACGCTGCCATTGGGAGAATGTGTCTGAGATTTGGCGGGCGATGACGACGCTGAACCAAACCCACCGCTTCCCAGGCTAGCCAAGCTCATGACATTCAAGCCAGCGTAAGACCCACTTGTGGCCCGGCTGGCGGGCTTGGAAGCTCTGGATGTTGTGAAAAGTTCTCGGAAATCTTCGTACGCCTGTATATCTGTTCGACATACCGACTTAATTAGGTGAGGGAAACTGGTGGACGGCCCTGGAGTAATTTCTTCACAAGGCACGGTCTCCTCTGGTATGTCGGGAGTCTCGGAGTTCTTTTTTATGTGCAGAGGATGCCGCGGCGCCGTTGGAGACGATGGCGCTGTCGAGTTGATCGTGCGGGCGTCAATATCGTCTTTGGAGATGTTTAATGCCTGCAACACAGATTTTAACTCTGCCAATTGCTCTTGATGCGATGCAAGAAGTGCTTCAGTGTCTTTTACTTGAGAGCGCAGCTGTTCATTTTTCTTCTCCACCGCTTCACGCTCGAGCTTAGCAGCAGCGACCATCTGTTCAGAAGGAAACGATTAGTTGATTGACTCAAATCACGAAATATCTCGGAGCGACCTACCTTGTTGGCTTCTTCAAAGAGTGCGGCAGTCAACGTCTCCAGTTCTTGTTCGATTCCCTTCTTTTCCTTTTCCGCGAGCGCGCGCTGCGCCTTTTCCTCTGCCAAGGCAGCTTGCAAGCGCAACATCTCGTAGTCGACGTCGGCCTTCTTGATTAAGACCTCCTGGTCGATATCTCGCTGATAATTTTCATTTTCCGACTCAAGGACCCGAATCTTCGCTTGGGCCTGCTCCAATTCCTGGCGGGTTGCGACGAGGTTGTCGTCAAGTGTGGTTTGATTATTGATTGCCTGCACAAGCTTGACGCTCAAGGCTGCGACCTCGTTGCTCAGATCTGGGTGGTGCGACTGCGTAGAACCCGGCGTCTCCGACTCTTCCGAGTGGCTCGCAAGCCTGGGGTCCCTTAAGGTGCTGAAGCTGCTTTCTTGGAAATTTCCAACACTGGAAGAACGGAGACCGGGGGCCGGCTTTTCGGCCGCGATGCCGGACAGATCATTGGTGGACCTGGCTTTGGTAACGGTTTTGTCGGGAGAAAGAGAGTTATTCTCGGAGGAATGTGACCGTTTGTGGCTGGTGGGGCGTGGAAGCATTGTCGAAGGTGTGAGGAAGTTATGGCGGGAATAGTACGTGTGAAAAGCGATAAAACTGTCACTGGGGTTAGCAACCGTTGACTGCATAGAGCATAGCATGGGATGTGCGTGGATACATACTCAGCCATGATGACCGTGGGGTGTGGGCACGGCAGCTGCAGAAGAACAGGGTATCACAACACTGGGGAGGGGGGGCGGGTGTCACAACCACGTATATAGCCGGTTGGCAACTGTTCGCATCTGCAATTCCTGGCAGAGACAAAGGCTGGTTGGGACGTGTGCATGGAACAATTAAGCAGGGGGGGGGATAACGTGACGTCCCCGCCAGCGCGCAGACTGGAGAGGAATTAACCAGTCGGGGGCCGAAGCATTGAGTCGCAAAAAGGAACGGAATGGAGGCAGGAAGAGAGCGGCGGGCGCTGGGGGGGGGATTAAAGAGAGGCTGCGGTAGGCAGGGAAGGATAGACCGGAAGGATGACGATAGAGGCGAACCCAGCGAGGGAGATAAAGGAAGGGAGAGAGTGGGAATGAGTGGGAATGAGTGGGTGTGCCGACCCCTCTTTCTTCAAGGCAAGGTAGTGTGAGGTTAGTCGAGAATTAGTGTAAGATACTAGGTAGATGATGGATGATAATATGATTAGTTGAGTAGGAGAAGATTAGTTATAGATAGAAAGTGGAAAGTTGGTCAGCGGACAGCGCCGAGCGAAAACAGATGAGGAGATTCCAGGCCGGCGTTTGGTAGCGTTGTGGATTAAGGTCGCAGCCAGGCACTCTTCCCTTGACGGCCTGACTCCGTATCGCCGCCGCGGTTCCGTAATTACCACAGCCATACCGGACCGCTCCACCCCCGGCTGTCCAATCACCGGCCCGGAGGCAAACTGCAGGCGCTTAGTCGCTACCGGATCAGGCAGGTCGATCGCCTCCCGTCGCGTCTCCGGTGCCGTAGTCGTCCATCACAAGGCCGCTTGGAGTTCTGTTTCCTGTGTTGTCTTATCCATCGGCGGAGAAGATGCCACCTACAAAACTCAAAAGGGTGACCACAAAGCCATTGCGGGTGATGGATGGATGGATGGATGGATGGATGGATGGATGAATGAATGAATGAAGGAATGATGCATTGAATGGTGGAAATGTCTCCCATCAGTCGCGCCACGTTCTATCCGATTTATTGGTTCCCACTCCGAGGGTTAGGTACGATCTCGATACGGACCCGATCTCGCAAGGGCCTCCGGAGACGGTGACTAGAGCATCTTGGGATTTAAGACTAGGAGCTCGTTCCAGTTCACAAGCTTTTCTTCGTGCAAATTCTTCACGCGCATTCAATAGTGCCGGAGAGAGACCCATTCGCCGCGGTGGTGTGTGATACTGAGGATTCTAATTCGGGCACATCAGCCAATCTCCCCCGAATCAAGTCGGATCATCGGCGTGGGTGCTTTTGGCTAATTGTAAAAGGCAACTTGTTCTTGGCACCTGATGACGACACTTGCAGCCGTAGCCGAAGGGAATGATCCTCGACCTCCGAGACACCCCAAAAGCTTTCCGGGGCTTGCAGTCTGCACTGCAGTCTTCCAATGTCACTCACCTGTACTCCATACACGGCCGGCTTAAAGTGATAAAAATAAACATCTCTCAGTCTCAAGCCTCAATTGCGGTGTACTGCTGGCCATGCCCACTGCCCAGCCTCCTCTCAAGTCCTGCTGGCGACTAGTAATGATTGCCCGATCGGGCAAGGGCTGCCCGACAGCCTCATGGCGCCCCACTGTCATGCCTGAGTGCCTGAGGCCGCTTGGATCACCCGGTGGGGTTGAATTCTCCAACGTGGAATGCGTCGAATCATCCCGCCTTGCTCGCATCCATAGTCTGATCCCTGGACAATCTCCCCGCTCCGTACTCCGTGCCTCCGTCTGCGATCTCACCTGTTCTACCTCGATACGGTCGCATCCTACCCCGCATCACTCCCAAAAATCCCCTATTCCTTTGAAGTCTAGTTAAGCCGTCCAGCAACCATGGCCGACGCAGAGCTTGAGGAGGTCAGTATAACCTTCCGGGTTACAGTTTAACTTCCTCTGCCCTTCATTGCTTGATATTTTCCGCTTGGGATCCACCATCGACACTTCGTATCAAATGCTTAGAAGAGTAATAGATCAGACGTGCCCGTCTTGCGCAGCTCCAGCAACAGGGTGGCGCACGTGGTGGTTCCGACGGCAACCAGGAGGAACAAAGAAGGTATGAACCGATGCTTCATTGCTTCTGCGATTGTGAAATTGCTGACACTTATATTATAGGCAAGCTGAAGGTATGCCCAATGATAATCATCCCATGACAGGAGAACAGATCCTGGAAGGCCATTCGCCGTTGCCTCAACTACATCCCCAAGTCATATGCTTACCATTCTACGTCCCTAGCCGAACGCCGCACCACCATCCTGAATCAGATCCTCGAACCCGAAGCCGCCGATCGCCTGGGCCGCATCCGCCTCGTCAAGGAATCCCGCGCTGCCGATGTCGAGAACCGGCTGCTCGTGCTCGCCCAGAGCGGCCAATTGCGACAGAAGGTCTCCGAAGACCAGCTCAAGCAGCTTTTGAACGCCATGGCCGAGAATCAGCGCAAGGACGAGGAGGAGCACAAGATTGTGATCAGCCGGCGCGGTGGCTGGGATGATGACGACGACCTTTTGGATCTGTGAGATGATTTAGCGAAGGCATTCGGTGCAAACCGAATGCATGCCATTGTTCATGATACCTCCAGCTCTCCCATTGATGCTTGCGACCGTGCAGCTGAGTTCCTGCTATCAAAAGTACTTCCTGCCTTCATCATACCAGCCATCTTCTTCCACTGTTCATTGAATGCGTGGTCTTATATCCCCCGCAAGCACTCAAAAACCGGATACCAAGTAACCACACATTTAATTCAGGGCTCTCATCCCCCCAATAAAAATATAATACATCTAATTAACACCCTCACCACACCTAATCCACGCCCCTCCGTTCCGCCTCCTCCTTCTCTCTCTTCTTCTGTAACCGAATCATCCTCCTAATCTCCCTCATATCCGGCGGCTGCTCAATCCCCAACTCGTCCCTCAACACCCTAACATCCATCTCCAACACCTTCTCCCAATAAACATTAATCAACTCCTTACTCCGCAACCCACTCCGCAACGCCCACGGCAAATAAATCGAAAACAACCGCTCCCGCTCCGCAGGCTTCAACCTCACTGACGCAAACAGACTCAACCCCGTCATCGGAATCAGCGTATTCAGAAACTCAAACGCCTTGAGCGCCAGCTCCCCCTCCACGAAAATCGGCAATCCCGTCACAGCATGGTAGAAGTCATGACACTCGCGGTACCGCTGCATCACGTACGCGCATTCCTCGTCATCAATGTATTGCACGTTGTCCCGGGTGTCGGGCGACACGCCTTCCCGGTCGAGCCAGGTAGCGTAGGTCCGGCCGACGGTGTGTTCGGGGAGGGTACGGAGGTAGGGGAGTTTGAGGGTCTCAGAGGTGATGCGTGGACGGTCGCGGAGGATTTGTCGGCCTGTTGGATCGGAGAGCATCGCGTCGCGGAGACGGTAGATGAAGTAGGGTGTTGCGGTGGCTTCGCCGCAGGCGGCGATTAGGTCTGCGTGTTTTTTGTGCATCAATTTATTGCCATTGAAACGTCATTTTGTAAGGATTGGAGATTTACCTGCTCTCCGAGGGTTGATGAGAGCTCCCACGGCCGACCCAAAGGCCAGGGCACCGCGCTCCACAAAGTTCAACGGTACATGGCCGGGATAGTTTGGCGGAGGACGGTTGAAGCCGGAGAAAGGCCGTGCGTGGGACCGGAGAGAGATCGGTGCGCAGAAGAGAAGGTGATTGAGTTCGCGCGCGGGGAGAGCGGCGCTGCGCGTTCGGAGAACCGTCATGTTGGCTCTGAGTGAGGGTGACACGCTATAGACATGACCCTGGCGGATGGGTGCAGAGTGGTACGATGCGATGCGTTCGGGGAGATGCCGGATGGCGCGAGTGGTGGCTGTGCGGGGCCGTAGCGCTGATAAAGATCGATAAGATAGTGACATTTTTGGCGGCTCGGTGGGTTGCATGTGTCACTCTTGCTCCTGATTGCCATTGAGGGGTTTGTATTGGGATTGGAGGTTCAAGAACAATTCTCTGTTCTAGTTGAGCGTATAATTTTGCTCGGACTGATTATTCCCTCTGCAATTATCATACAGGATCCCTCTACCTGCCCTCCTTTTCTTCTCGTCCCTCCACATCAACTTCCACCTCTCTCCCCACATCCAAGATGAAACCCATCTGGTGGCCCGGCGAGCAACATGAGCTCTTCACAGAATGGGCCGTCACGCAAAGCATCGTCATCAACGGAGTCAGCCCAGCCCGGTTCGTTGGCCGCGGCTTAGGCATGATAGCCACGCGCAAGATCGAAGTACTCCCCCTCTCTCTCCCGTCCCCCCTCAACCATATACTGACACCCCCTCAGAAAGACTCCATCCTCATCTCCGTCCCCCACAGCGCAATGCTCACCCCCAGCAAGATCCCCTCGTCATTCATCTCCCTCTTCCCCGCAGACACACCAACCCACGCCCTCTACGCCGCATACCTCACCCACACCCCCACCACCACTGACCCCTGGCGCAACACCTGGCCCACAATCAGCGACTTCGCCTCCAGCATGCCAATACTCTGGCCGTCCTCCTTCATGTCCCTTCTCCCGCCATCCATCTCCGGCTTATGGTCCACCATCCCCTCTAGCCTTCCAAAGGAGAAGCAGCAACACGACACCTCCCACCAACACCTCCTGTCGCAACAAGAAGCCCGACTCACCAGGGACTGGGAGATCGTAGAACGGGTGCTTCCCGGTATGGAGTGGGAGAAGTTCAAGTACCATTGGATTATTGTGAATACGCGAAGCTTCTTCTATCTTTTGCCCGGGAAGGATATGCCTGAGGATAGATATGATGCTATGGCGTTGGTTCCGGTGGCGGATTATTTTAACCACTCGGATGAGGCGGTATGTTCCTCCTTCTTTCTCTCTTGAGTGGTTGGGTTGGATGTGGCTGACTTGGGTTCGCGAACAGTGTAATGTCAAGTTTGATGGAGAGAGATATGTTTTTCGTGCGGCAAAGGACTATGGTATTTTTCCCTTTGGAAATTGAGAACCAGTGGTTGGAATGGTGCTGATGTGGTGCAGAGGAGGGAGAGGAGATCTATATGAGCTATGGGCCTCACCCCAATGATTTCCTCTTTACGGAGTGTGAGTGGCTTGCTGCGGGTGTCTGGTTGGATTAGGCTAACTGTAATTAGATGGGTTCTTCTTGGAGGAGAATGTCTCCGAAACGCTGTGCCTAGATGATATTATATTCCAGGATCTCAGTCCGGCCATGCGGGAGGAGCTCGAGTTTCACAAATACGATGGGTACGTTGACCGGGTGTTCCAGCTGCACGGGTGCTAATAAAGGCAGAAACTATCAACTAACGGCCGATGGCGTCTGCTATCGCACGGAAGTCGCCGCCGGTCTTACATATATGCGACTCCAAGAATGGCAGGACTATGTCCTCGGCTACTCGACCCAAGGCGTCGATAAAAAGAAATCAGAAGCCGTCATCCGGAGATGGATCCATACCTATCTCAAGGAGGCAGACGCGACCATCGACCGGCTGGAGGATCTTAGTCCCGATAAGCCGGAACACCAAGGGATGGTCAGAATGCTGCTGAAACGGTGGTGGCAGATTAGAACTCTCTGTGATACAGCCATGCAGGCTGTGTCTGCTAACCAGTAAAAGAAAATCGGGGTATATTATCATATAAGTACAGACTTCCGCTCCGCTTACAAAATGTCGATAGGGATCGCACTGGACTCTCTCTGCTTCGACGTGTGCTGTTTCGCCAAAATCAGGTGCTTCATCATGTAATTCACCACACACTTGACACCAAGCTCTTCGCCTCTGCGCACGATGTAGCCATTCAAGTATTCAATCTCGGTCGTCTTGCCAGCGCGTACATCCTGCAGCATCGAGCTGTAGTTCTTAGCTGTCCTGCTGGCAAGCTGCGTAACCATCCACCGCAGACGCTCGGGGGAGAACCGGCTCTCGATGCCAGGAATGCCCTGCACTTCGGGGAGTGCGCAGATCACGCTCGAGATTTCCAGCAGCAGCAAGCGCATCACTCGAGTGAAGCTGTAGTTGTAAAGAAGCTCGCCGTTTTCGCAATTCATCGCGGCTGTCAGCGGGTTGATGACCGCATTCATCGCCAGCTTTTCCAGCTGGTACAGCATCAGGGAGGACGGGGTCTCCGCGACAGCAACAAGTGGCGGAGTAAGGGTCAATGTGCGCGTGAGGTACTTGGTACTGGGGGCCCAGTCCTCCTCTTTTTCGCTAATCACAGACGTAGAGTTCGCGGAAAGAGCCGGTCCGAGGATGGTCGTGCCGATGCCAGTATGCGCAACTTGAAAAGGTTCCTTTCTGCGCGCCAGCCCATGAGAGACGATACCGTGCATATAGTTGGGACGATTTTGCGGGTCAGGGAAAACCTTCTCATTGAGCTCGTCAATGACCCCCATTCCATTCTGAAGGAGCAGTACCGTAGAGTCAGGCGTCAAACGATGACTGACAGACTCCAATGCCATGGCCGTCACCGGCGCCTTGACGGCAACAACCAAGCATTCAATGCGCTCATCATCTTCGGCAGACTCGGCCAGGAACTCTTCCACGTCCCCCTCAGTCTCAGCTATGGGTTGAGCGTCTTCCCCATTTTGATCCCAGTATGGAAACGAGTGCCATGATTTGCCACTCAGGACATTGACGTCGAAGCCGGTCTTGATATCATCCAATCCGTTCGAATTCAACGCCAGGCACCTTTTCTTCGCCAGCCATGAGCTGTACAAGTCGGGATTATGCAATAGAAGAGTGACCGGTGGCGGAGACGGACGGCTCATGAGCGAATGGGCAACAAATGTGCCTACATTCCCGAGGCCGAGGATATGTATGCGTCCGGAGAGACGCTTTCCACTGTCTTCAGATGCTTCTTCGGCGTTTTGCATCCACGTCGCCATGAATCGGCTGGACGGGTTCCATGGGGAATTACGCCTTGACACAAGACATATTTCGCAAATGCCTGTCCGCCGCAGCGGACGGCGTCCCAGTATGTACGACACTTTGACGACTGGAGTAGATCACGCGATTAATTTCAGGACCGTCGGAGCTTCAAGATGGATGGGCCGTTGGCTAAAGTCTCATTCTAGAGGGAGCACACGTAGCGACCAAGCCCAGATACTTGCAGTCCTAATAACAACGTGCATGCCAATAGACGATATAGATCGGAGACAAGTTCTGGACCAAAAATAAAGTAGGAGGCGAACATGCAGGGTTTCACCGCCTCCGTGACCGCCTGCAGATAAAAAATCGACATTATCCGCTAGTCTCGATCCATCATCATCATTCCACGCCAGAATCCGCGCAAGATGGAGGCAGCAGATCTACTTCCGCTGCTCGAGCAGCTGGACGATAACATTGACGATCTTGAAGAGGCGTTGAAGCCCATCCTGGAGAGCTCCGTGGTGGCGACATCCAAGAAGCTCCCGGTCTTGGATAAGGCGAAATTTCACGTCTTGGTGACCTATGCCTTGGAGTCGTTGATTTTCTGTACGGCATGATGTTCATATTGAAATGACTAAGCTAACGGTGCTACAGCGTATCTGCGTCTCCATGGCGTGAATGCTAAAGAACATGCCGTGTTTAGAGAATTAACTAGAGTCAAGCAATACTTTGCGAAGATCACGGCGCTCGAAACCGAGCCGGAAAAGCGTACTCTAACTCTGGATAAGCAGGCTGCCAGTCGCTTCATCAAGCATGGTCTTGTGAGTTACTCGATCCGTCCGGTGGGTGGTGGTGGCTAACTGGATAGGCTGGAAATGACAAGCTCGATCTGGAGCGCAAGGAGCAGGAGGCAAAGGAGAGAGCGCGCGCACAGTTAAAGGCGTCGCTACTGGCTAAGAAAACAGAATCCGCCCAGAAATCCAGCAACTCCGATTCCGAGGCCGGATCCAACGATGAGAGCGCGAAGCCCGCCAAGCCTGCTGGCAAGTCTGGTGAGGATAAGAAGAAGGAGAAGCGCAGGGACAAACAGAAGAAGAAGATCAGCAAGGAGGAGCACAAGGAGGGAAAAAAGGAACGCCGCAAGAAGAAAGATGAAATGCGCAAGGCGAAGAAGTTGAAATGAGGGCTGCGGACAGGTGCTGTCGTTGACCGGCTGGCCGGTCTGAATGCGGCGTGCAGTACTGGATCTCGCAATTGATGCTGTGTGATTCCGTGGCTGCCGATTGCCGATTGCCGATTTTCTACTGCACGACAGTTTAAAGATGCGCCGCGCATACATGGAATGATTGATACCCATCACGGAAATGGCCTGAAATCCAAGGAACGACGGACAGTGACCCAGGCACCGCACAGGCCCGGTAGGTACCGGAGTCTTCCATGGCATACTAAGGACGAGTCATTTGACCACGAGTAGTGCCAACGAACAACCTCCGTATGACGGAGAATGTGTTCGCTCAGCCCTGTGGATCGATGCCGTGAGTCATTGCGCCGGAGTTAAGAGTACATCACACACATAGCATCACTAAATACCGAGACTTTGAGCAATCCAAGTAGTACTAGCCATGTACAGACCCGCGTAACCTACCATGACTTCAACCTCCTAATAACTTACACCTACACCATAACCACAACCCCAAAAATAGGTCCATTCTCCAAACTAATTACTAAATCCGACCCAACAACCGATAGTTAAGCGCCGGACCGGCAGCTGACAAAACACCCGAGGGCACCAATCAGCGACCCCCGAATTGCCAGGCCCATCGGAGTTTTCGAACTTTCTCCGCCCGACCATTCGAGCTTGTTCTTTTTGCATATATAAGAAACCCTCCCATCCCATCCCCTAACCACCAACGCCTCCCAAACCACCCACCACACACCACAACCCACCACACACACACCCACAAACACATCAACCATGCCTCGTCAACGCCGTGGAGCCGCGCCTACCCCCGCGCGCAGCGCCCCCACCCGCCCTACCGCCGCTCCCGCCAGACCGGCCCCTGCCTACGGCCAACAGCAGCAGCACCAACCTCACTCGACCGCCGCTCATCCCCAGCAGCACGCCGCTCCTCCCGCTCCTACTCCCGCTGCTGCTGCTCCTGCCCCTGTCCAGCAGAGCCAGGGTCCCGGTCTGTTCGGTCAGATGGCTTCGACTGCTGCGTGAGTTACCTTGCCACATCCATCCATACCTACAAACCAATCCAACCCCCTCAAGAACAAACCGCAATCTAACAAGAATGCATAAAAAATAGTGGTGTCGCAGTCGGTTCCTCCATCGGCCACGCCATCGGCGGCATGTTCTTCGGCGGCGGTGGCAGCAGTGCTCCCGCCGAGGCCCAGCAACAGGCTGCTCCTCCTGCGGCCGCTCAACCCATGGATAACGGTCTTTGGGCTGGGAACGCCACCAACAGCTCGTGGGAGGCCCCTGCTTGCGCTACCGATGTCCAGAACTTTCGTAAGTGTATGGATGAGAATAAGGGTGATTTGACGATTTGTGGGTGGTATCTGGATCAGTTGGTACGTTTACTTTCCCTTCCTTTTGGTGATTGGGGGTGGTGGGGAATGGGGGGTTTGAAGGGCTGGGCTAATGTGAATTTGTGAATAGAAAGCTTGCCAGGCTGCTGCTAAGCCTTACTAAGTGGGTTAAGTCACTTAGGGTTGGGGAGGAGATTGATAGATGGATGGATGAAATGATCTTATGGACTGGATTGGACTGAGCTGAGCTGGGCTGGGTGGCGGTGACGGTGATGCTGATATTGTTTGCATAGCGGCGACTACTACCTCTACTGACTGCCCTTGCTATTATCTTATTACTCCTATTACTCTTGTATAACATATACCATTTTTCTTATTTACTCGGGGCTTGTTGATATATGGTCTGGTTGGTGGCAGGCTAGATGATATACTGAAAAAAGAAACATTCCACTCTTCAATACTCTTCTGCATTCACTCATCTTGAATTGTAATGTAAAAGTACCTAAATGATATCCAAGATAGATTAGGTACAATTAGCCGGACATTCTGATAGTAAGTACATGAGACACGCTTCGCTCGCTGCAGCAATAGAAAGAATAATCGATTGATACAGATACACGGTCAGAACTAGGAATCACATCCTACCGTCTATCTCCATCATTCCTTGGCTGAAAGTTCAACTACACATCATTAGCATCACCCATCACAAACACCCCAATAGAGAAGTAAGTACCCACCTGATTCCCATTATAGAACTCCCGATCATCCCGCTCATTCTGCTGATCCCTCAACGTCCGAATATTCGGTCCCGTCCGCAGTCTACGTCCATTACTAGTTGAAGCCGGAGTCGACGCCGGCGCCGGCGCAGACTGCTCTGCCTCAGCCGCAGGTGTAGGCCCATATCCGAAAAACGAACCCACGAGACCCGTCGCCGTCCCAACAGCCGACGAAACAAGTCCATAGGCAGAAGATACTGCTCGGACGGGCAAGCTCGATGCCGTCGCGGAATACGCCTCCGTGTAGGATTGGATCGGGATCATGACGAGGTTAGCGGATGAGCCGAGGCCCAGTTCGGCGAGCGGGGTGTCTTCGTCGGTGAGGGTGAGGGTGCGGTTGGGTAGCGGGGTTAGGATGTGTTTGAGGTTGTAGGGGGATTTTTCTTCCATTTGGCTGTCGAGCCAGGGACGGATGTCGGCGCGGATGGTCTGCGTGGGGGTGAAGCTGGATCGGACGGAGCGGCCGTCGAAGAGGCGGACTTGGAGACGGTATTGGTTGGGGATGGAGGGTTGGCGGGGGGTGGGGATGGCAGTTGAGGGCTTGTCTTTGGGTTTGGTGGTTGGTTTGGGACTCTGCTTGGGTGTTGGGGTTTGCTTTTCCTGTTGGAGTTTCTTGCTCGGGGGTGATTGGGGTTGCGTAGTTCGCGCACCTTCTACTCGTCGCTTGCCTTCGCGGATGCTTGCGTCTCGGGGTTGGGATGGTTCAGTCGGAGGTGAGGGTTGGGGTTCGGGCTGAGATGGAGTTGGCGCTGCAACGGGGGATGTAGGTGCAGCGAGAGCAGATACAGGTGCTGGAGCAGGCACCGGAGGAGACACAGGCGCAGGAGATGATACTGGGGCAGGTGATACCGGTGTAGGAGCAGACACGGACGTGTCCGTATTCTGAGCTACCGTATCATCCCCAGTCTCACCTCCAATATCCTGCTGAACCGGCGCGCTCTCATTCAGCTTCGCAGCCAACCGATCCCGAAAGTCCTCCTTGGACAAGTCCGGGACAAGATAATCAGATAGCATGCCATTCCTGCAACGGTTAACTCGGACCCAACCCATGCACATCAGACATACTTTATCACGACGACGGTGGGAAACTTGACGATGGGACAGAAGGAGGCCAGGAAGCCTGCTTCGGGGGTGCCCTGAGTGAGGCGCAAAAGGACAGCTCGGGTGTCGAGCAAGCGGGATAACTGGGGGGAATTAGCATGGGCAGAACATACACTGTGGGAAGAAACATACCTCCTCATCGAAAGTAAAATACTCCTCCTCCCATTGTTTACTCGTCTGCTCATCATCTGGTATGAGTTAGCGCTGCGGAGTAACCAACCCCCTCCACGTCCAGTGTCCATCGAAGAGAAATGCCTCCTCACCTCTAACAAAACAAACGACAGCCTTATTCTCCGCCACCGCGGACGCAATTCCATCCTGCAGACTGCCTTGGTAGAACATGATGGCGTAGTCTACTTCGTCGTGGGTACAGTGAGTAAGTAAGTATGTAGCTGGTCAAAGAGCCCCGGAGCTATCGATAAGGCGATCGGCGCAAAAGACGCCGTCGCCGAAGTCCTCCGCCTTTCTCTCCCTCCTCTTGCTGGACCTCTTTCTAAGCTTATCCCCTCAATACCCATCCCAATTGCGCCAGCAATACACACACACATCCAGTAGGGGAGTACCCAGCCATGCGCTCTCTCCTCTCCGTCCTGAACCGGACAGCCACCACTACCCCGGCATGGCGCCCAGCATCCAGTATCCTCCGTACCTCTCGACTCTCCGATTCCCTCTGCACGCGCTGTCTCCTCCGCCGCCAACAACTCCGCTTCTACAACAATAACCAATTCTCCGATGACCAGCGATGGCTCTCAGTCGTTGATCATCCGTCCCAGGTGGTTCGTACGGGCCGGAAACATGGTCCGGGGTTGATTATTCTAGGTGCGTCTACCTATCCCCATCCCCATACCTTATACTTTCATTTACCCCCTCGTCTATATCCCCAAAACTAAATACTAACCAAACGAAAGCATTAATCCCCATAATCTCCTTCGCCCTCGGCACATGGCAAATCCAACGATTGGAATGGAAAACCGACCTCATTGCCAAATACGAAGACCGACTCGTGAAACCCCCTCTCCCATTACCACCGAAGATCGATCCCTCGGTTGTACCCGAATTCGATTACCGAAGAGTCACGGCCACGGGAACCTTTCGTCACGATCAGGAGATGTTGGTTGGGCCGCGGATGCGGGAAGGGCAGGATGGGTTTTTTGTGGTGACGCCGTTGGAGCGCGGGGAAGGGGAGAGTACGGTGTTGGTGAATCGGGGGTGGATTTCACGGAAGATGAAGGATCAGAAGGATCGAGGGGTTGGGGCGGTGGATGGGAAGGAGGTCGTGGTGGAGGGGTTGTTGAGGGAGCCGTGGAAGAAGAATATGTTTACGCCTGAGAATAAGCCCGAGGAAGGGAAGTTTTATTTTCCTGATATTGAGCAGATGGCTGAGTTGACGGGGAGTCAGGCTGTTTGGATTGAGGAGACTATGGGTATGTTTTGTTCTTCTATTGGAGGGGGTTGGGGATGGGACGGCTAACGATATGTCTAGTTCCTGATCTCGTCGAGGCGTATGATCGCGAGGCCAAGGGCATCCCCATTGGTCGCGCCGCTGAAGTCAACCTCAAGAATAACCACAGCCAGTATATCTTTACATGGTAGGTTCCTCCTCCCTGCCCGTGGAATTCCGCTAATGTCCCCAGGTACGGCTTGTCGCTGGCAACCTCCATCATGCTGGGGATGATCATCCGTAAACGTCCCAACGAGGCCACCCGGCGTGTGCGCCAGAGTCGGAACTGGTAGATGTCGCGTGGTGGTGTTCGGCTTGTATCTATAGAGTTCGTGTGTATGTATATCATGGTGGCATCGCCAATCTCATATCCTGCAGCAGCTCCTTGGGCAAGTGCTTCTGCGCCAGCGAGAAGATCGTCGTCGCGCTGTTGACATGCCGTTGTCTGTGAATGAATTAGTAATGTTTGTAAAAGAGCGCGGTCGATTCACCTCCGCATCAGGGTCGCAACATCGCTATCGTCGATGGTCTTGCGCCCCGCGTGCTTAGAATATGCCGTCAGGTCCTCGCTCGCCTGTTCAAAGTACCATGCCGACGCCTGCTCAATCGCTGCCAGTGTTTCCTTGCTGATCTTCGCCTTGGACCCGTGTCGCGCCCGCGCAAACCGGGTGGCCAGCTTCTTCACGACCCCGACGGGGAGGTTAGGCACCGGGATACCATGTCGGGAGAGCTTCTCCTGCTTGGTGCCGGGGATGAATCGGTCCTCGTCTCGCAGGCCTCCCCCGGCGATCCCTGGACTCTGGCTTTCGCTCAGCACCATCGGTTCGGGCATCGGAGATTCCATGCCAAAGTCGTTACCAGCTATAGATACGCTAGCATCATCGACCCCCGCCTCCGTGTCTAATGGCATGTCCACCGGAAGCTCGAACCCTTCGTCATCGTGGATGGGTCCATCCTGGTCCAGATCCTCGCCCGGCGGGGGTGGGGTTGGGAAGTTGAAGTCAAAGTTGAACCGTCCGAGGTCCTCCGTTTCTCCTCTGTACGCATGTTTAGCGGTGTAATTACGCATATCAGGCAAAACTCACCCTCTGTCAAAGTCACCCTGACTAATGACTGTATCCTCCCCTTCGCCTTCATTTTCATCCCCCACGATCCCCGTATCATCCCCATCTTCACTCTCACTCTCAATCCTAGTCGCAGCCCCAATCTCACTCATCCGAGGCCCGCCAGCACTCATCATAGACAATCTCCCCCTGTCATGTTCACTAGTAGCCCGTCGAGGATATTCGATCGAGGTATGCGTAAGGTCTTCTTCTTCAAAAGCTAGCGACAACCGGGGTGGGCGCATCTCCGGCTCTTCATCCACCTCATCTACCTCTTCCAGCGGCAGCGATAATCGAGGTCGCTCAATCTCGGGCTCATTGTCCAGCTCCTCAATTTCATCCCTCTCTGGTTCAGGCTCGGGCTCGGGCTCTGGTTTATCCTGCGGCGATGATCGGATTGGTTGAGTTGTTGGAGCAAGGGCTGCAGGGCATTAGCCAATGATATAGATAAATGTATTTGTCCGCACCTTTTCCCAAGTTCTGGAGGATATCGAACGTAGTCTCACGCTGGACTCGCCCGCTGCGTCTACGATCGCGTCCGGGCGTGTTTGCTGCGCGTCGCTGCATCGCCTGCACCCGATACGGCGTGGATGGTGCGCCTGCGCCCCTGTTCCGCGGGGTCCGTCGGTTCGCGGATGGGGTGTTGGCTGCGAGTCGGCTAGGCGTGAGGGGATATCGGGTATGTCCGGGAAGTCGTTGCAGCTGGTTCAGTTAGCACATACCGTCGAGTCGGAGAATCAGCTTACCCCTGTGAGAGTGGTGTCCCCTACTGGGGTGAATGCTTCGGAGCCATCAGACACTCGCGGTGACCGGCGACGCGGGTTGGGAGTGGTCGCCATAGCTTGCTGGACGAGATTGAACCATCAAGCGGTCATGGATTCAATAGCAGTAGTGCGCTTAGTCGACATGACAGCAGTCCATGATAATCGACGGCAGAGGGGGGTATGATGATGAAGAGGGGAGCTGTCGAGAAGCGCGTCGGACATCGGCCGTGCAGACCCCGGATGAGAACGGCAGGCGGTCGACTGCACCAAGTGGATCCCAGCCTGATTGGTGCTGCTTATCGATAAGACGCTGACTCAGCATAAAAAGTTGCGCGACAACATCGACGCCGACTGCAATTACACCCAAACCATTGAAGATTCCTGTATCGCGACCTGCCGGAGCTGCTCAGAATCACCGAATATGTCTGACGGAACCCCCAAACCCTCCGCCCTCGCGGCCAAGGTGGACAAGAAGCGCAAGAGACAGGCCGAGGAATCCAAGCCGAGCGACGCAAAGCCGGCTGGCAATAGCGAGGCCCCGAACAAGAAGAGAAAGGACAACAAGAACGCCAAGGACAAGAAGAACAAGGGCAAGAAGAACAACAAGGACAAGACGGATCAGAGGCCCGCTAAGCTCACCGATGCCAAGGCCACCGAGACCAAGGGCGGACTCGATGAAGCGATTGGAAAGATGGACGGCCGGTTGTTCGCCGATCACTTTGCGCAAAAGGCCAAACGGCATAACAAGGAGCTGAGTGCGGTGGAGCTGAGCGATCTGTCGGTTCCGGGTAGGTCAATTGCTCCTGGTGGTGCATGAGGTGTATACTGACGGAACAGACTCCGCGTTCCTCGATACATCGTCGTTCGAACAGGCTAGAAACTTGGAGCAGCTGCCTGCGTTCCTGAAGGCATTCAGTCCGAACAAGGGGACAGGACTTGCCAAGTCGTCGGAGGAAAAGGGCACCCCGCACACGTTGGTGGTCTCTGGTTCTGGGCTCAGAGCGGCCGATGTTGTCAGGTAAGTTGATGTGCTGTGCGCACGGGGATCGTGCTAATGTTGTCCGCAGAGCCCTCCGATCGTTCCAGAACAAGGAGTCTATTGTTGGAAAGCTGTTCGCCAAGCACATCAAGCTGGAGGAGGCCAAGCAGTTCCTGGAGCGCGCACGGTATGTACCTGCTATAGGCTATAGCTCAGCATAACTAACGACAACAGCACGGGTATTGGAGCCGGCACTCCTGCTCGTATCTCCGATCTGATTGACGCGGGTAAGTCTAGAATCCCACTGCTTTTGAGGATCAACTAACCATGATAGGCTCCCTCAAATTGGGTGAGCTCGAGCGCATCGTCATCGACGGATCCTACGTGGACCAGAAGCAACGAGGCATCTTCGACATGAAGGAGACACATCTTCCATTGCTGCAGCTGTTGACTCGGCCCGAATTCCGGGAGCGGTACGGCGCGACGGAGAAGAAGATTCAGATCTTGGTCTTTTAAGCGATTGTCTGGGGTGGGGGCGTTTATAAACGGCTGGTATCGTTTATCTATATTGTATAAAGTTATGGGAGTTGCTCATAGGACAAAAGTACATCTAGTCTATTCAAGTGGGTTTGTGAACCACGAGTGAGAGAGGAATCAAAATCCAATCGATTTCTCTTCAATATGAATTATTTTCACAGAGCATATCATTCACTACCACCCAAAAACCAACAGAAATAACACAAACGCGGAGGCCAGCCATCCGACAAAAACAAAGCAACTTCCTCCCTAGTATTAATATAGAATCAACGGCGCCAACGGCTCGGGATCCCACGCCCTCAACTCTATCTTCAACTCCTCCAGCTTGGCCATCATCCCCGTACCCTTATACGTACGATAATATCTGCTCTCACGAGTTGAATCTTTGATATTATCCAGTGTAATCGACTCCAACGCCGTACAATACGACTGGACATCCCCCAACATATCGTGCCAGCCCTGGTAGGGCTCGGTTGCACATTCTGAAAATGTCAGCGAAGTCAACTGATGTCCATTTGCCGACAACCAGTCGTGAAAGCCGTGGTCCCGAAACTCCCAGTTCCGGATTTCGATGTGCTTCAGTCCGCACATGGGGATGGCTTTGTTGATGGCTGTGAGGGCGTTGACAGAGTTGTAGTCCTTGGTGTTGCTGCCGATGATGATGAGGCGCTCGAGACGGGGCGCATGCTCGAGGATCAGCGGGAAGATGAATTCAAGGGACCAGCAGAGGTGCTGGAAGTATGGCTCGCTGATGGTGAGGGTGTGAAGGTTGGTCCAGGCGCGGGAGATGTCCGGATGTGCGGTGATGCGGTAGAGAGAACGGAGATCTTGCGGGCTGGTTTCGGGGGAAGGAGAGGACTGGGAGTACAGGGTTAGCTGTTCGGGGGATCTCTCGGTTTCGGCAAAGAGGTGGAATAGGATCTGGACGACGTCGTCGGTGGAGAGGTGGTCGTTTTCGTTCGAGTCCAGGCAGAGCTCGAAGCTTTTGCAGTTGGGGAGTGAGTATTGAAGGAGTTGCTTGAGGATTTTGAGGGTGGGGATGCTGGCGGGAGATTCGATCTCATTGAAAGAAGATGAGCGCTCGATGTTGGGGAGAGGTCCAAAGGGAGGTACGATTTGGAGGGCTTGTGGGATATGATGGAAGACCGGATGCGAGGCGAGATATTGGATTTGGGCGATGCTGGAACTCGACAGGTCAGTCCGGATCGTGCGCAAACAGCGATCAAAGATCAGGCAACTGCGCTCATAAGTCACGCTTGTCATGCGTTTCGACACTCGCTGAAGGGAGATCATGTCCCTATCCTCCAGAAGATTGACCACCATGTAGAGAAGCTCTACCGGGAGCTTGTTGAACCCTGAAGAGGGACCATACTGGACACGGAGTCTTCGATGGGGCTTGAATGGTCTCCTGCGACCTCGTCGATTTGCCTCTCTGGAGATCAATCGCAGAGAGCGCAGGTCAATTTCATCGAGGTCGTCCACAATCCGATAGAAGGGCTCGGGGAGGAGCCGATGCCGACGTGAAGACATTGTGTAGGGGGCTGCGATAGACAGGATGCAGTGTTGAATGATATGCAGAAGTACATCTGTCTTGGACTATACGACCTATATAGCTCTGGGGGCACAGATTAAACCACTTTGAGACATCGAACAAAGCGTCAAAGGCTGCAGACAAGGCCATTTCGGTTCACAAAAGACCTTTGTCGCCTCGAGGGACCCGAGGAGGGAATTCCTTGGGAAAGAAAGATGGCAATTCGCTTGCCATTAATACAAAGGGGAGTCAAAGGATGAAGTCCTGAATGGCATTGGCCATGGTCTACAATGCAGCTTGCCAGGGACCAGCACGTGGAATGTCAACCTAATGGCAGATAAAGATGACCAGCAGTTGGCTATTCTATTTTTAACTCTATAATGACATGCTGCAATGTGAGTATCTTTATATAACGACCTATCTAAACTGGTTGCTGTCGCCATATCACCTTGCCACTTACCTGCTTCCAGTCCCAGAGCAGGTCATTCTGGATCGACCCTGGAACTGCCAAATGTTCATGTAGAGAAGATGTTTAGCTCGTTGTAGTTCTTCCCAGTACTGAGCCCGTTTCTCCCAATATTATTCAGCTCACAATTTCGGCGGCCTCTTGATATGCTACTCGGAACATATTGGTATTTCTTGTTCCAGATTTGCACTTACAGTGCCAAAACCTTATCCTAGTCCTTTGTGATTATCAGGGTATAGTCCACGATGGCACAATAACCTTCTAGTTCAAAGTCTGCGGCGAACGACATCCGAGTGGAGATCCAAGTCGAGCAAATCTGCGGCATTTTGATGCAAATAGCTTTGGGCAAGGATATGGCAGCAAAATCTGACCGCCTCATCATTGCTGTGTGGGGATGGGAGGTTATTACCAGTAGGTACTCATCTGTTCCACATAATCTGGTCCTCACATACATTCGTACGTGGTGAGAACATCACGGCGAGGGTGGTGGTCGTCCATGTAGTATCTGGTGAGCTGTCCTGTTTTGGGCAACTCCGTTAGCATACATAACAGTTATCAAGATCGATATATATAAAGAATACACATGACCACTTACCTAGCTTCAATGCCGGCCACGAACTGATGTCATGGTTGCCCATTCGAAGGTCCAGATGTCCATAGCGTTTCAACTTCAGTAGGTTGGAGATAGAGGACTGATATCGATGCGAGAAAATCCTTTAGTTCTCTCATGAGTAAATTCTGGCGAGGGCCGAATCGGGTCAGGGTTGAATACTATGAGTTCAAAGATCCCCAAGGGGAGTTGGTCATCGGGCCCTTTGGCTGTCACATTGGAGTTGATGTCGATGCGTTCGGAATTCAGGAAAGTCTGTAGTCAGTAGATGTTCTACTGCCTGCATAAAGCCAGACAGACCCCAGAGATCTTTATCAAACTTATCGGTCTTGTGGATAATGCACAAGACTCGCATGGCGAGGAATTGCTTCTCAGTAGTCCTTGGCTGGTTTTAGCTCTTCGTACCGCTTGATTCTTGTCTGTCCGATATTGAAATCGTTGTGGAACCCTATTGGACTTCGTTCCAGTCGACCTGTCTTCTCTCCATACCAAATCCGAGAAGATAGGTCCCAAAATAAGGACTGTGGCCGGGAGCATATGTAGCAACGTTCCTCGCACGGATGTTAGTGATTCAGTTGTTGTGCCAATCTCGTGTAAAAAAAGGCTGCCTCCAGGTAGTATATATATAACCGGATAATTCAGTTGGCCAATGTTGACCACGAATATATCTGGAAACAGTGGCCAATGGATTGATTGCTTTCAATCTGCTTGATACCATTTTCTTTGTCAGGACACTCTTCAAGGATATAAGCTAGGTATTTCACGTCCAACTCTGGATACTTTTCTCTCAGTCTCGGTAAGCGAGTGTCACGGTCTGTCTTCATTGGTCTCATTTTATTCTGGCGAGGTTCCCATAGACACTCCAACATAGCGTGTCCTCTTTTACGAGAAGATTCACCTGATCGGATGGATAGCTCGTCTGACAGAGCCATAGCACGCTCCACAGACTTCTATTCGATGTTCTGGCCGGTATCATGGACTTGTCCGTAGTTAGATCACCCTAAAGTGGGTGAAGTAACATCGAAATCTCATGTTCAATCAATAACCGAGTTGTAGTTACGAAAATCTCCAGGCCGATCAGCCTCGCTCTGTTGAGGCAGTTGCTAGCAAGGTGGCCTTACTGATGACATTCGTAGCAAATCCGAGAGTGTCTCGGCTGATTTTATCAATATAAATCCATGTTGGACCAGTATCCCTTTACAGGGACCGGCACCTTCGAAAGTGGATGTACTCAACACCGTTGACTGACATGCCAGCAGGATAAAACCTAGCCACGAGGTTCCCAGGACAAACTTTCGCAACTTGCTGATATTGTCTTGCCTAACTGGTGCCGTCACTATTCAGCTGTGGCTTTTACAAAATGGCCTGTAACCATCTTGTTTCTTGCTGTCAAATTGAAGATATAATATTCTCTGCTTTGTCGGTGGAGTATATCATCTTTATGATGTAATATCAAGCATAAACATCCAGGCGTATAGGAACTGGCTCGTAACTCAGGTTATAAGACTTCCCATCTTTTTGCATGCATTTTCCGTGGGTACTAATCCCAATGTACTGGATCGGTGCTGTCAGGCCACACATTGGGGGAAGTCGTCTTAGAGATAAGTGTCAAGGCTTCCCCAGACGTCGCCATCTCACATTGTCTAGCGGGATATTTCCACCTGCAATCTGGACAGGACCTGTGCCAATACCTGGGGATGCGCACTGTGTGCATGAGAATGAATAATCCCTCATCTGGTGACAGCGAGAATAATAACCTGATCCGCGAGGTTTTGTCTCTGAGATTTCCGGGTTCCAATTGGGAGATTTGAAGCGTGAGTAGTCTGTACCCTCACTTTCATACCCATGAATGCAATTTATGTCCAAGAAGGATCTAAAACTCAGGGATCAATGGGTATCCTGTCATATTCGAGCAGGAAACCACCTTGGTGTGGAGATATCCTGCCTTCCATCCCATTCTTGCATTCTTTATCTTGTGGCAATCGTATGCAGTCCCATAGTCCGAGATGTGTTAGCGTATTAAATATCTATTCTGGCCAGTTGTAAATCTTCTTCGCCGGGAGAGTGTTTCTGTCGGGATGTTATTATATCCATCTTAGGAAGGCTCTCATAGTATATCCATGTCCCTTGATTTGGTGTACTGCTTTAGGTGTCTGATAGCAGGTGAGCACGGCCATCCCAGGAACGAAATGGAGCCTTTCCGTCAGAAATAGACTGGGTGGATCTTATCAGACAACTTGTCCTACCATTCCAGCACCAAGCTATGCCAGCCTTCTTGTCAGTATTCACCATATCAGCCCAAGTCAAGCAAGCCGTGCTTCCCCAAGAACCCTGGGAAGGACGCGACATGCTCCCAACGTCTCTACAAAACAGACTTATTGAAGAACTTAACTTCTCAATGTCTGAAAACCATGAGCAAGCCCATATTGCTGAGTGGATGCGTATATTACTGATGGCTCGTGTAAACTTGTTGATTAGCCCATACCTCTGCTTATCGACCAGCTCCACCCCAGGATCGCAGCTTTCCTGTGAACAGGATTTGTGTAGAGCCGAGCCTTTTGTCGATCTGTGACCAGATTCAAGATCTAGGAGCATTCAGTAGCATATGTTTAGCCTCTAGAGATATAAGTCTTGGAGAAAACCTGTACGACCGAATGATTGAGCTTCCATAGAACCCACGGGTATTCAAATCAGCAAAAGCGATGATTATTCCATGAACAATTCTCATTCTCGATCCAGTGGAGTTAGTGCCAGGTTATATAGGCTACCACAACCGATAACCAGTTCCTTGGACTTTTTGAAGTCTGTTTGATACCCTTCGCGCTTCTTCTGCTGCAGCAGGTAAGCCATGAACCGCCATTGTCGGCAGTAGTGAGAGCTAGTTAATTTAACAACGGCACTGAGAAAAGACAAATCGATTTCTCTCTTCTTTCTGGCTAAAAAAGGCTTTTGATTGCCATGGAGACATTTGCCGAATCCTATGTCTCCAAGCCAAAGACATACAGGCCTTGCGATAACCAAGGATATTCACCAGGATGTCCTCTGTCTTTTTCGAGTTCGATCTTTTGTAGGATGGCCGCTACCACCTGTGCATGCGTATTGTTCGTCTCTAGGTAGTATGGCACGGCATGCTGCTCAAAGAGAATGTACACCCTCTGGGCTATGCAGCCCATAGTCTGTAGCATTTCTGATTTGCCGAGCAACAATGCATTTGTTCCTGTGTATAAGTTGCCGAGTCTAGGTGGAATAACCAATCGAAACTGTGACTATTGTGTCGATTGAGGATAGGTCATCACAGTGACGAGGCACAGCAGAACAGGAAAGGTCCGAAGGACACCGATATACACCAGAGGATGTGTCTCGAGGAACCACAAAAGAACATGTCATGAGGCAAGACGTAACACCGAGGATAATATTTAAGTCCCAGGGACGGGGTTTGCTGGGAATAAATCCTGCTCGATAGATGGTATGCACTTCCATCTTATTTCAAAAGCTGCTTGGTAATGGACTTTCATGTGTAGAGATTCAAGCTGGTTTTCACGCCCTGGTGTTGTTGGGTGGGTATTGTAGGACATTGATTGGTATGTTGTTGAAGTAGCTGTATGCTTGTTCCAATTATGGACAACAGATTGACTGAGCAATATAAAGAGGACAAGTGCTTCCACTGCATCTCTGAGAGATATGAAACATGATGCTGGCTGTGCAGTCATTTGATATCGAATCATCTAGTCTGTACTCTATCTTGTAGGACTTTCGGTGCCATTTGTTACTACTGAAACCCTGTTTGTTCTTCAAGACGTGATTCTCATAGAAAGAGTGGACCTTCTAGGGCTTTCGAGCATCAACCAGGAACTGCCCGTCGGTCGACATCACTGTGGCAGGTTTGATGGGATGATTTCTTGAGATGTTGAATGGTATTGGAGGCTTGAAGTTATTTAAGATGTATAGAATGGAGATATGTACTATAATTTGTATATAGAAGGATGTCTATATCAAATGGATAAGGTAGACTTGGTTTCTTGGTATGTATGGAGGTATGGATAGAGAGAAAGAAAAAGAAAGGAGACAAGGGACCAACAAGCCATATATACCCTTTGTCGGAGAGAATCCATGAGCATCATTATTGATAAGCAGAGATAGTGAACCAAGAACGACAGTACTAATGGAATGCTTCACGATGTCCTTCACCAATGATGTGAATCCATCCTGTAACTCTCCCTATTTAATACTCACCTAGATATATACCTGAGGCTCGAAATATTTGTTGCCTTAATTTCTGCCTTAATTCATGCCTAACTCCTGCCTGAAAATACACCTCAAGCCAGTCTCCACCCAGCTCACCGCCAGATATCTCCGCCCGGCAAAAAAAGCAAATTTCCTATTCCGCCGATCACTCTGCTCCTCTTGCGATCTCTCTCAGCGCATTATCTGCATTGATACCCTTATTCCATTTTTGCTTTTGTTCCCGCTGCATCAATCCATAAATTCAACATGGGCGACAAGAAGCGCAAGCTCGCGGAGGAAGCCACCGTCCCCGAGGTGAAGAAGGCCAAGCGCGACGACAAGAAGGAGAAGAAGGAGAAGCGCAAGGCGAAGGAGGTCGTGGAGGAACCTGTTGTTGAGAAGAGTGAGAAGAAGGAAAAGAAGGAGAAGAAGGAGAAGAAAGAGAAGAAGGACAAGAAGGACAAGAAGGAGAAGGAGGTGAAGAAGGTGGAGGAGGTGAAGGTGGAGGAGAAGGAGGACAAGGAGGAGAAGAAGAAGGAAAAGAAGGACAAGAAAGAGAAGAAGGACAAGAAGGAAAAGAAAGACAAGAAGGAAAAGTCCAAATCAACAGACGACTTCGATGAGAAGCCTGCTCCCGAGCCCGAAGCAATGGACGTGGACGAGACCCCCGCCGAGAAAGAGAACCAGAAGCCCGAGGCCGAGGTAGCCAAGGAAGAGAAGAAGGAAAAGAAGGACAAGAAGTCGAAAAAGGAGAAGAAATCCAAGAAGGAGCAGAAGACCGAGGCCGAACCTACTGATACCCCCGCCGCGGAAGAGCCTGTCGAGGAAGAAGGCCAATACAAGAAGAACACCCGGTTCATCTGCTTCGTTGGTATGGGCTGATATACTTCCAATGGACGAGTGCGATGCTAATATCATCTCAGGCAACCTTCCCTACTCCGCAGACAAGGACTCCCTGACCAAGCACTTCGAAAAGATCGCCCCCGTCTCTGTCCGGGTGGCCACGCAAATAGACAAGCCCACCAAGTGCCGTGGGTTCGGGTTCATCGAGTTCGACAACTACGATCGCATGAAGACCTGTCTCAAGCTGTACCACCACTCCATGTTCGACGATAAGAAGTACCCCCCTCGGAGGATTAACGTGGAGTTGACGTAAGTATTCACATCGGTATTCACACAAGTAGCACCGACTGACCTCCTATAGCGCTGGCGGCGGTGGTAAGTCCGAGCACCGGACAGCCAAGATCGAAGCGAAGAACAAGAAGCTCTTCGAGGAGAGACAGCGCAATGCCAAGGAGATCCAGAGGGAGAAGGCGAAACACGAACAGGGCGAGGAGGCTGGCCAGGATGACTTCGCCGGAGTGCACCCCAGTCGTCGGAATCGGATGGCCTAAGGGGGCCATTTTTTGGTTATAAAAGTACAGATGCTTTTTTGCTTCAGAGATACCTTTGATGTGTATACTTGGATGAGTCAGGCAGGAATATAGATCCGGGATGATGCAGCGAGAGCGTGTCTTAAGAGTTCAGAGTTCCCTGTAGCCCACCCGCAACCCGTAAGTGACGTTCATTGAGTGGTATTGTATGGCATGTTACATCTTTATACTGCATTAAAGGGAGGGAGGAAATGAGAGAGGAAGGTTATCCTGAACCCGAAGAAAATAAAGAACAACATCAGGATCATGGCACCAAAACAAGGAACGGGGACACAAGGCAAAATCATCAAGATGGGGCGATACAGCCCCGAAACCCAGACGCCGTATTAGTGGTTTATATTATGAGTCGGATATGCCCGAGGGTCGATCTACAGAATCACGCATTTTTTGCTCTTCGGTTTGGCCGCAGGCCGGGGGTTGAGCACGGCACTAGCAGGAGTCAGCCTTCCATTCCAGCAGCAACGGGTGTATGGCATACCGAATTGCCTCGTCGAACACGCTCTTGAGATTGCGCTGCGTCAGAGCCGAGCATTCGAGGTACTTGTGTGCCCGGATTTCCTTGGCCACGGTCAGAGCCTGTTCGTAGGAGACGGGTTCCATCTTTCTCTGTCGGAGCGCATCTATGGTGCCACGGTCGTCTCGCAGATCGAGCTTAGTGCCGACCAGGATGATGGGGACGTTGGGGGCATGGTGTTCAATTTCCGGGAACCACTGCATCACGGTCAGTAAGCGGTCCTGGATTATTCCATGTAGCTGCCACAGAGGCCGTCGGGAGGAAGCACCTTGGCTTTGACGTTGTCGAATGAGGGCGGGCTGACGATGGAGAAGCAGATCAGGAAGACGTCGGTTTGCGGGTAGGACAACGGGCGAAGACGATCGTAATCTTCCTGTCCAGCAGTATCCCAGAGTCCCAAGCTAATCGGTCGGCCATCTACCATCACACTAGCGGTGTAGTTGTCGAATCTGAGGAGCGGGTCAACAACGGTTCGCACCAAACGAGGAGCAGGGACGGGGGCACGGACACGGTAGGAATGTATTCCCCGGGGAAAGCGTTGGTCGTGTACGAAATTAGGAGACATGTCTACCGTCGGGTTAGCAACCCATCACCAAGTTGACCGATCAGGGGAATATCCCCAGGGAGCGACCTACTTTTCCAACCGCACCATCACCCGTCACCACACACTGTGCACAAGCGCCCGTTAGCCGCAGTCCGACGGACGGATAAGCAGGTGGGTGCTGACCTTGAGAGATTGAGTCGCAGGTCCGGTGGCCATGGTCACGCAGAGTCGGGGGGGGGGGGGGGAGGAGCCTTCGATATGGATACAATTGGAGCAACGACGGCCAGCAGAGGAGGAGGGTAAAATCGATCGAGCGGAGCTAGAGCGACGGGGGGTAGTGAATAGTGGTGGGTGGCTTCGACGGGCGGAGTGACAGCGAGTAGAGAGCGGGTATCTGCAAAGGGCACCCAGGCTAATGGCTGAACCGGTCAGGAGAATTCGCAACCCAGGCGGCGATTGGCACGGAAGAATATGGACACGAAAATAATGTCGAACAGTCACGGACAAGGAAAGCAAAGGAGTAAAGCACTAAAGCAATCGATAGGGGAGACAATGGAAAGTGGACGGAGGGAAGAGGTGAGAGCAGATGGGCGAGTTGAGGAGGGGGGGAGAGGGAAAGAAGAGGTTATGGATCAATCAATCGATGACTGAATGGGTCCAGGCAAGCTTGACTGGATGGGGACTTTGGGAAGCCTGAGAGGGAAGGAAGTTCGAGGGTCGTTCAAGGGAAGCAGAAGCAGAAGCAGGAGCCGAAGCAGTAGCAGCAGAGACGCAGACGCAGACGCAGAAGAGGGGGACCCGAACGGTGACGGGAAGCTAGCAAAGCAGCAGCAGCAGCAGCAGCAGCAAATGGATGGGGGCACTGGATAGCTCACCTGGCAAAGCAAGATAGATAGACGATCAGCTAGGGAGATAGCCACTGGACAGGTATCACGGACAATTACCAATCAGTAGGGAAAAAAGGCCAGAAGGAAGACCGACCCGCGAGAAAGTGAGTGAGTGAGTGAGTGGACTCTTAGTCTCTAGTTAGTTGGTTAGTTGGTTAGTCGTCGACTGATCCTGTTAGTGAGTGATTAGGATTATTAGGATTAGCCCGGCCGCCGTTGTCCACTCAATAATAATCAATCTTCGAGTTGTACTTTTACTTTACTCATGGCTGGTCGACCTGCCACCAATTATCTATTCTGACGGTTTCTAATTACAGTATCTTCCAGCATCATCACCCCCACTCATCTACAGTAAGTAGATAGTAGTAGTAGTAGTAGTAGTCTTCACATCCAGCTTTAACCGACTACACCAATTACTTCTTCCCCCCTCCCCCCCTCCCCCAGCCAGTCCCTACTACCTACCTACTACTAGTAGCTAGTATCCTACCCGGGGGGTTGGATCGACCACTGGAGCCGAGGGACGGCGCTTGGATGCACTGGTTCAGGGGGGGAGAGGAGGGGGGAGGGGAGGGGAGAAAGGAATTGATCATTCAGAGAACATCAAACATGGGAAGAATCTGGAATTCTCTCCCCCGGATTGCCGTGATGGTCGATCCAATCCAAACCATGGAGGGGATGACTCTTATTCGATCTGATCCGGATACTACTGTCGCATGCCACTCCCTCCCTCCCATCCATCCATCCAAACATCCAGCCATAATCCAGCCCACCCACGGACCCATCCATCCATCTACCCATCCAACCTTCCAACCTTCCAGCCATGAATCATGAACCTCTCTCGCCTTCCAAGGCCCATGCAGTAGTGTCTGACCGCCACCAAACCCAAACCCCTAATATTAGATCCAGCCTACATCCTTAGCCTGACCGATGCCTGCACCAGGGCACCTACCTACTGTACCTCGTACATGATACAGATGGCCCGGTGCCCTTCCGATCGAATGGCAGCCTTGCCAGGGTTGCTCATCCGGGCTGGCCCTTCTGCAAGCCCATATCCGATCCATGGCGCGTGGTATGATAGTGGCATTTTTGGTGGTACTTTTGAAGGGACCATCTACTATCTACTTATTCTGTGCCAGGATCGGTCGCTACCTATCCAGTATCCGTCTCCACTACTTGTACTTGTACTTGTATCTGCTGTAGGTAACTACTACTAGATAGGTAGGAGATAGATATGTCCATATGTACGCATCTGCATAAGATGTTAGGACTTTGGAGACAGGTTACTACTGGTGGATCGGACCGGATCGGATCCATCCCGCGACAAGGTTGCTTAACTCCGTTTCTCATCCGTCTGCCATCGACGTTTCTTTGTCCTACCTAGCTACCTATCACGAGATTTCAGTCGGAGTTGAATCACCCTGTTAATTCCCCGATCATAACTCTATACTAATCACGATATCTCATTCCACACTCCTATATCCCTCAACAACCACATTTACATAACCAAGAAAACAATAAAACGAAGAAGAAAAAGAATTGGATCTCACGTCCTCACCACAGAAGTCGACCCCTCCAACACGCCTCCCCCAACCACCAGTTCAAACGGCTTGGCCATCAACCCCTTGCCCTTTTCCACAAACTCCTTGAAATACGCGCTTTGGCCGTGTTTCTCGAATGCAGCTTGGTCTCGGTATCTGATCCCATTCATTCATTCATTCGTTCGCTTTTAGTATATGTATTCTCCTTTTACATAGACCTTGACAAAAAGGTCGTGATATGGGTAGATGGGTAACCTCACCTCTCAATCACACTAATCACTGTCTTTTCCTTATTGGTAAAAGAGTAATATACCAACGTGTCGGGCTCATTGGCTTGGACTTGTTGGGTCAGGTTGGCGAGGAGGGCGGAGAGCTTTGCTTGGTTATTAGTACTATGTAATTAAGTAGTTCGAGGGTAAGAGAGGGAGATGGGGTACCTCTTCGACCTTGTCGGGCTGGGGGTAGACCAGAGCGACAATGTTGACTTCGGAGGAGGCCATGGTGGTACTGTGGTAGTAGTGTTGATGAGAAGAATGACTGTGGATGTGGTTGGGAAATTAGGAAATGGTGGGAGATCTATATGAGTGCCTCAACTGATCTGATCTAAGTACTTGGGAGTCATGGACAACCCGAAATATCTCCGGGTTTCTAAACAGGTGGGGATTGATTGGTAAGGACCCTGACGGACTCGCAAGTGGGCATACTGACTAATATCAGGTTGACCCTTAGTGTGTCTGGCTACTCTGGATTCACAGAATCGTCAACGCTGCTGAATTCCACGCAATGGTATCTAGTCGGAACGTCATGGGCATGAAAATATGTACAGAACAGAGTACAAGGCATCCACAGGAATCCACCCCGTTTGGTGTACACTTCCAACAATCGCATGAACCAAAACACCCCCGACGCCAAGATGCAATGCGTAGCTGACCCTACATGACCGGAGGCGCCACAAACGTGTCGGGAATCCCGTCAAACACCCAGTTGAGCGAATCGAACACCTCCGAGAACCCGGCCTCGCTGATGAACGCCCCTTGGTCGAAGTTCGGCGGGTAGATCAACCCGGGATCGGCCAGCGACTCTTCTGGGTGTCGGGCCATGGGGCCGGCCGTCGCCGAGAGACCGGGATTCGCAATGGTGGCTACAGCTTGTTAGTGACTGCTATCCTCGGCATCGCTAAAGACTTACCTTGCGGATCCTCAATACTCTTCATCGGACGGAAGCGTTGGCGCCAACGCCAAACGGTATCGTAGACATGACTCATGCTCATCCGGCAGCGCACTTTCAGCTGCAGAGCATCCTCGCCTGCCGGTCCCTCCGGGCTGCCGGCATTCCACATCTGCGCCAGAATGTCTGCCAGACGCACGGGACGGTCGTGGTCCATGACACTGATTCTGCGGATGGCCGAGATCGCTCCGTTGAACAGCAGCTTCCCATGCTCGAAGTCAATGTGTCGTCGGAAGTCACTCTTCAGCAGCTTCATGAGGGCAAAGGCAGCTGAAACGATCATCTGAAGGATGTAATTGGTTGCGTGGCCAATGAGTTCACCGGGCGACGTTTCGAGATCGAGCACGCGGCCTAGGAATGAGGTGGTGGCAATGAAAAGCTTCGTCAAGTCGTCGCTTCGTGCACTGGAGCCAAGGAAAACAAAGTATCGTAGATGCAGTTCAGCGGCTCGTAGATGGATCATGTTGATATCTGCAGAGCGAGTTAGTTTTTCCCATAGAAAAGTATCGGGGCACAAACTGGAAATATCTCGTCCGAATTCCACCTCCATGTCTCGAAGCTCGTTTTCCAGAAGCTGCACGATTAGCAACTTCTCCGAGCTGATGAACTCCGCCGGGTCAGGCTTGCTGCTATACAGGGCTTTGGTCACGCGGTCGCAGAACTTTTCGATCCGCAGCCGAGTCTTCAGGTCTTCGGAAGGCTGATAGTCCGCGTCTCGAAGCGATGCTGGCTCGAGCGCCCAATCGTAGATGGTGACGGGAGGCTGTCCGTAGCCGGTGGCGACGCTATCTCGATGAGCCTTTCGTCAGCAACAAGGCAAAGGGAACTTACTTTTGAGCCACAATGTTACATATGACCCACGTCTGTAAGCGGTCCTTGACAGCTTCCCCCTGGACTTCCATGCGGAAAGTGGTGAACTCCTCTGCCTGGACGGGACGATGTAATCCTAGCTGCATGGATATCTGCATCATTAATCCACTGAGCATGAAGGTGGCATCAGTCCGCTGGCTCGTCGTGGGCAAGGGCCAGGTGCAGAGAAGACAAAGAGCCTTGACCACACGGTAGTCTTGTGGTACACCAGTGATGGTGGACCAAAGCAGTCGGCTGAAAGGCCCCGAGAGCGCACTCAGGAGGCCTGACTCCGACGGCGCTCGTCGGCTAGCGACGCAGATGATACTCCACGCCTGCAAAGGACAGCGACGCAGATACTCATCCGGGTGCTTTTGCGGGTTCAACAGAGGGAGGAATGGATGGTAGTACTTGAAGAACCTTACCAACCATTAGTTACAGTAGAATACAAAGTGGGGCAGGTATAGTACTGTTCAAATAGACGCGCCACCCTCGTCCTAGACAGCGAGACATCTTCCAGCCTCCATGGATTATCCTCCTGGGAAAGAATAGATCCATCCCTGTGCATGGTCAACGGGGTAGCCATCGGCTGAGGCTCCAACGGCGCCGACAGCGGCCGCGCCCTGTTTACAACTGCCGCATCAGGAGGACAGAAGACATCCTCGGAACACTGGGAGAGCTCATCACTGCCATTGGCTTCCACAGCCTGCGGGGGATCGCCATTGGCAAGCCGCCGGCGGAGCTCTGCGATCTCCCGTTCCATTTCAGCATTGCGCCTGCATACATCAAAGGTCAGGAACAATGGGATCAACGGGAAGGAGGCAGGTCATAAACTACCTTCGTTTGGAGATCCGTTTGAAAGTGGGTTCGACCTTGCATTCTATTTGGAGCCGCCGGCAGCGCGAGCAAGCATCCGCGGGAGTCTGCACAATGTCGCACCGGAGCTGTTGAATTGAAACAGACCATATTCAGCCAGCGGTATAGATGAATGGGGCGAGCGAAGGAAGGAAGCTAAGCATAGATAGTGATATGCATAGATCCTCTCCGAAACAAAGGACGCCTAGGCCGGGAATAGGACTAGCTTACCTTTTGCTGTTTACACTCGTTACAGGCCTTTCTACAGCCACCCCGCCGCTTGCCTGTGATGGCGGGGATCTTCTCCATATCGCCCGACTCTAAGTTTTTGGGCGCGAAGTCGAAGGCTGTCACCGGCCGAGGCAGCCTCGGGGTGCTCCGAAGGTCGCTGGAGGAGGCCGGGGGTGTTATCAGATTGGCGTGAGTCGCCAACCCAGTCGGTGCCAGGACACCCCGGAACTCCAGATCCATCAGTATAAATCAAGAAACATCCGACGGCCTTGGAACCGCGGGACCCGATAACACATGCAAAATGGAGAGTGCAGCAGAGAGGAACCAGCGTGCAGGTGCCGGAAATCGGCAGAAAACTTTGGTGGATTTTGGTGGGCGGCGGAGCGCGACGGAGCGAGGGCGAACGAGAGCAAGTTACTGGCTCGCGAAACTCGGCGGTTGGGGGCTGACTCAGCCGGTCTATAAATTGGTCCTGTCCACACTCCACAGTAGTAATGTCAGCGATCAGTTCAGTTCACGGGGTACCTAGGGAGTACGGAGTAGATAGCAAGTGATAGGTAGATTGATAAATGTATCGATGGTCAAAGCTTTCTAGATCGACTCAGGACATGCCGGATCAGACACTCCCGGAAGAATGTCTCTGGCATGTAGCGTGGTTCTGTAGGAGACATGATTCATGCTTTGGACAATCCAATCGAATGACGTAGGTGATGTGGATTCATATAAGTTATGGGATTTCTGATTAAAATCTATCAACGAGTCATTATGGTGAAATGCACAGAATTATACTATTAGGATGGCAGTGGTGCCTGGCAGTTGGTAGTACTCCGTACGGACTACTAGATTCGGAGTAGTGGACGGATCGCCTCAGCCACACACGCTAAGCCTCCCCCACGGCGGCTTGCCCAGAATAGCAGCAACTGTGACACCCTCCAAAGTGTCCAACGGGGCTGACGCCGTCCTCCAAGCTAAGTTCGTAGGCTTCCGCAATCCACTCCTAAATCTAAGACTACTATATACCCACTCCCCCCAAACTGCCGTTTCAGGCCATCCGTGCTTCCTCTCCCTGTCTGCTTATTAGTCGCCCATACACCTTTCCCACGCCCCCCATGGCAGACGCCGCTTTACACGATAGCCCTGTGCCGGATCCCGATGCGCGCCCCTCCAGTGACGGCTCTGCCGGCCACCCCGGAGCTCTGGAGCTCCGTCCCGGGCCTCCCCCTATGACGGAGGAATTGAAGGCGCGTCTGGACAAGGTCATCTATTCAGATGTGCGTGGTGCCTCTACTCTTTCCCCATACGCTAGGCTACAACGTACTGACTAGATGGTCCGTCATATAGATCGGAGTCACCACCCTCCTGACCCGCTTAAAGCAAAGTGTCTCTTCTGCTAAGGTACGTCCAGGTTTCACCTTTGCGAACCCCACTGCTGTCATGTATCAAGAAGCACACAGATGCTAACCGGCAGGATGGTGACAGGATTTCTCCACGTTCCTGAAGAAACGGTCATCACTGGAGGAAGAGCACGCGCAAGGCTTGAGGAAGCTGTCTCGCTCCCTTCACGACTCTGCCTATCGCAACGAGAACAGACAAGGCACCTACGGCCAGAATTACAATGAACTCAATCGCTTCCACGACCGCATGGCGGACCATGGCCTCCAGTTCTCCGTGTCTCTGCAGCAGATGGCCGATGATCTCCAGGAACTCGCATCAAACATTGAACGAGGCCGTAAGCAATGGAAGCAGACCGGATTGAGTGCGGAGAAGAGGGTGCTAGAGGCGGAGACATCTGCAGAGAAGGCAAAGGCTAAATATGAATCGCTTGCAGAGCAATACGACCGGGTCAAGACCGGCGACAAGCAGGGTGGAAAGTTTGGCTTGAAGGGTCATAAGTCCGCCGCGCAGCATGAAGAAGAGCTGTTGCGCAAGGTCCAAAACGCCGATGCAGACTATGCGGCTAAGGTTCAGGCTGCGCAGTCGGCGCGACAGGAATTAATTGCGACCCATCGGCCCCAAGCTGTGCAAAACATCCAAAAGCTAATCTCGGAGTGTGATTCGGGCCTGACATTGCAGCTGCAGAAGTTCGGTGCGCCTTAACCCTGCTCTGTGAGGCATGATCCTCTGCTGACTAGAGTATAGCAACTTTCAACGAGAAGCTTCTACTTGGACAGGGATTGTCCATTAGCCCATTGAAGGATGCCACGGCCAATCCCAATCTTGCCCCGAAGAGCTTATATGAAGTTGTTTCTCAGGTCGACAACGAGAAGGACTTCCGCGAGTATGTTCTTAGTCATGAGAGGAACCCTGGTGCAGTGACTTCAGACCAGATCAGATACCAACGTCATCCGGTAAGTATGCCTGGTATCGATCCTGGTGCTTATAGCTGAGATTAAAACCAGACGCTTGGGGGCTCCGGACCCGTTGTGCCTGCCTCTCAACCCGCCACGCAGAACAAACGGCAGTCCATCTTTCTTCCTCAATCCTTCTCTCAACAAAATCTCCCTGCGTCTACTCCGGTCTCATCTCAGCCCCCAGCTCCAGCACCAGCACCAGTATCGGCTACGGCCCCAGCGCCGGCTCTTGCACCTGCACCGACCACAGAGCCATTGCCATATCCACAAAATCCCGACTCGTACTCGACCCCTCATTTCCAGCCGCCTTACCCGACATCATCGGCCCCTTCGGAGCATCGTCATATAAACCAAGCACCTGTGCCACCGGCAAAGACCCCGTTAGTACCAGCAGGGAACGGCTTCCAGTCTAGCCCCAACTTGCCTCCGCTGAAGCCGGTGTTTGGCGTTTCTTTGGATGACCTATATACGCGAGATGGGACGGCTGTTCCGATGATTGTTTACCAGTGCTTCCAGGCCATTGAACTTTTTGGGTTGGACATGGAGGGTATCTACCGACTTTCCGGTAGTGCGACTCATATCAGTCATATGAAGGCGCTGTTTGACAATGGTGCGTTTGCTATTGCTGCCCTTGCTCCGACTAGCCCTAACAATGAATGGCAGACTCATCACAGGTCGATTTTACCAACCCCGAAAACTTTTACCATGACGTGAACAGCGTTGCTGGGCTTCTGAAGCAATTCTTCAGAGACTTGCCTGATCCTCTGTTCACATCGCACACATACACGGAATTCATCAGTGCAGCTCGTAAGCTTTCTCGATCAAGAGCTTCTGGTCAGATACTAATGAGATACTAATGTCATCCACAGGCCTTGATGACGACATTCAGCGCCGCGACTCACTACATGCGCTGGTCAACAACCTTCCCGACGCACATTACGCTACATTGAGGGCGTTGATTCTGGTATGTCATCAAGCCGACCAATTCGGTCTAAGACCGCATAAGCTAATATACCGTAGCATCTCAACAAGATCCAAGAGCATTACACGCAGAATCGCATGAATGCAGGAAACATTGCGATCTGTTTCGGGTACGTCATGTTCCTCTTACTCTTAGTAACTGAACACTAACAGTACTAGGCCTACCCTCATGGGTGCCAATTCTGGCGGCAACATAGCAGATGCTGGTTGGCAGGTGCGAGTCATCGAGACGATCCTCGTCAACACGTTCCAGATTTTCGACGACGATTGAACCCATCGATCTTAATCCCACATTCGAAATTGTTGGACACGATCAACACACTTGCTTCCTCTTCACGCGAATACCACGTTTCCATCTTACTACGATCTACCCGATTCTTTCTTGTTTCTCTATTTACCCCGTGCTCCAAGTGTACATAGTGCTTCTTGTAATGGGCGGAGAGCCGTGCGTACTGCACAACAATCTTCCCATTGTTTTGATACCAGGATATGCCAAGTGCCAGCTAGATTGTTACCGGATTTCCTATAAAACACGCTGCTAAGTAGATAATTACAAAGTTCAAATTGGTGGGATAATAGCCAATCAGATATAATACAGAGTGCAGCGGATTGGTGGCCATGAGTCCGAACTGTATTTCCGGGAAAGACAAACACAAGGACATGAACCGACTGCATGGTATAGGGTAGTTCTCAATAACACATGATAGAATCGAATTGGATGCGAATATTCGCAGCCCAAAACCAGATGCAAGAGAGTGGGGAAGAGGGGGGTGTAGGTGGCAGAGAACAAGCTAATAGACAGACACTTTTTGTGCTTCGTCGCTGCGTATCAATACAATTTCGATGGTGAGTTCAGGGCCCTCGCTTGCTTCGCTGTTCAAGGGGGAAATGATGGGCCCTGAGGGCTCGAGTAACCGGGGCTTAGTGACTGGTATCGTTCACGAGGAGAGGTCTATGTTTGACCTGGCGAGAATCCGACGAAGCTTATCTCTTGGCCCCCATCGACTCCTTCATGGCTTCCATACGGTCTGCCATTGACAGTCCACGGGCAAAGAAAGGACTCTCGAGATCTTCCACGGTAGTGGGGGTAGCGTGACCCCAGACGCGCCATTCGCCTTCCTCGCCGACCCAGCGGAGTTTCTGGATCACAAGGTATTCGGTGCAGTCCTGCTGCTTGGCATTGTTGGCCACCTCCGTGCTGTCTCCGGGAGACACCTTGCCCTTTGACTGGCGACTGGTGATGCGCAGAACGACCTGGCGGACTCCAGAGTCGGGAAGTTCGGGAATCTGGGTCGCGCGATCCGCGAGAACGCGGACACCGGTGAAGAAGGTGGCCGGGGATTTGATGTATTTCTCCAGGTTCCATGTGACTTTCTCACCCCTGGGGCGGGAAGAGATGCGGCCGCTGAGCTGGTTGGCAAGGCCGGAGCAACACACTTTGCGCAGAGTAGCAGAGTCGCCGCTGTTATTTGACGGGGGTTGTTAGCACATAGTATAAACAAGGAAGATATGGGGGGAGGTAGCCGTGAGAGACCTACGCGGCGAATGCGGAATACATGGTTTTATGAAGATCGAGAGCAACCTGTCGACGCTCTTTCAGCCTAAGAGGGAGTCCCTTGTTGATCCATTTGGAGTAGGCGAGGAGTCTGTTGTGGTGTTAGGGCCATTGTGAGAGAGTCCAACAAGGTGGAAACTCACGCGACAAAGTTCTGGAAGGCCGACTTGACCCACAGCCATTCCATATGTAAACGCTCCGAGGGCTGGTGGAAGATGGAGGGCATGTCTCGCCAAAGCGGCCGAATGAAGGTTCCGGGCAAGAGGCCGATATCCTGAGGCAGATCCGCCCTGGCCATGTCCCTACCCCGAGTTCGCATACTCGGCTGAGCGGGCTGTGGGATGGAGATGTTCTCCGGGAGTCCGCGCATGCCATTGCGCTGCGAGGATTGCGAGAAAGGTCGGCGTTGGCATGGTGCAGCAGCCGCCGGTCCGGAGAGAGTCTTGGAGTAGAGGGTCGCGAAGGGGGTGTTGTTGGAGCGGATGGCCGAGAAGACGGGACCCTTGGACAGTGAGGACGCCATGATGCCTCGACGGATGGGCAGAGCAGGTCGCAGAGGCCGTGGGAACAGGAAAAGCACGCAGGGTCGGAGAGAAGCCAGAAAACGAAGCCAAAGAAATTCCGCCGAACGGGCCCGGTCACGTGCGGGCAGTTCTCCGCCGCGCCTCTCGCTTTTGGCTGATTTGGCTTCATGGCTTTCATGCACCTCCCCGCTTCTTGCGCCTCCCTCTGCGCCAATTCGCACCGTGTCTCTCGAACGGTAGCTGCTGCTGTGTGCGACTTGTCTGGCACTTGCCTTCCGTCGTGTTTTCGTCCCTCCCGACCGTTGCGGATCAGCCTCCGAGTTGAAGTGTTCGCCAAATCGCCGAGCACCAGAGAATCTATCTATACCTTTTAGGGGGGTCATTCCAGAGCCAGTCTAGCTCGGGGCCTCTTACCACCACTATTGTTCCCTTCGTCTGTCTATCGCCATTCGAGAGACTCTGCGTGACGGCCGCATATGCCGGGAATTAAGGCTGGCTCCTCCTTATCGTGATGCTGCTTCTCCATCCTTCTCTCTTCACGCCCGGCCGTCCACTCCTGATTCTGACCTGATTGCTGCCCTGTCGGATTCGCTTCCCACGACCCCTCCCCCGCCATTCTATTCCACTCTAGCCTCCATTCTCTCAAAGGTGGATTCCCCCGATAAAGCCGTGGCCCCCTCTTCCGCCGCCTCGACCGTCGTCCCGCCCTCCCCGGCCTCCTCCACGTCCCGCACTCCTAGCAGCAACGATGCTGGTCACTCGCTTCCGTCTGGCCTTCATCCCCGGGTCGCTGTGATTCTAGGAGTCGATCGGAAATGGTATCTACCGTTGCTGATCTGCCGCGCGCTGAGCACCGTGCCGGCCGCGTGGTGGGGGCTACGATGTGCCTTCACCTTCTTGGCCGAACTGCTACACATTCGGCCGGGATTAGGACATGAGGGGTGGGCGGCGGCGATTGTCGGCAGCGTTGGTCAAGACTGGGATGTTGAGAGAAGATTTCGGGTTACAGAGGTGGCGTTGGCTATTATGTGGGTATGTGGAATGCTTCATCTTCCTCTGCACGGCGTTGTGTGAGCTGGTCTGACCGTCATTTTAGTGCTGTGCATCCGCATATCTTTCCTACTTTTTTGCTGATTGTATGATGTCTCGATGGTATGGTTTCCTCGACCCCTGAAATCGTCTGGCTGTTCCTGACAATCAAACTTTCCCCTTCCAGGCTTTTGAACTATACCCCACCAGCTGTTGTTATTCGTCTCCTTACTACAAATGGTTTGATTGCTTATATCACTTCTTGGGTACTCTATCTCTCCGGGGCTTCCTCCGACCCACGCCTTCTCTTACCAGCCTGGATATCCATTACAACGGTAAGTCCCACGGACTATATATACTCCATCCTCCACCCTTTCGGTGATGCTGGACAACCTTAACTGACACCCCCTTTTCCAAACCAGACCCTTACCTTTCTTTACCATGCCACCCAAAACCATGCTACTATCAAGCGCGAAACGGCAGCTGCGCTTCTCATCGTGTCGGTGGCTAGTTTCGTGAGCATGTCCTCACTTCTTCTGCAGTTACATTTGACCCGAGAGAACGAACCAGAAGTGCCTGTGTTCGTCATCACGCGCAAGCTTTGGGATTGGGCCGTTGCGATCTTCCTTCGCATGCGGGTGTCGGACGATCGGGTTCCGGTTGGGGAATTGTAGGCTGGGCCTGGGTTGATCGACTTACCGATCACGGCGCTAGTTGTGTTGCCATAGACTATTCCTATTGGTGTCGTTGGGTACTCGTCCCCTTGATTAGATACATACATACCTTAGCTACGAAAAAGGATACATCAATTGAACTTTTTAATAGAAACGGGCAAAGCGATTCGCAGAAAGGCTACTGGAATAATGGCATGTTTATCAATAGTGGATTCACCAAAACCATTCCATGCGGAATGAGAGTTCATTCTCGAGCAAAGACACGGAAATGACTGCGGACAGCATGCAGCACACCGACGATCGGAACACTGATGGGAACGAAAGATCGAGACCATTGATCCCGTCGCAAACCAGGTCGAACCGTCCTTCTCGTACTGAGGCCCACGCCAAGCCAAGCAAAGACACGACACAGAAGAAGTAGAAACAGAAGAAGTAAATCATCTATGAAGATATTGGGTATCTACCAACGCCTCGTTCCGTCATTATCCCCTTCCAAATGTAGCAGTCGAGTCAGAAAGTCAGACCCACTGTGTCCCTTCCAACGCGCACTCGCGGATAAAAGGGACCAACTTGATAGTGCAGCAATTCGACACAGGCCCAAGTCCATTATTCCGGGCACAGAGCGGTAATAATAGCAGACAGAATGTTAGACCGAACAACCCCCGTTGCAATTGCGGGGGCCGCAGTGCAAGATCAGACGGAGGATAAGTGGACACATTATGTCCCCCACCCCACCACTCTGAGGGAAATGTGGACTGGGAAGAAGGGGCCGGAACGGGGGCGTGGCGTCTGGCTTAGAAACCGTGGACCTTGATGGTCTTGGCGTCCAGCTCGAGACCCTCCTTCTTGTCGGTCAAGAACTCCTGAACATCTTTACGCTGGTCTCCCTGCAACTGAATCACCTCGCCCATCTCAGCGTCGCTGACAATGGTGCCATTGCAGGCTGGAAGAACAATTAGCTTCGTGATGGTGGGCGCGTGTCAAGGGACGGCGACAACATACCGAACTTCTTCTTGATCACCTTCAAAATCTTCTTCTGATCGAACTTCTTAGGAAGACCCTGGACGGTGGTCAAGGTCTTTCGACCATTGCGCTCTATAGGAAGGGTTAGTCTCAAGTGCACGGGACAGCGTGGCGCCACATCGCCGATGAGGGCAGTGGGCCAACACGTTGAGACGGCAGTGGAACGTACGTTGAATCCGTATATGGATGTAATTTTGAGACTGTTTAGTCTCGCCGGTGTCTTCGTCAGCTTCGGCGAAGGGGTCTGTGGAAGAGCACGTGTCAGCCTCAGGCTCATGACCAGATATTACCCCGCCACGCTGTGACGCAGGTCGACAAAAGGGACACGCCGGCGACACAGCCAAGCCAAACCAGGGTGTATGATCCTACCAGCGATGGTCTTGCTTGCAAGACCATCGCGAGAAGGACCAACACCGTCTGAAGGCCAGGCAGCGGGCCTGGGGATAGAGTCCACAGAAGGGGGGTGGCGAAGCGACTCACCGAAGGTCTTAAGGTTTTCGATGGACATAAACTCGGCCTTTCGTCGTAAACGGCCCTTAAAAGCGGTATATAGGAAGTGAGCGAGGAGAGAGAATTAGATCTCTGGGGAAAGTCGAGGCGATCGCGGAGTCTGAAAGACTGAAGCTGGAGTTTAAAGTGGATGCGAGGTGGTTGACGGGAAGGAAGCAGGAAGAAGAACAGAAGAGCCTTTTGAGGGGCGCGGCGTTGCCTTAGCGCCCTTGTGGGGGAAGGCGGTGTGCCCGTGACTAAGCCCTGCTGCCCCCTTCAATTCGGGCGCATCTGCTACGTTCCATCAGTGTAACTGGGTCCGGATTCCAGGTCGGATTGCCGCTTTGCACTGGGGGAGGGGCTGAAGAGGCGTTATGGTTATGGCGGTCATTATTGGTTTCTTCGGTCGGGGGTGATCGATGGTGGCGATTCAGGGCGCTCCCTCATTCTCCCTTCCTAAACCCCCTCCCCTCCCCTCCCCGGGCTCCCCCCTCATCCATACGTAGTTTCTACGCAACTGATCGGTGTATTGACCCGACAATATTGCAGTGAATGCTCTATTGACATTGTTATTGAGCAGCGTATAGCCACTTCTCAGGACGTTACACACAATGCTGGCAATTAGGGGAGTCTGGCAATAGACTAGTCGTCTACGACATCCCATTAAAGTTCGCCACAGTCCATCCGCTGGCAACCGCAATATTGGGACTCTAGAGATAATGGTGATATTATGGTAGCTGAGGTATTAGAGTATTCATGCAACATCACAGTCTCACCCTGTACACAAAAGCAATGATCAATGGCCGAAGAGCTTCGACAAGACTCGAGGTATCGAGGCCTCCCTCTTCGAGCCACTATCAAGCCAGCCTTTCCAACCTTTTTCTTCGTGAACTTGACAACTCCGTGGTATAACAGTACATCGAAACGAGTGGGCAATGGTATCACAGCAACAGCTCTCGCTAAGGGGAGGAAGTAGGGACAGCGGTGGTGCCAGGGGCAGCGCGCGCAGCCTGGGGAGGCAAGAAGATCGGGAAGTAGGTCTGTATGATGTACATTAGAAAGACTTCCGGGGCTACTTCGCCTCATCTCCTTTCTCGGGATCGTCAGGGGACATACAACAACCAGAGCCATCACTGAAAACGCATTCGGGGTTAGTTCTCATTCCTGGTAATGGGGCGAGATTGGGATACGCACAGGACATCAAGACGGACATGTAGCCTGGTGTCGAAGCCGCTCTCTTCTGGTCTGGGGTCTCACCCAGCCAGGACTGAAGGGAGAAAACAAAGGAGACCCTGAACACCATTTAGCAGCTTGCCAAAACAATCAGACACTGGTGGCCTACCATCCGATCATTCTGCACGGGCGAGATGTGTCAGATCACATAGATATGCGTAGTCAATCCAAACGAGTATGTTCGTGCTCACCTGTTCCTAGTGAACATCTACCGAAAGTGTCAACGTGTCTGAAGCATTAACCAGCACAAGGACTCCAATTGCAAACCTACCGCAGCCATAGGCATGGTGCTAGACATGGCGCCTGCATCGGGCAATCAGAACCTGCTCCTCATCGCCCCATCTACATGGGGTGTTGCCATCGATCCGTTACGTACTAGACATGTCGGGCTCATCCTTGCCCTTGGGCGGGTCGATGTAGGGAATGGCTAGAATTCGGCGTCGACGTCAGCGACGGCACGCGTCGACTTGGAGGGCAAAGGGGACCAGAAGATAAGCAACCTACCGAGGTCCAACCTCCGCATATCCTTCTTGGAAGCCATCTTGTCGCTTGATAGTCCGGGGGCTACTGCACAGGCCGTGAAAGAGGTGCCTGCCTCGCGGAGGAGAGACAGGCGAACAGGCCAACCAGCCGATGATTGCCGCCAAGACCAAAGCGGAAAGGCTGCCCGGATCCGAGGTTTATCTCCCCGACTGATAAGTCACTCGGCCATTATTCTTCTTCGTCTTCTGCTTCGCCTTCCTCACAGCAATTTCAATAATGGCCACCCTTTATCAACAGGGCTTTCTACATATGGGACCGACTATTGGCCTGGAGATGATATGAGCAAACTGATTGCTTACCTCCGAGCCATGGCACCTCGGATAGATACCTACAAGGTGTTTTGACTAGACTTGGGGAACCAAACAGATCTTGTCGGAGATCATCTATCTTCGGGCTGGACCGTATCAGACATCCTCACCTATTATTAACTGACTTTATGCGATAGGGGTGATCAACCGCAATTCGGTCAGCGATCGGAATCAAGGTCAGCTCAGGAGGTGTCTCAAACACCCCCAGCTCTGACCGGGCGGCCGATGCAGGATATGCATGCACAGTGCTTTTGGAAGACACCCCAAATCATGGGCGTCTTCACGACCCATCGCCAGATCGATGTATAGATTTTCCAAATTCCAGATGCATATGGGGAAGGGTGGCCTCAGTAGCTTACCGACGGAGGACCCATCCCGTGGCTATCTGTCCAGAGCCGAGTAGCCCCTTTCGCAATTCCCGATTTTAATCCGGACCATGCTTGTGTATCTATCCGCTCAGCTCTTTGTCTCCATTCGTGGGCTGGAACGACCAAGGTCGCACTGCATCCTGCAGCTAGGATGGGTGTTGCTGGAAGCTGCTTCGTGTCCAGTACCAGCCGTGGTGCGCCGGTCTGTGCACTCGGAGTTTCCGGGATGATCCAGTGCGCCCAGCATCTGGATCCCTGTCCCCGTCCGGAGTACCAAACGGGTGATCTTTGCCAATAGCCTGGAGCCCAGGGCGTACGGAGTTCTAGTGCGGAAAGACGGGGGGTGTGACCGCCTCAAAAGGTAAAAATACTCTAGATATCTAGTACATAGATAGGCCTAGTTATCTACAGATTAAACCCATCGACGATCTACAACGCCGAGCCATTGAAGATGCGGAGAGAGTGGGATCAGACGGAACAGTCATACGGTACTCACAGTCTCCCACGCAGAGGGTCATGCCACTGTGGAGGGGTCCATCCCGCAGCCGGAGGTTGAAGACGGCTTTTGCTGGATGGCAGTGACTGGGATGGTCAATGATGGGCCACCAAGTGACCCAACCCAATGCCTCAAGAAATAAAATGACACATGTCTAACTGTCTAACATCGTCGGCAATGGATCTTCCCGACGGGGCTCGGGGCGCTTAGGCAGGAGAAGTCTGGAGGAATCCGAGAGGATGGAATCCCCTTGATCCAACGGCCCACAATTGATGGAGAGAGTGGGTTTAAAGCGGAAAAAGAAGATAGGGAAGGTCAAGTCCCCTCTAGGGTTGGTTTCAGAATCAGCACGCATACTGAATCCGGTAGTCAGAAAAATTGTTCACCGTATATTCGGACGGACAGACAGGGAAAATTCATATCCCCTCCAGGAAAGATTGCACACGTATCACCCTGTGTGTGCGACCGCGCCCGTGGTACATGACGAGATGATTTCCCCTGCTCACTAGCTGCCTAGTGCCTACATAGTACAGAGTGCATCGTAGATTAATCCCCGGGTCTAAGGATGCAAACAACAAGTTGGGATACCAAAGTACTGTCCGGCGAGCAGGGATCGCCCATAACGGGCCGATCTGCGGAGTTAACCTGGTCATGGTTCACTGTTCAGGATGGGTTAGGCACGGAGTCGCCTTGCGAGTTGCGACGGTCCCTATCGTCGTCCCAAGTGGTTCTGATTGGAGTCCGATCCTGACCACTGGTGGAAGAATGGGGCGAGATGCCGCGATATCATCAGGTAATCGCGTCGATTTGCATGTTCAAGAATCGCCCGGATGGAGGCGCGCCCCATCATCTGATGCCAAGCACACGACTTTCGGATTGGTTGGCTGATGGATTTACCGGATAGCGTGATCATTGGTAGTTCCCCCGACTCATTCTTCATCACCACTGATGGCGAACTGAAGGTCAAACTGTAAACGCCAATGCGTAGGGGTCATTTGCTGAATGCGGAGGGCGGAGGCTTGGGAGCGTTTGGGTCAAGACCAGATAAGGCAAGCCCATGTATAGTAGGTAGTAGTAGTAGTACGCTGCTGCACCTAGGTATGGATGTGATTGCGCCGAAGTTAGTTAGCTAGTTAGTTCTGTTTTGATTTTGATTTTGAGGGCGAGAGATAGATAGATATTCCGTACCTAGATAGATAGATACCTATGTACATATCTAGTAGTAGTACGTAGTGTAGGATATCACAACTCCGACGGTGGATAAGCTGGCTCCGATCATTACTATTGTGATGATCCACGGCCGTCCGGTAAGTAAGTAATACGACGGTACGAACCCACGGTCAGTCCGGCTCCGCCCACGCGGTCTGGCGCCGTCATCCGGATAATTTACCGTCCCAGCCGGTAATCTTTGCCCCCCTCGGGCTGCTGCGACTTCCTACTTGGGTAGGTCGGTCATACAGGTGCCAGTTGGTCCTCCTTACGTTATCTCCAGATTCTCGTTCGGCTTTTTCCCTTCTATCTCTCCTCTTTCTCTTTTTCTCTCTCTTCCTTTCGTCTCTCCTATACTCACTCCGACATCCGGTGGTCCCCTGGCCCCCTTCTCTTCGCGGATCGATTGACCTTCCCGCTTTGCCTCCCCCCGAAACTCACTCAGGTCCGCGACGGTTTCCCGGGGATAAACCTCCGTCTTCCCCCCCCCCCCCCAATAGCCGCTCCTCCGCCCACGTCTTCAATTCATTCCACAGCACCGCACCAGACTCGATTCGGGGGATCGAATGAGTATTATTTCGGTCCTCACCTCTTCCGACTTCCCACCGATACGTTCCACAGGCGTTCGACCGGGTTCCTGACTATATTGCCTAGCCGTCCAGACGGCGCGGTGCCGATGATCAAATCCCGACGCTTGAATACACCATGAAGCTGACATGATACCACATCCCTCCGCCGGCGTCCAGCCATGGGGCCGTTCCGTGCGCGCCCTCAATAACGGCTCAGGACGCGTTGATGCGTCTCAAACTTTGGGTCAACCCGAACCTCAGTTGGAGAAGTTGTCAATGCCCATGCCGCAATCGCTACCCCGACAGCCGGCAGTGGTCGACCTCACAACCAACCCCAGCGATTCCCAGGAACGCGAACCCCCCACTAAAAGGCTCAAAGTAGATGCGCCTTCAGGATCATGTCCGGTTGAGGGGAGTCCAGCGCCTGGGAGTGGAGGAGAAGCGAGAAGCACCCCAGGCACCCAAAGCTCAAAACCGAATCCGCTTTCCTGGCGTGGACGGCCTGTATGGTCATTTCAGGCCTTGGTTTCAGAAACCACTGGAGCTGCGGAGGCGAAAGACGGTGATGCTACTTCGCAAGGCAAGAATCCTGCATCACCGCCTCCTTTACCTCTTGTCCCTTGGAAGTATACTCCGCAGGAACCCTCCGGAAGCAACAGTACAAGACCTCCAGATATTGCACCTACAAAGGAAGTGCAGACCACTCCATATCGTATTGTCGTCCCCCCCGTTGCACCGAAAGTGAAAGGGGAGAGTAAGTCGCCTCCACGCGATGCCCGGTACAGAGCACTCGTCTAATTGCACAATCATGGTTTAGGAGTTGCGGACTTTTCCCCTTGGACAGGTAATCATCCCGAGGATACTCTGAACGACCATACTGCGAAGCAAGGCCATTATGATCGAACCCAGGTCTCGCAAAACGAATCGAATACGGCACGCCCGTCACTGTATGCGCAGTTGAAGCATCGCTCCGGCCTTCAGATGCTCTCGTCTGTTTTTGCCGCTGCCCTCGAGAAGCGCCAAAGTCACAATACTGTTACTGCTCCATCGAGTTTCAAGCCGCCTCCCCGCGTCACCTTGACCGATAACAAACGCGAGGCTTGGCTTCGGGACCTTGCGAATCCGTCCGTCCCTTTGCGCAGGCTGAGTCGGACGATCCCTCATGGCGTCAGGGGCAAGGTTTTGCTCGATCAATGTTTGGGCAAAGGCATTCCGGTTCCCCGGGCCATATGGCTGGCAAGGTGTGTCGGGGCCAACGAAATTCGTGCCTTTAAGCGTAAAGGCACAAGTGGGGCGCTCGCATTGGGCCTTGAGACGAAATGGGTCCGCGACTGGACATCAACTGTCCAACAGTTCCTCGAAAGCGTAATCGGTACTTGTGGAACGCCGGATTGGAAATTGAAGATGACATATGCGTACGCCCTGCCGCGATCCATACTTCTTTGGTGCAGTCATACTAATCCTTCACAGGGTGAGCTTAACTTCTCGCTTGTTCTTCGAACGCTTGCTGGACCATGACCAGTATCTCGCGTGGTTCTTGCTGTCGTTAGAAGCCGCACCGATTAATACAGTACCTGTTTGGCTTCTGATGCTCGGCATATACTGGAACAACATCATGCGGTACAGAAAACGTGGTCGACGATTAGCTGAGGTGCTACTGGAGAAGTTGCGCCAGGTACACATCCTCCTTGTTCATGTCCTCTATAGTTTCAGCTAATCGGCGTGACAGATCAAGCAACCTGCACAGCCTACAGCCCTTGAGCCGTTGGTGGATCGCTTATCCCGCTGCGTAAGGAGATTGGTGCTGGAACATACATCCTCTGTCATACTACCGAATTCTTGGGAGAAGTACAAAGACCTAGTTGCGTCATGCTTGAATTTGAACGAAACACCGGACAAAACGACACTCCAGAACCTTGCAGAGCGTAATGCACGCGTCCAGCTGCCTAACAGTCATCAAGAGACGGCTCAACGGTTGCCTCAGCAACATGTCATTCACTTGTTTGATTCTATACGCTCGGCACATGACATCTCCTCTACTTCTTCTACCTGCTTGGGTGCTGTCGAAGACAAAGCGTCTCTGGTCTCGAAGCTGCTTGAGTGGGCATCAACTCCATTCCGTCATGGCTCTCGCCGTGTGTATACCAGCGTTCGCCTGCTGCGGAAATGGAAGATGTCGGGGATGGATGTTGAATCTCACATTCTCGCCTTCCTTGCTGATGTTCATATAACCAGCCGAGTGAATATGGACAATGTTTATCACATTATTGCTGAACTTGTCCGGTCTCAGACATTCTCTGTCGGCAGGTACTTGCAATGGCTGATGGCCAAAGGGGTGGCGAACGATCCTTCGCCCGGCCAACAACAGGTCAGATGCCATTCCAAAGACCTTTTAGCCACGATCAAATTGACTAAGCAGAGTGTAGGCTATATCGGATGACCTTTGCCTTCTCATGCAACTTCCATTGGCTCGCCTTCCGGAGTATGTCCGTAATCTCCGCAATACGCTGTTAAGCCGCGCTGGGATGCCCGCATCACAGGAGGAGTCAATCATTGCCGCCGTCAAGGCGTCCATTGCTCAACGACTACCCAAGATCTTCGGTGCGCAGATCAGCGATGCGATGCTGACTGACCTGTCATTGCCGAGTTTGACATGGGCAGTCAAATCCGAGATTGGCCTGTGGATTCGTCGTGGAGTATCTGGACACCACCGCGATCCCATCAGGTAAGCATCTTATGTCCCACCAAGTCATTTTCCAAGACCTAACAATTTGTAGAAAATACGCCCATATACCTATGTTGGCTGATTCCGGGGTTTCTGCCCTTACCCCTGTCGAGTTCTACAACATTCGGGATGTCCTGGAGAGCTTCGGGGATATCTCAATGCTCGCCGATGTGCTCAAGCAGGCCACGAATTGTGATGACGGCGTTGTTCTGGCCTCCGTTGCGGATACTGTCAATTACCATTTCGACTCTTTGTGTGTTATTGGTGCTGCAACCGATCTCTTCAAGGGACTCGTTGAGTCCTATGCTCGCCTTAAGAGATTTGGGGCGCCCAGCCTAGACCTCATCTTCTCGCTGATTGAGTTGGGACTACGAATGCCCAGTGAGTTCAACACTGTTGCTCTTCTGCGTCAGGATCTGTCTCGGATTGAAAATAAGTCGGCTCTCGCTGCACCGTCTCCGCTTTCGGATCATATACCCATGGGGGGCTTTGGTGAATTCGACTCCTCGTTCCAGGAAAAGTTGGACCAGATCCTATTCTCTGGAGGTGGTATGGATGAGGCTACTATGGATGCTATATTCAATTCATTGACTCGAGCGTTGGGAACTGAACATAGTCCTGTCAAGCTGTCCGCGAATGACATCTGCAGGTATATGGCTTACTTGAGGTCCTTCCACCCTAAACGCTTCGATGCAAGGCTGGTCCGGTGGGTGTGTGGGCTTTTGAAGTCACCATCGCGATCCGCATTGGTCCGCATCCTTCCTCCTTTGATCGGGGTCGGATGCGTTACCATCCATGCTTTTGTCGTGCTTGTAAAGAAGCTGTTGCAAATGGAAAGGGTGGCTTCGGTAGTTCCCAAGGTCACCGACCTGCGGCTGGATCTTCTTGAGCTCCTTATTCCAAAGGGCCCGGGCCAGGGCCGATACGCGGACATGGTATGCTCTTCTATCTTCCTTAAGATGCCCTACTTTTATCTAACCCACCCTTATAGGTGACGTACCGCTACTATCTAGCACAGCAAGAGTTCATCGACAAGCATCCCGAGGAATGCCTCGAGATCATTCGGGATGCTGTGCCGTTGGTTCATACTAGACATCCGGGGACTGCGTGCGTGACCAACCAGACGGACCTTGTAACTTGCGCCATGAACTTGCTGCAGACATTACTTACGCAGAAACCGGAACGCATGGTACAATGCTGCATGCAGAAATTCATAGGCCAGGACCTGGCTGCCACGGCACTTTTACAGAAGGCGCTTGATACCCTTCTCGGCTTCGATTCACAAGGTGCGTTTGAGGTTCATGGTTGCTGGAGGGTTGACTAACGCATTCCAGACCCCCAGGCTATGCCCGAAGCCGAACGAGTCATTGGCATGAACAATGATTTCTCGCTCCCCATTTGTCAACTGAAGCTCCAGGTCCTGTTCAATGCCGAAGCGGGAAATAAAGTCGACAATGGGATTGTGGACGTGATGTTCAAGGCCGCGATGGCTGATGCTCGCTCCAAGAGGTCCCACTGGTACGGCCTGGTCAGTCTGATGAGCCAGGATGCGGTGCGACAGGTATGAACCCGTCAAGAATTCGAGTTGCTGTGCTTTCGCTAACTGGTCTAGATCCGTGAGCGAGCCGAAAAGGGCTTCTTTTCCGTTCCTATGCTCGAAGAGCCCATCGGCGATCCTACCGTCGCCGACACATCGAACTCCATTGAGACCGCCCGACTTTATCTGACAGTTGTCGAAAAGCTGGCGCATAGCATTCCCGAAGCCGGTGCCCACACGATTGCATCCACCCTGGTTGAAAGAATGGAGCTGCTGCTTCAAAAATTCATCACCATGCAGCCCAATGGGTCTGGTGCGGTTGACGCCAGCCAGACGGCTCAGGTGCGCTCGAATTTCGAACGGAGCCTCGCATTCTGGTTCTCGGCCTTACTCAGACTGGTTGTCATCCACCGCGCAGCATTCAATATCCCGGCATTAGCACCCAGGCTGAACGGCCTGCAAGAGCAAGCCCGGATCTTGATAGCCATCTTCTGCATCTCTCTTGCACGCTTACCGGACCGTGTCATTCGTCTCTATCCGTCGGCCAATTATTTCCCTCATCCGGTGCAGTCGGAAAACTATCGGCCTTGTCCTGGAATCCTGTTGCAGACCCATGCCCTGGATGTCGCAGCAGCACTGATCGATACGTTTCCAGACGAGGCACGGCAGCAGTGTGCCCGTTTTCTCCGAGAGAAATGCCCCCCTTTTCTCCAGTTCCAGAATGACTTCCGCTTTCTCTATCTTCTCGGTCCCATGCTGGACACATCATCCCCCCATCCTCCCCAGCCTGTTTCTCTACCATCGCCTGCTGCCGGTGGTTCGACTCCGACGCCAACTGCAAATCTCGCCGGCGGGCCACCCAATCCACAGCAGACCATCTCCTCAACTCCTTCCGGACTCCCCGGTGGGTTAGCTGAAGGCGTCAATTGCATTGCCAGCCATCTTCGCCTTCAATACCGCGGCCGTGTCATCGGCGCGTATCCTGTGCGTCCTTGGGAACTCCTCGAAGACGCGGCTCCGATCGTGGGGATGAACGATACGGCTGTGAGCCTGAAATACTTCGACGCCCGACGCGTCCGGGCCTAGACATGTCCTCGGCTCATGTCTTGTTAACCCCCCGTATATATTATTTGCTGCGACCTGCTGCAAGCTGACATATTTGTGCTTTCCTCTGCTCGATACCATAGTTTTGCATATATTTATCTATTGCTGCCCAATGCTTGGTGGGTTTAACCCCAACCAGATCTCCTCATTCTCTTGGTTTCTTTCGTCGCCATTTCATCCACGATCCTTCATCCGCGGTATCGATCTCAACCAGCAAGGGTGCACTGGTTATAGCCGTTCCTGGGTTTCTATTTTGGAGGGCATCCAAGGTTGTATATATATAGAGAGCCGGGCGTTTCAGCGGGTGGGCGGTCCATAGCATTTACGATTGGTATAAATATCTACAACATAGCATTGTTTTATTGCATGAGCGAATGGAGGTGATTTGTTTTGAAGAATGGAATTAGGGACTGCAACGCAGTCTAATGATTAATAATATGTAAGTGGTACTATCCTAAAATAATCCCCCATTCGGGTTCGAATGTCAGATACAGTTGTCGTTCAGTCATGCTCTTCTGTATCCAAGTCGAAGTCAGATCAAAGCCCAATCGTAAGTCCTCCTCCGATTATTCCTTGTGTTTCGTACACTATCCCAAACTACTAAATCCTACTATACCTAAAGCCCACTTTGAGACTCCAATAGTTCACGCTCCACTTCCTCGAACCAAGAAAATTTGTGGGATATATGACACTCCTCAACAACTGCATCCGATTTAGACTTGGTCATAGACATGTGCATAGACGTATTGTCAGTGTCGGTGTCAGTGTTAGGTTCGGACTCAGACTCAGGCTCCGCCTCAGTCTCAGTCTCAGTCTCATGCACCATCTCGGCCTCAGTCTCAGGCGCGGTCTGAGTCTCGATCTCAGTTTCATGCTCGGGCTGAGGCTCAGGCTTAGACACGGGCGCAGACACGGGTGCAACCTCAGCCTCCGTCTCAGGCACAGTCTCACCGTCAGACACACGCTCAGTCTCGGCCTCGGGCGCAGTCTGAGTCTCAATCTTAGGCGTGGTTTCATCCGCAGTCTCGGTCTCCTTCTTAGACTTAGACTCAGATCCAGTCCCAACAACCCAACCTTTCTTATATGCCTCGAGCACCACTTCCTTGATAACCTCGTCGGTCTGCTCATCGTCGAGATCCATCCCCAGTTCCTGTTTCATATCGTCGACGTACTGGCCAACGGTAGTTCCGGTGATGAGGAGGATGTCTCTGAGACGTTTGGAATCCTGGAATTGGTTCTCTTTCTTTTGGGCGGTCGGTTTCTTCGACTTTTCGGGTTTGTCGGGGGTGGTGGTGGATGTGTCTGAGGAGGACTTGCTGGAAGGGCTCTCGATGGTTGGGGAGGTGGAAGAGATGGATGCTGCGGTGATAGGAGATGGTGTAGAGCGGGTGGGAGTGGTGACGATGTAGGGGTACTCAAGATGAATTGGTTGAGGATGAGGAGGAGGATAGATATGAGGTTGATGATGAGGAGGATATAACTGAGCAGGGGGGTGAGGATACATCTGAGGAGGGGGAAGAAAAAATTGAGGTTGATGAGTAGGAGGAGGATAAGAATGAGGTTGATGAGTAGGAGGAAGATAGAGATGAGGTTGATGAGTAGGAGGAGGATAGAAATGAGGTTGATGAGTAGGAGGGTAAATATGAGGTTGAGGAGGACCGTATACCGGGTCGCATGGCATCGGCACACCAGGCACAGGCACAGGCACAGGCACAGGCACAGGCACAGGCACAGGCACAGGCATCTGCACGGGCATCTGCACGGGCATCATAGGGCCGTGGTAAACGGGAGGTGCCATGGGAGTAGGAGCATAGCCTAGAGCAACACTATTTGTCGAGTCATGGCTCCCTGTGATGATGTTAGATGAGCATGTTGCTGATAGGCAGGTAGATAGGTAGGTAACATACTTCCATTGGCACTTTCTACCCTGAGAGCCCGGCCTCTGTTGACGAATTTTCCATGTTGCAGAGCAGCTTCAGCGTGGGCAGGATACTGCAAGATATTTGTTAGCTGCGTGCTCATCATATAGAATGGTGGGTGGATGGATGATACATACTTCAAACTGGACCCAGCCACTGTAGAGGTTATTTCTACCCTTGCGGACCTGGGCCCAGCAAGTACCGAACTGGACAAAGAGCTGTTCAAGCTCGTCTTCGAGGACATAAAAGGGAACACCACTGTAGAGGCTGTGGAATCAGTTAGCATCTATCATCTGGGCCTATGTATGTATGGAAGGGCTGAATGCTACGTACTTTCCCACGTGGAGACGAGCTTCCTTGGGAAGCATCTTCTGTGCATTTCCCTTGTGGATCACGATGGAGTTAGGGAGCATATTGGTCATGCTGGAGGGGTGGGTGAGATGGACGATAGGATTCGCCATAGCGAAGGTTGTATCGGATCCTTCTTTGATCGGGATACGTGGAGTCGAGGTCAAGATGCTAGCGAATATAGCTGTCTTGTTGAGCGAAGAGAAAAATATTGGTAGATGTGAACGAGTGCGAAGATTCTGTTGAGATGGGCTGGAAGAATGAACAACTATAGCTTAGATAGCTATAGCCAGAAATTGGATGGTATGGAGCACAACTGGAGAGAAGTGTAAGAGAAGGAGCGAGGAGAGGTGGCGGCTTTTTTCAACTACAGAGCTGACTGGGCCTCTATCTACGTCTCTGTGATGCTATCGATGCTTCTAATTGGGCCAGTTTTCTGACGCTAGTCTGGGGTAAACCGAGGGGCAGGTGCAGGTGTAGGCTGGCGTATATAGTAGAAATGGATGGACTGAAGCGAAGAGGCGAAGAAGCGAAGAAGCGCTAATCACGCAGCAAATGTATATCCGCCGCCACAACAAACGGCTACCACGGATCAGGCAGCGCGACTATTCCTGCTTGGTCGAATGCTTCTAGGCACGATATAGCCAGAGAAAAAAAGAACAAATGATGTGACTCAGGGGAAATTTCTCTCCCTCAGGGACGGGATGTACCAGGTTTATAAACTTTGTAGGCAGCCTAGTTCGACGAGAAAAAATGCTCCGGTCGCCGGTCCAGACTCGTCCATCGGCACATTTTGTGTAGCAGACAAAGAGGGGTCAAATCATTTCTTGATGCTTCATTCGATGCTGGAACAAAGACTTTGTTCGGTTGGTCATCGAGTCCTCTCATTGGCCGGGCCGAAACAGTATAGGCCCGTGTTTTGATTGGTGGACTAGTGTTCCACCCGCCTGCCGCACTTAGTTGTTTTGCCGGCAGAATGGATCAGGATGCGCACATGCTCGCATCGTGATGATGCTGAAGGCCTTCCTTTCGAGGCTGTAGAAATTGGAATCGTATCTATACGATGGCGGGGCATCGTATATATAATCTATCTGGGCCATTCACCCAGATAGAGCCCAGTAATTAGGGAACAACACAGTGACTTAATCCTCCACCAGTACTATGAAGCCACCACTGTGAATGACTCCACCCTTCCTGGATCATAAGATGTCAGCAGAATGTCCTCATAAAGTATAGGATCCACAGACACCCAGTATTTAAAGATATTTACTACCCATAACGGTAACGTGTTGAGTCCAAGTCTGGTTGCCATTGCTGCCGTCGAAAGAAACCGTCAGAAAGCGGTAAGTAAACCCACTCACGCCATGTCAGCCTGAGGCATCCACATCCCGCGAAATCCCCGACGTCATGGCGCGTACCTTTCGACGACGCCTCGACGTCCTTTCTCTCCCTCAATTACTATCCAATCCATCATGTTTCCCACAGCCCGGTGCCTGGCTGCCAAGCCCTCCGGCTTTATCAAGCGCAGCGCCGAGGAACTCAGCCGCCTGACGCGCATCGGTACGCCCCATCCCATCGCAACCCATCCCTCTGCACCAATACTGATTGATATGCTACCCTATCTTAGCCTGGAACTCCGAGGGCCTAACCACCCCAACCAAGCCCTACGTCCTCCTCGACTTCGAAAATGACTCCTCCGTCGCCGGCTGCAAGACCATGGCCGACCGTGCCGTCGGAGGCTACAGCACCGCCAGTCTCGACTACGTGCCTGCTGATCCAGCAACCAATAGTCCCGCCCATGCTCAATTCCACGGAAGTATCTCGACGAAGCTACCTATGAACTGGCGCGTTGAGCGGACGGGTGCGTCCTCTCCCCTATCAACCCAGTCCTCCGCACCTCGGACCCAGAACACTAACAAGTATGAAATGGGATGGAAACGACAGGCTACGCCGCCTTCCGCAACCACGACCGCGGCATGTGGCTCTTCGGCCGTCTATACTGGGACGTTGATCCGTACGCTTACCTCGCTCTGCGGGTGAAATCCGACGGTCGTCGCTACACCGTCAACATTCAGACCGATTCTATCGTTGAGACGGACATTCACCAACATCGTCTGTATACCCGCCATCATCGTGTCCAGGACAACGCTGCCTCTTCCTCTTCCTCTTTTTCCTCCGTTGATGATGTCGAAACCCCCGAGCTCGCCGAACGAATCTACCCCCACGGCATCCCTCCCTCGTTGTCCGATATTCCCCCCGAATCCATCATCATGTCTAGTGGTAGTTCCAGCGTGACTACATCCAGTTCTACGGGGTGGGAAACCATCCTGTTACCGTTCAACTCGTTTGTGCGGACGAATCATGGATTGGTGGTTGAGCCGCAGACGTCGATTCTCAGACAGCGGGTTACGAGTGTGGGTATTGGGTTGACGGATCGGGTGGAGGGGCCGTTTGATCTGCGGATTCATAAGATCTGGGCGACGAATGGCATGGGCGAGGCGGAGATTGAGGAGGAGAGGAGGATTTGTGGAGCGGATGCGTTGCCGGTTGATGAGGGGGTTATGACCGGGTGGATGGGGGAGAAGAAGGGTGAGAGGGAGAAGGTGCAGCGTGCTGCTGCTGATGGTGCTGGTGCTGGGGAGAAGAAGGAGCCCAAGGCGAAGGGGTTGAAGGGGTTGAAGGATGAGTGGGAGCAGTAGTGGTTGATACCTTGTTTATCTAGATTGTACAGTACAGTGAACTTCTACCTAGTACACTGGTTCTGATTGGGTTCTACAAACACGGCACATACATTCCCCGTCTCACGACGAAGAGTCGGGTCATCATGGAAGGCAGCATGGATGAGAAGGGGCACTTCATCGAACCCACCATCATCCCGTGGGTTCCCAAATGACTCCACGACCACCCAGACGAGCTCCAACCCCCCCCCCCCCCCCCCCATCCCCATCCTGCACATAACCACTCCGTAAGAAACACCCCATCCACCCAATCAATTAATTAGTTCCCCCCCGTAATCTTCTCCCAAGCCTCCTTATACTTCTCCGCCGTCTTCTGGGCAATCTCCTCCGTCATCCGCACGCCCTCCTTCCCCTTCAACCCCTCCTTAACCAACCAATCGCGCAAGAACTGCTTATCGAAACTAGCCTGACCGCGTCCAATCTCATACGTATCCTTAGGCCAGAACCGCGACGAGTCCGGAGTGAGCACCTCATCCGCGAGCACCACCTCACCAGTCTCCTCATCAACACCGAACTCGAACTTCGTGTCCGCGATAATCACACCCCGGGTCAAGGCGTACTCGTGCGCAACCTTGTACAGCTGGATAGCGAGGGCAGCGACCGTAGCGGCGTACTTTCCGCCGAGGATTTCAACGGCTATACATAATCCAATTAGCCATATATCCCTCCGCAGGGAATGATCGGGAAATAAGTAGAGGAAAAACAAACCCTTATCCGGATGAATATTCTCATCATGCTCACCCTGCTCCGCCTTGGTAGAGGGGGTATAAATCGGTCCATCAGGGAAGGCCTCGCTCTCCCGGAGACCCTCCTTCACCGGGATTCCGTGCACAGTGCCCGAGGTCTGATACTCCTTCCAGGCCGAACCGGTAATGTATCCACGCACAATAGCTTCAATGGGCAGGATCCGGAGCTTGCGGACCTGCATGCTGCGGTTCTGGAGGACGGGACGCAGCGACTCGGGGATTTGCGGGGGCAGGTCGAGAGTCAGGAAGTGGGTGCGGAGGGAGGGGAGGGCGGAGGTCAGGATGGAGAACCATTTTTGCGTGCACAGGGTGAGGAGGATGCCTTTGTTGAGGATGCCCTGTTTTTTTTATTCTTTGGTTAGCTTGGAGATGGATTTGAGGATGGAGGGGGGGGAGGATGACATTTTCCATGATCACGTCGTAGGCGGAGATGCGGTCGGTCGCGACGAACAGGAGGGTTTTGTCGTCGATTTCGTATAGATCGCGCACTTTGCCGCGGGCGATCAGGGGCAACGCGCCCTGCAGATCGGTTTGGGTGAATGCCTCGGTCATTGTAGATGGGAGTGACTGAGAACAATGGGGGGGGGGGAGCTCAATAGAGGAGGGATTGAAGAGAAGTTGTGCAAGTAATTTGTGGGGAGTCATTCATCCGTTTTCGCAACGATAATCGATAAGCTTTGCGGCGGGGTACTGCCGCCTCAGGCACTCTCTCCGCTGTTTCTACACAGGCCGCCGGCATGTTATGCAAGGTGGTGCGCAATGTTTACTTGGGTGGGCATATGCATGCGGTTCATTACTACTATGTCTGTCTGTCTGTTTCGTCTAGCACCTATCTGGATACTAGTTACACCTCCCGTGTAGCCTCTCTTCCCCGGATATATTCTTGCCGCTCAACAGCCCAGTCCGGATCCACCACGGACAGCGCAACAGCCTCTGTCTCAGCAACAGCAATGTCAGGGTCAATTGTACGAACTTTGGCATGCTTATGCAGACGCAAGCCGTGTGCTTCCCCCAGCCCTTCCGTCTCGAACTTCTCCAGTGTCTCTGCCCCATCCGGATCAGCAACATCCTTCAATAGTTCCCAAAAGTCTTCGTCCGACATGGACCACAGCACCGCCTCCTGGATCTGTCCCCCGCGAACAAGATCCCCGATCAATTGTCCAGTCTTGCGGTACATTTCGACATGCGTTGGGTTAGACCACACTTCCCGGTCCGTAGTCAGATACGCTCGTGCAAGCCGGAGGGCCACCTGCTGATCGTTGAGCACCAACATCCGATGCGGAGACGACGCATCAGGAAACGCTTTCAGAGCGGCCACCACGCGATGACTGTCGTCCAGCGCAAACATCCCAAATGCAACGGCATCCCGTAGGGAGTAATCCAGTCGGTCCGCGCAAAGATGCGGAGCTCCCATCTCGACGAGCGGATACTGCTCCTCGTCCAAGACCGTTTGCGGAATGCCATGCTTGGTCAAAATGGCGGGGATCTGTGTCGTCTGGATATACCGCGCTTTATGAACCTCGTGGAAACTCTCCTTCCCTGGCTGGGAAAGTGCCCAGTCCACCACATGGCTAAGCACCGTATGGCTTATATCGTGGAGCAGCGCGGTCACCTGTTCTTCGACGCTGGCGCCGGCGATACGGACCAGCAGCAATGCCCCGACGGAGTGCTCGAAGCGCGTAATCTTGACGGGTTTGGGAAGCAGCCCGAGGTGCCCGGTCACTCCGTGCTGGCCGATGCCGATCAGTCGACGGAGATCTGGCGACTGGAGGAGGTCGATCAGGACGGGCTCGGTGATTGTGTGGTCGCCATAGAGGGCGTCGCGGACGAGGATGGTGTCGGGTGCGGGGGACTCGTGAGTCTGAAAGTGCCCCGCCTCTAGCGTGGTGGCCATCTGCTGCAAGTGCCTCGTTGGATAGGCTAGATATTTGTTTGGGTGAGGGGGTGTCGACACAACTCGGCGGATACTTGTGCTAGTGTAACTGCAGGTGTTTCTCAGGGAAGACCGCTGCTGCGTGTTGTTTACCAGAAGCTGGAAGGAGGAACGATGCCGGGGAAGCACGACGACTGGCCCGGTCACATGTGCCACGCGAGTGCCTCGTCTGACGACTCCGGCTGGGTGGAAGCAATGGAGCGACATCCCGATTATATACCAAATGGTCAAGGTACTAGTCCCTGATGCCTGGTCCTGGTGATTGGCAGATGAAGCATGAGTATGCTCGGAATCCCGATGCAAGCCCGGATGTTTGCATTGAGTCCAAGCTTCCAGGCACCACCGGCAGAACCCTGCAGGCAGCAGCAGTTGGCTATGGGGGCTCCTTCCATCTCTAGATGCCTGGTAATTAGCGACAAGGATGACAACTTTCCCCGGATGATGTACAAACAGCGAATTGACACTACTCAACGCTACGAGCGACTACAGCAAGAGCCTTGCGTGTCCCCTTCAACCCGAGGCATAAGCAGGAGAGATGGGTACGCGTCCAGACCATTGCAGACTATATCAACAAGTTCATCTATCGTATTCCAATCTCTATATACCCCTTGAGAGTTCATCAGGTAGCTAGGCTATCTTATTCGATGTCGGTCAGATGCGTATGAGGATCGCTACGCAAGCACCGTAATTGGATCCAGTAGTCGCTACGAATCCACGCCCAATATACATAGTGTTTGTGTCAGATCTATATATCGTGTTTTCGCAGGCGGTCGGTGGGTAGAAGGATTGGTCGCACTTCAGACTTAGAGCCGATATCAGTGAAGGCGACAGACCATTCAATTGCAGTCCTACAGAAGCCCTAAGAAAACGACAACAAGGGAAGTCAGTAAAGTAGATCTTGACAGGATCGATCCTACCTTGCCCAGGTGACAATATTCTGCACCAGTAGGAGCATACTTGACTTGCCAAGATGCCTAGCGACCCTTTCTTGGTCGGATAATGCTGCCCAAACGCCTTGGCCATGCTAGACCCAATGAGAAACTCATCGGGGTGCTTTCCCTTCCATGGGGCGCAGAATGATAAAGGGGCCTGATGATGGATAGATGAAAACCGCCCAGTTGAAGGAGCCTTTCTGTTCGACTGGATGGACAAACAAACAGACAGAAAGGCGCCCGTGTATCGATCGGTAATAGATTACCACCGTCATGGGCTTCCACTAACACGTTGAAGTAGGATTCTAATCCGAGACCCGGACGAAAGGGAGAAGACAGGTCATTCCCAACTGCTTTGATGAGCGTGGTGGCCGACCAGGCGGTTGAACGAAGACTCGTGAGAACCGCGGTTTAAGCTCGCGACAAAAGTAATGCAGAAATGCGGACCTTTGATGCTGTAGGTGGAACTAAGTTCGCATCACGAGCCAAGGAAGTGTGAGGCGAGGCATCACCTGGTAGCCAGCCCACCGCAAGCCCCTGAACCCCCCGGCTCATAGGTGCGCATGGCATCTTCGTTTCTTGGTCGACGGTCGAAGCATCACTGGACTCATGGATCATGAACCGACCGTCCTTCGGTCGTTGATCGCTGGTTCTGGAGGTCCGTGATCTCCAGGCTCCTCTAGACCTGGAGGGTGCAAACGGTCTGCCAATGTGCTTGCACCCCGGTTCGCCCCCGATCGTCACAATGGCGGATATTTGCTTCTTTGTCCGACAGCAAGTCAGCCGCGCGTGGAGGAGATGGCCTGGTTGGTGGTCGAGCCTGGCCTTCAGGAGGGTCCTGTCCATTTCCGTCCCGGTGGCGCCGTCTCGTCCCCTTCTCGGCCGTCCCTCTTCCCACCTTTCTTTGTTGCTCGTCGCCAACCCAGGGAGGTGGCATGTCTTCGTCTTGGACCGTGGCTTGAGAAATGCCTTCGTAGCGGGTTATGTGCGTGTGTGTGGAAACGGACGAGTCCGGAGAGTCGGAAATCGTCGCGCTGGACAGTCGAACCTGGATGGGGGGCATCCAGAGTTCAGGAGGTCGACGGAATGTAGCTGCCCCTGTCTCGGATCAATGTACGATAGGAGGCCCTGTTGGCTACTTCGTGTGGCTGTGCGAAAGTCTATTCAGTATTGTATCCCCCTAACGACTGGTCAACCCATGTCGTCCATACTATTAGGTAGTCCTTCTCTGTATCAAATCTCCCCCAAATAACATGACGTAACTAGAGACGTAAGCAAAGACATTGGTAAGTCCCCCGTCATCCATACAGTCATACTCATTATTTTGAACGCCTTCAAATGCAAAAGGATGCAATCTAAATCCATGCGTAAATAGAGATAACCCAACATTTCAGACAGTAAATTAATCAGAAACGCCAGGATAAATAACTGCTATACCGTCGCCAAGCCAGACTACCCTTAAGTAAACACTAAATATCAAACGCCACCCATGCTCTGTGACATTAGATGTTCGCTATTGCGACACCAATGGTCATACCTGTACCGAATCAACCAGATTCCTTTCGAAATCCTCTTATCTGCGGTGGGTAAAAACTGAAGAACGAGAAAACCGTAAGCTCAAGACTTTGTGACCGCGCAAGCTGGATTTTCTGGAACTAGGTTCGTTGTGTAGAGGCCTATAACGCATTGCGACCTGGATTATTGTCGCACTGATGAGATATGGACGTTCAAACACCGAGACAGGGCAGATGAGCATAACAGTACCAGCCTATACTTGCTCCTAGAGTCTGGAAACTGGCTCTAACATCGAGTCAGCATGGGTAATATGAGCTTTGGTTATTGCGCACATTGCATTTTGTTCAGTAGGGCAATGCAGGCCTTCATCACATTATAAGCGACGTGGTGGCGCTCCAACCAGTCCCCTGGCTCCGTTAGAATTGACGGTGATAGCAAACCATTGATACCTACAGAATCTGTGCGCATCGTCTGGGTGACAATCAACAACACCTATGATAAGCTCTTTCTCCGCAGCGTTCAAATTGAGACGTTTCTCCATTGCATCATACGGGCAAGTTTGGGCACAAACTCGATACACGTCGCCGGGGTACTCTGGTCTGAGGAAATTTATGTTCTCAACGATGGTTCTCCTCATATCATCAGTAATTATCCAACAAATCAGCAAATTGAAGCTTCAACTCACACCATGTAATATTCCATCAGTCCAATTCTGAATACATAGTGGTATCCATAGTTCTTCGTTAATTCAGCCAGATCTTCATTTGCTTTTTTCTCAGCACGAATGAGGGCCTGATGAAGCTCGAAATAGTTCTCCCCTTGAAGCAGTTTCTCAATGGCGGGATCAAGGATGCTGATGAGCTGGATGGAGTGGCCTTTGATGTCGGAAATAGATGGCTTAATGCGATGATCAGCCATTATGGCCTGAAGAACTTTGCTGTAACGACAGACAGGTGTATCCGCAGATTCGGTTGGACCATAAACTCGATGAGAAGGATAGATATATTCTTCGCCCCTTGTCAAAGCAGTAACCTGCGCCATGAGTCTGCCGACGTTCTTGTGGAGAGAAAAGGATGCTGATATGCATAATGCCTTCCCACGTAGTTCAGCAGCATACACTGCATTACTAGCCATGCCATCAAGGAAATGGAGGAGAGTATTAACGATGAGCTCCATTGTGCGACACCAGAGCAATTGATGGCTTCTGAGACTCAATGTATATGAAGGATCAAGGGTGGCAAGAGACGAGCAGCAAGAGAACATTAGGAGACAAGAAAGTCGAAAGACTGTGAACATGTAATACTCAGACAGGAGGATAGGTGAGGTAAGGGCCCTGTATTAACGTGTACAAACGATCAGTTAGCGTCTACGGAGTTTAACACCAATTCGTGAATCTAACTCAGAATTCACGACCTCTAACTCAACAAAGAATAGCACCAGCCATGCGCCACCGCCTAGAACACAGCTCTATCCGTCTTGTTTAATCCCAGATACTCATCTCTTATTACCTAAAAATGTTATTATTAAATACTGTCTTTGAGTTACCTTTATACATGGCCTCTCCTATACTTTCCTTTGCTTGCTCTCAATGCTCTGAAATTATCACCCAAGGCTATGGTTATCGACTCTACAACTCTCAAACCCTCTGGCTTATATCACGAATACCAGAATGAATTCTATACCTCTTGCTTTGAATCACACTACTGAATCCAGCGATAAGCTCACAGAGCTGCTTTGGCAGGATGCTTTGCGCCATCTCGGGTCCACGAACAACGAAGTGTTGCTTCCAATCAATGTTATCGATATGATCGGTCAGAGCAATGTCGACAAGATCAAGTCTCGTCTTTGGTAGGTAATTTCCAATAACATGTAATAACATACAGGTTTACATAGGGATAGTGCTTTAATTGGTGCTCCGGTAGTAGCTTTCGTCGATGAATCCATAAATGCACTCCGTGTCATGCGTACACCGGCGTTTTCAGGTACAACAATATCTGTTGCATCTCACGAAGTGGCATCCTGCCTCGAATTCAAATCAATCAAAGTCCCTATGAAAAAGCATGAGCGGTCTTCGGTTCCTGTTAAGGCTGCAAAAGTTCCTCGCCCGCCAAATGCATTCATCTTATACCGCCAGCATCATCATCCTAAACTCAAGGAGGCCCATCCCAATCTCTCAAACAACGAGATATGTAGGTTCTTGGCTATGCTAGAGGATCAATAGATATGCTAACATCCCCAGCCGTTATTCTAGGAAAGCAGTGGAAGGCAGAATCCGAAGACATCAGGGTAGAATTTAAAGCCCTGGCTGATGAATTGAAGCGAAAGCATGCAGAGGCGCATCCCGATTACCAGTACACACCACGCAGGCCATTCGAGAAGAAGCGTCGAACTTTGTCTCGTCAGTATCCCAAATCGACGGCGGAATACAAGTCGCCGGATCTCACTACTACCAGCACCGAAACCACTAGTCCTTCGATTGACACCAACGTACAGATAGACGATACTGGGATTGAGGGAACAATGAACTTCTTTCCAGAATATAACATGCCCATTATGCACACCGGCGACATTCTCTATAACGACCTGATACCGAGCGATATGCCACTTCTATCGGACGAGCACTTCCAGCTGGACCCGGAGATATTGGGCTCGTTGATAGCACATGTTCAGACAGACTTCGGCAAGGGTACAGGATTGTGCACACCTCCATCAACTCACATTAGCTTCACCGACCGACATATTGGCGAGACCATCGAGTTCTCGGACTACATTACCGATCTCTATTGAAGAAGGATGAATCGGTTCAACATTTCCTTCCCTTTCCCCTTTTCCCCGTTCTTACTATATGACTTTAACGGCCAGCAAGGGCTCTGAGGGGAGCATTACGGACAATCTCTGTTATTTATAAATACCCATATAACCAGATGGGATTCGGATCTCCATCCCTAATCTCCTGATCATCTTCCCCATTCCAATTCATTCCCCTGGGCGGAAGGAGGACAGGGGGAACCAAAACGTTTCTGTTTCAAATCAAACCGCATATATGTCTCACGATGACAAACATTTAGACTATTTAGTTTATAGATAAATATAATTATCAATACCTAAGCAGGGCGCATCTCATCCCAAAACATTAGGTCACCACTCCCTACAGTTTGCAGCGAACATTCGACCTCGCCCTTTAAAGATAATACGCAGCCCCATGCGTATCCGTGACTCACAGTCGCACCATACTATTTGTAGCTTAGACAATGGGCCATTGAGATCGGGCAAGCTGGGAGAAAGGGGGCGTTACTTTGTTGAGATAGGGCTATACCCACAGCCGAGGCATGTTGAGATGAAGCTCAGCTGGACTAACATGATAGGAGGACTAGATCTGTTCTGAGGGGTGTTTATTCACTGATAAGGCTGTGTGGCAAGGAGGGATGTATCGTAAGGTTGATATGAATTGGGGGAGAAAGCATGAGTTGGTTTTGGTGTTGGTGTTAGAATAGTGCTATTACTTTGGAAAGTTTGGGAATTGTAATCACCGATAGGAGACAATCGGCTGGGAATCTTGGCCCGGAATAAGGGGGAAACATGGGAGACTTCGCTAGAAGCAAACTGTGTGTAGGCAGCTCCGTCGAGAATGGTGGTGAAGATACTTGATATAACCTCCTCCACCTATCTGTATGGATTACGCATAATGACTGCGACTCTTAAGGGCTTCCATATCAGTATAAAACATACTCTATTCTGCTTCAATGGGGCAGTCAATTTCAATCTTCGTTTTCTACTCGAATCCAGCAGTGGTACTTATCTGGACTTTGTAACTGTTGCTGATGCGGTTGCTACTTATATGGAATAATGTTTGGGGTGCAAATCAGGGGTGGGACTCAGGCTAAGGGTTTCGCTATGTGAAGTATGGGGTACCTATTGAGTCTGGTTATATTGTTCTAGTCAATGCTGAACAATGGGTATCTTATATTGTTTTATAGAATGTGGAACATACAATGGTACATTGCGTTGCCATGGCTACCTACAACGTTGACGAGTTCCAGTCACTCGCCCAAATGAATGTCGGACACCGCCACTGCGTGCACTTCTCCTTATTGCCGCTAGGTCCAAGAGGTCTGGGACATATCCAGAAGGATCGGCCGCAGTTGACTCCGGGTTTCTTCGTCGTCAGGCTGATACAATATTCTTGGTGACCTTCGCATTTAGGCGCTCGTTTCTTCGTAAATAGCTTCGACCAATCTTCCTTGCTGACGATTGGGTCAATGATTGTATCGTCCTCCTTTGGGGTGGTTGATGTCGCTGATACGGGTTGGTTGAGATCTCCCGTGGGTTCTCTAGCGATTGTTGCTGAAATTTGCTTGTCAGTTTGCTGTCGATGATCCGTTGGGGTGATCGGCTTGCAGAGTGACGCAGATGGCAGTACAGTAACTGGGCTAGGAGGCTTGGTTGGGCTCTCGCTGGTTTGATTGACCGGAACATTCTTCGGCTTGAAGAACCCTTTGAGCGACTTCTGTCCAGCAGTGGGTGGCGCGGGTGCTGAGGCAGCTACTGACTTGGAACGCTTAACAGGTGAGTCGTTCTTTTCGGACCGCTTACGAACAACGCCTTTGGGCTGAGAATCGTTCTCGGATATGGAAGGGTTGCTGACTGCTTCCATTGGGGCGCTCTTGGTGGCAGCCGTTATTTCTTTCTCTCGAGCTGAAACCGCACGAGAGAGCGTAGGGGTTGCAATCGGAGAGCTCTGCGACGCATTGCTGGGCTTGCGCATGAACATGTCCTTGATACTCCTTCGCTTGTCAAACTCCGGTATCAAGCGGCCCGAAATAGGCAGTAAACATCTGGTCGTATACTCCTGTCGGCGCTCGCCATCTTCAAACATCCCGGATGGATTCATAATGTCACGGATGCTAACTTGCTTATCCCCTATGGTTACAATATCCTTGAACACCGCATACACGGGACAATGATCGGAGCCCTGAGCAGTCGGCGTCAGCAAGTTCCCTTGTGAGTGAGCCAGTGGGATTAATACCATAAGACCTTCTTGTATGTTCGAGTCGCAGAACCAATCTTGCATATCCAAGCTACACAGGACATAGTCGATCCTCGAGCCATAGTTCCCAGGACGGGCATTGATGCGTTGCTCCCAGCACGTGTACATCCCCTTGCGGTCCGGGTGGAATGAGCGGCAGATATCGTGCATAACAGGTTGTTCTCTTCCTTCCTCTCGCTCCCCACTGACCTTTCCGTCGGAAAGTAGGTGGTTGAACACACGTCGCGCATGAATGGATACAAACTCGTCTTCTGTCAAGGTTCCTTTCCGGATAGCCTCCCCCGCATGGGCTGCATCGATCTCTCCTCGCGAGATATTCAGATCCCCTGTCACGAATACCCTCTTTCCAAGGGCAACCAGATTTCGAACCCGCACGTCCATCAACTCAATGAAGTCGTGGCGGAAAGAGTCGCGGCTCTCGTCCCGATTCGCCGGCGAATAGATTCCTAGCAGAACAAAAGCGGGAAATTCGAGGATAACGCAACGGCCCTCTGAGTCCAGCGTCGCTGCATCAATGTCGAGCCGCGATAACTGTTCGATAGTGGGATAGCCACCAATTTGTTGCTCCTCTGGAAGATCCCGAAAAGAGACGGGCGAGTTTGGGGGGCAAAGGACTCCAGTGAGACCTTCCTCTGCGCGGATGGGGGCACATGTTGCGTTGCGCGTGTATATCACAACCCCGGAGTATCCTATGGCAATTAGCTGCCTGATCAACCATGCAGAGACGGGAAATACACACCTTTCTTGACTCGCGGCAGGCTAAAGTAGCAGTCCCAACCGGGCACTAGGACCATGTCATCGCGCAGATCTTTGCGCTGGATCTTCGTTTCCTGGAAGACGACGATATCGGCCTCGAGAATGTCAAACATAGCCTGATGCTATTAGTGTTCTGCGTGTAAAGTGGTCAACAGAAAGCATACATCAAAGGTCCGCTTTCCTCTCCATGGCTCGTAGGAGAAAGGATTTCTGCATCAGGTCAGCGACGCAACTCCAGGATGACCTAGCACCACACACCGAATCCCATTGACTAAGGGCCGTCAGTATCTAGTCACTGCCCAACGTGCAATCTACACGCACCATTCCATGTTGTAATTCGAAACCCCATCCCAGCAATATGGGCGCGAATCACGCATAACTATCCAAGGGTACCAATTTAACCCATTCAGCAAAAGAGTGCGACTCCAAAGGCAACTACCAAACGCGACAGCTCGACACGACTTAGCTCAATGGATGACACCGACACACATCATCAACCGAGAGAGTCAGTAAAGTAAGGATGTCTCCAATATGCCATTGTGATCCGCGCGACTGGCACGTGACCGTGACATCACGCGATCCCAGGCGGGTGCTGACATAAGTCCAAGCGGTGACCAGCGAATCACGGGGACGCTAAACGGCTTTTGTTTCGTTAAGCCGGAAGGGCCGACGTCCGGGATAATCCCACCGTCAAAGACGACGTCGTCCCATTCCTCCAACGTCACTCCTCCACTCCAACCCACCCCAACCATCATGTTCCCTCAGCGCAACGCCCTTCGTCTCTCCCAGCGCGCTGCCCAGCAGCTGCGTGCCGCTCCGGTCCGCTCGACCGTCCAGCGCCGTGCCAACAGCTCCGACTCCAAGCAGCTTCCCTCTTGGGCCGTCGACAACGAGTTCAACCGCGAGAGAGAGGCCGTCAAGCACCACGCTGCTGCTACCAGTGGTGCGTATCTGCCCAATTGACGTCGGTATTCGGAGAGAAATGGGCTGTGCTGACTCAATGGCTGTTCTAGATCTGTGGCGCAAGCTCTCCATCTAGTATGTGGGCTTGCTAATACTACCGCAATTGACCTATAGTAATGACTCACCTTCTCCAGCGCCGTCATCCCCGTTCTCATTGCCGGCGGTATCAACTCTTACAACCTTTGGAACGAGCACTGGGAGCACTGGGCCCACATGCCCGCTCTTGAGGACCGTACCGAGTACCCCTACCAGAACATCCGCGTGAAGAACTTCCCCTGGGGAGATGGTGACAAGGTGCGTGCCACCGCCTTACCCATAGCTATACGATAACTCAATACTAACGGAATATATTCTTTCTATAGACTATCTTGTAAGCTTCAACCCGCATCGTTTAACATCGAACGCAAGCTACCGACGAGCATACATGCTAACAAATCCCACAGCTGGAACTCTAGCGTCAACTACCACAACAAGGACAAGGCCACCTAATTGCCCCGCACTGGATGGTTCGAGTACAGCTTCTTTGATTGATCTTGCCTGTTGACGGGAGGGGAAATCAAAGAACATGTATATTTACCGGCAAGTTATGCAGAGATAGAATGACCGGGCATTGGGTGCTCAGAGGTGGAATTGAGATAGCGTGACACACAATACTGATAAGCTTTTATTTCCTTTGTTGTGCTGTTTTGTTGGTAATCAGCATGGATTATGTTGGTTCTGCTAAATTCTTTCTTTGCGTGACGGGAGTAAAAAAGTCTTTCCTGCCTGAGCTAAATGATAGGCATAACGACTGTCAAAGCAGCACGAAGGAATCATCGCACGGAATCCGTGAGATCAACTGGTGTCAGGCCAAAGAGTCTTCTGTTTTGCCATGTGTTGGTTCATTTCACCCACTGCTTCGCTGTTGCGATTGAAATTAGGACTGGGGGACATCTATGAGATCCTAGGCGCTTCATGATGTAGTGTAGACTACTGTCAAAAGGTCACTGGCCGCCAAAGGTGCAATGAAGTCGCAAATACACGGGCATTAATCTTGCACAACTATCTACCATGCCATACATCAGTTACCGATAGGAAAGCACACAACTATACCTCTTCGCAATCTAGCCACCACTGCCTCTTCAAATCCAAATACTTCGCCGCATAGTCATTCGCCAGGACCGGGTCCCCCGTTAAATGCATGACTGTCGCTTTCTTCGCCATCAGCTCACATTGCCCCTTGATATCCTCGATCTCCTCGTACTGCTCATATGCACAATCCAAATACGCCAGCGCCCTGTTGATATGCTCCTTTTTCAAGACCGAGTTCGTTAGTCCCCTACTCCGGAGAATTCCTGCTATTCCCATATTCGCGTCCACGAGAAGCGAATACGCCTGCGCAGCCAGGTCACAGTTACTCGTCTCAAGGATCTGGGGCATGATGCTTTCGATTAACTCGGACACGGCGTCGAATTCGCGCAAGCTGAGAAGGACGCCTGCAAGCACGCAGATGGACTCCCAAAGACTGGGGAGGAGACGCGAGCGGTGCGCGATGCTGGCGGCTCGCATAGCGAGGGAGAAGCCGCGTTGTGGATGGCCAGTTTTCTGTAGAATGCAGGCCTTTAGACAGAGAAGTTTGACTTGTGTGAAAATATCAAAGTTTTCTTGGTGAATGGTTTGGGCGGTTTTCTCGACAAGTTCGAGTGCGCGAGCATAGTGGCCTTGGCGGATGCGGAGGTCAATGGTAAGAATTGAGAGGAGAAGGGTGATGTCATTATCAGGGAGTTGAATGGCTTGGAGCTGGGCGAGGAGGTGTTCGGCTGCGACTTTGTTATCGCTGGGTATTGTCATTAGTGTGGGCTGAGCTAGAGATCGGGATAGGGGGACATGCCGGTATATTTGACGTCGAAGTTGCAGGATGCCGGAAAAGAATGTCCAGTATTGGTATGTTTTGAGGGAGCGAAGCTTTTCCGGAGAAATCTGGTTCATTCGAGCTGATACCTCGGAGTACCGGCCCTGCTGCGCTAGCTTGGAAGAATTAGTAGTGTTATGGGCTGGAATGGGAGATTGACGTACGAGCTGGCAACTACGGAAGGTGCTCTTGAGATAATCTTCGAATGGCGCTTTGTTTGCGTAGCATTCGCGGAATATTTCGCTGCTTAACCATGCGAGGTGCGTGATGCCTGTGGACTTAGCTGAGATTGAACAATGCCATGGAGAAAGGCATACCTATTCTGGAATAAAGTGAGGTCTGCAGGAGAAGCTGCGGACCCACAGAGTTGAGTAGGTTTTTCGTTACATTGAGATGCGATGCTCGAATTATGTTCTCAATGGACGAGGCAAGACTCTCTCCCTAGAGGAAGTTAGACGTAGTGGTTAGGAGACGAGGAGCTACCCACATTATGTAGCTCGAGTTTCGCTTCGCTCAACAGCGTTGTACTGAGAAGGCTCCACATTTCTGTTTCTTTTGCCTTTGCCTTCAGAAACGTAAGACCCTCCTTTTCATTCCCCAACATGCCCGTGTTCTGTACATCTTTCATCTGCTCCGGAAACGCTTTGCCGAAGTGATACAGCCAGCTCATACAGAAATTCAAGCAGTTCATATCGTGGGATTCTCGAGCAATAGAGACAGCCTCCTGCATGGCCGAGACGGCCTCTCCGTAGCATCCGAAATCAGCCTGTAGGATAGCAAGATTAAGCAAGGCATACTGATAGGAGCTTCGATCGCGACTATGCATAGTACAATCGAAGTAGCGGTGCAGGTTGTCAAAAGAAGACGGGTAATCTCCAGCCCTCCAGGCGTCAAGGAATCTAAAGAATCAATAATGAGAAGACTGACTAATTTAGTAGCTGGTCCATACCTCAAATAATGCACAAGGTTAGGAACGGTCACCCCAGACATGATGATGCGTTCCAGTTGAACTTTCATGCCGTCCGGCACTCTTCCTCCCAAGCCTAGCTTTCATAAGCGTTGATTCAATCTATATGAGGGGGTGATTACTTTGCAACTCGCTAATTTGGAATTCGAGAAGTCGTTCAACGTCCTTTGTGCTGACGTACTGCTCATCCTCGGAATCATCCTCGATATTGCCGTACGCAACCTGCGCAAGGTGATCCGTCGTATCCAGGCTAAGATTCAGCAAATTTATATCCACAGGTGCCTGCTCATGAGACGGGTTCTTCCGCGCCCACACATAATAAGTCGGCAGCCGATACTTGACAAAGCCTTGCCAGAGCCTGACAGAGTCATGGAACTGCAGTCTGGTGAACTCCAGCTGAGCTCGTCTCACAAACGCACCTAAAGGAGAGCACCGAGACAAGCGCATACATCCTGTTTCCGGTGCAAGGCCTGCATCTCGATCACGGATTTGCTCTTCCCGGGTCTTGACTAGGATGGCAGAAATATCGGCGAAAAAGACCTCCAAAGCATCGCAGCAGTCAACGGACCAGATCTTTTTGAGGAAGAGATCCCAGATTGAACGACCAGGTATCGAAGATGGATGGCCCGTTAGAGCATTTTCCAGGTCAGTGATAGAGACAGAGAATCGCATTTCCTGGTCTTGTATTGGGGAGTGGGGGTTTCTTTCCAAGGGACTTAGGCAGGTGATGAGAAAGGAGAGAACATGGATGGCAGAGGAGTTGGGGACAACTCCTTCGGTGTAGATGGAAATGAGGCAGAGAAGGGCGACCTTGGAAGGGGTGAGGTAGCGACTCATTGTGGTTAGGAGCTATACACGACCCCGCCAAAAGATCTTATACTTCTAACCACGACACGACGTGCAGCTCGCAAATCGAGACAACCAAGGGAAGCGAATGTGATAAGTGGCTACGCGCGCGGGAGAAACGCGAGGGAGAGAAAGCCGGATCAGATGACTGAAGAAGTATGCTGAGGCTTCCGCTTCCGATGGTGGATGACTTCGATCGGTTTGGATACGGTAGACCCGACCAATCCTCACGTAAAGGGTAGTCATAAACAACCGCTGGGAAATACGCGGAGTGGGAGAAATTCAATTTAAACGTACTATATATTTAATAGTTATTTAAATTCTAATACATACGACCACAGGGTGTGGAGAACAGGGCTTCCCGTCCGCTCAGCCGTACTTAAGCCACACGCCGGGAGGTTAGTAGTTGGGTGGGTGACCACCAGCGAATCCCTTCTGTTGTATGTTTTAGAACACTACTCCAACTTTTTGCATGTTCAGTTGACCGACCAGTCGGTGATTGGAGAAGACTTCCCCGAGCAACAGCGTCTCCATCCAACTACTTACTTTTTCGAAGGGTAGCCCAGCTGCCACTGGCTACCACTTTCTGTTGTGTTCTCTCCAAACATGAATTGGAGTCAGTCCATCCTTGTTGCCGAACAACCCTCGAATTTACGGTGCAGTCAAATCTCAGCTCAACGTTACAACTAAGTAGTTGTCTGATCTTTCACACACGTTATCACATCAACCAGTTGCGCTCAGTTGTTGTTATATTTAAGCGCCCGGGTTAGTGACGCCCATGACGCGAGACTGGAGGTTGAGCTGGGCGCGGGGTTCTTGATTGTGAGTAGTACTATTAGTACTATCTCTCGAAGGTGCCTGGTGCCATCCAATCATGGTCCAAATTTGTCCACGACGCTCCCGCTATTACCGCTGGGCTGCAAGGCCTATGCCGAAGCTGCTGCTCACTGGATTCGCGGACCATATATATCCCAGTGTTTATTTATGTCATTCGCTGCGTTTTCCAACAGGGATCTGAGTCCTGGTGCACATCAATCGGCGATGTTGACTCTGTGGCCCCCTTAGGCATGTGGTCTGGCGCGTAGCCTGAGCGCATTAAAACCCCGCAGGCCGTCCTTTTGATGAACAACAATTGCTGTAGATCGAATTTCCCCATTCTTAGAATTGAACGTCTCTATTTCCCCCCTGCTCGGTGAAATCATTTTTCTGATTAGGATATAGACTATTCGGTGAGAACCATGGTAAGGAAGAAACCCGTCATTTCAACGGCGTATAGCCGGGACACCATAGATAATAAAATCTATCAGGTCAAGCGCTTCTTCTTGAGACGTGCTCAAGCCACGGATGATGCTCATTCCAGGCTTCCACCAGAGCGGCATTCAGACACAAGCGATGCCGGAACAGACGGGCAGACGGCACCGCCCCCTTACAGAAGCCAGTCGCCATCGCTGTCATGGCTACGGCTGAGATCGCACTCTCGCTCTTCGGTCTCGACACCACGCCCATTACGTGCCAAGTTTGGGCTGCATGTCGTGCACCAGCCCAAGGTGGCCGCACCAGTCGATATAATATTCGTCCACGGTCTCGGGGGCGACCGTGTCTTGACGTGGTGCAATAACCATGATGAGGGGCAGTTCTGGCCGGGGCTATGGCTTCCACAAGAGCCAGGGATATCGAAAAGCCGTATTCTTTCATTCGGGTATGATGCAGGCTTTGGCAAAGGTGCAGTTGGAAACATTTACAGGATCTCCGACTTTACTAAAAGCCTCCTGCATGAGATGAGATCTGCGCAGGACCCTGATGGAAACCCCTTGGGCATTGGAAAGGTCCCGATCATCTTTATCGTTCATTCTATGGGTGGACTGGTGGCCAAGTCCGCATTTCTCCTAGGACAAAATGACGAGAACTATAAGGATATCATCCGGTCGATAAGATGCATGATGTTCCTTGCTACACCTCATAGGGGTGCTGAGCATACCACTGCACTTAATAACTTACTGAAGGTAAGCTTCCAATCGCTGAGGGACTTCATCGACGAGCTTCAACGAGGCTCGCCAGCGATTGACTCGATCAACGACCAATTTCGTCACGCCGCCTCAAGGCTTATTGTCGCTTCCTTTTACGAAAGCCGTGTGACCAAGATTGGAGGCTTGGGCGTCATGGTGGTCCCCAAAGAATCTGCTATACTTGGCTGGCAATTCGAACATTTTGTGAAACTGAAAGCCAAACATCATGGCGTTTGCAAATATGAAAGCCGGGATGATGCCAACTATGTGACCGTACGGAATACATTGGCGGCTTTTGTTGCCGACCTCCGGCCAAAAGGTATGGAGTTCGCTAATACACTAATTACAGAGGAGTCCAAGATGGAAAAGTTCCTAGCAGTTACTCCTACCTTTCAGGAAGATTTCCTTTATTTTCATTCTCGATGGTTTGAAGGCACATGCTCGTGGATCTTTGAAGAGGAACCCATGAAGGACTAGTTAGAGGAGGGTCGTGACTTGACCCTCATCCACCTCAACATGCCACCTGCCAGTGGAAAATCCGTGATATCTGCATACCTCATCGAGAGGCTCCGATCGATAGGCTATCCATGTCATTACTACTTCTTCAGGGCCGGAGATCAACTAAAAGAGTCGGTCAGCATCTTCTTACGGACGATGGCGTTGCAGCTGGTCATTGATGTCCCAGCCTTCCGAGCCAGCCTCACAGACCTAGCTGATTACCGTTTGAATTTGTCAATTTCTAGCACTTCAGATGTTTTCCGGGCACTGTTTGAAGCTACGTGTCCGGGAATCAGGCTCCCTGGTCCTCTTTTCTGGGTAATAGACGGCTTGAATGAATCCGAGTTCCCTCAAGCTGTACTTCAGTATATCTCTCGATTGAGAGAATTGATGCCTATGATCAGGATATTTGTGACTAGCAGAGGGCCTGACAATTTCATTGCTGATGGTAACAAAGCATCTGAAGTGTTGGGAACATTATGCACGCATGGTACAGCGACCCCTACTCAACGTGATATTCGATACTACGTGGAACGGACGATTGAAAAAATGGACGGCACGCCTACAATGAAGGAACGAATTCTGTTAGAGATCCTCAATCAGGCCCATGAAAGCTTTCTCTGGGTGCATTTGGTCCTCGACGAAATTCAGGCATGCCACACCGAGGAAGCGATCCTTGAAAAGGTGCAACAACTCCCCCAAAAAATGAATCAGCTATATGAGCGGTTGGAGGATGCAATATTGGCCTCTCCTCGCCTTGAAGATAGGCATCTTGCACGAACGTTTCTGCAGTGGACAGTCTGTGCACAACAAACTATGACCCTGGACGAAATGGATCAAGCGTTGAAGTTGAAAGTCGTGGATATACGCAAGGCTATCCTGCGTGTACGTGGACAGTTCATTACGGTTGATCCATCTGGAGGCGTGAGGTTGATCCATCAAACCGCCCGGGAATACCTTATGCACTCCAAGAGCGAGATTGCGGTTGATTTGAAGAAGAGCCACAGTATGCTTTTGGAAACTAGTATAACAGCCCTGTGTGCGCCCGGCCTTCAGTCCAAAGTAAGCAAAGAAGAAAATGCGCTGCGACGATCCGAGCCTTTCCTTGTGTATGCGGCTACTTCGTGGACTTTTCACCTTCAGAATTCCGAATGGATGAGTGATGAAACGCTAGATCTTCTCTGCACCTTCTTCAAAAGCCGATCGGTTCTTGTTTGGATCCATATTCTCGGTCTCGTGGATCGTCAGGATATATTGGTTAAAGCGGCCGGTGTGCTGTCGCGTTACGTCAAAACTTGTCGACGCCTTAGCACATCAGAAAACCCAATACTATTACACAAACTTGCCGACGTGAACTATCTTGATAAATGGGGCGTGGACTTAGCTAAGGTTATAGGCAAGTTTGGCAGGCATTTGTCATCACACCCAACATCTATATATAACCTTGTCCCACCATTCTGTCCCTCTGACTCCATTATCCATCAGCAGTTCTACAAGGAAGAGTCAGCCGATGTGATTGTCCAAGGGGCCTCACAAAAAGAATGGAGCGATAATCTGGTCCAGATACCGTTGCCACAAGACGAGAGAGGTATAAAATTATCATGCTCTACTCGATACATTGCCGTATTATCTATCTCAGGGACGACTTTCGTGTGGGATAATATTTCATTCAGGCTCGTTTGCACTTTGCGACATCAAGAAGCTGTGACGGCAATGTCCTTCAATCGACGGGGAGAGAAGATCATAACCTTCGGACTACAGACTACCAAGCTGTGGTCAATTCCAACTGGAGATGTGTGGGTCACCATCATCAATCCTGTGGACAGCAGAGCACTGGCAATCGCTTTTGGGGAAGCGGATGATAGGGTTTTTGTAGCCTGCACCAATCGCCAGATACACTGTCTCAACCTTACAGATCCCACTACTGGATGGAACCTTCTCAGTCACGAATTGCTCCGCGAGACGCCCGAAATTGATGGCACTGTTGTGAACTCCCCGGTGTGCGTCGCATTCAATGGAAATGCAACCCAGGTTGGAGTGTCATATCGTGGGTTCCCACTCTCGGTCTGGGACTTGGGCGAAATGAAATGCATCAAGCGATGTAAGCGGCCCACGGGCGCCCAACCGGACGCCCTCCGCCGGCCGATTGGTTGGTTTGCCGTGGATAGACTTACCTGGAACCCTAATACAGGCCATATCGTCGGCCTGTACAAAGATGGCACAGTTTTCAAGTGGCATCCGCTGACAAATGAGTATCAGGAAGCCGCGTGTATAGCAGATGAAGTTGCTGTAAGCCTGGATGGACGCTTTTTCCTCACGAGCAGCAGCAACGGGGCCGTGAGAGTGTGGAACTTTGCCTTACTCAACGTAATATTTCAGCTTTCGTTGGGTGACCTGGTTAGCGAACTGGCCTTTAGCTCAGATAACAGCACGTTCTACGACATTCGGTGGTCATCGCTGAATGTCTGGCAGCCTAACAGCATGCTGCGCCTTTTGGAGGAAGATGAGTCATTCAGCAATACATCCGGCGAATACCATCAACATGTGTCCACGTGTCATGTATCTGAAACATGTTCTGTCCCTTATGCAGCGGTGTCTGTGGTTGAGACCGCAGCAGGGGCCAGTACCTCATTCTGCTTTGGGAACGATGAAGGGGTTGTCTCTCTGTTCGACGCTTACTCGGGTAAGCTGGCTGAGATTATTCGCTTTCCGAATTCTACCAGCGTGAGCTGCCTAGGATGGAGCAACAGCTCCACGCATCTGGCATGCGCCGACCTAACCGGAGAGGTTGCGGTACATTACATTGCTGGGACTTGTCCCACAGTTCAAGTTCACTCCCGACCAATGCCACAAATTACCAAAGAAACCAGCAGCATCCATGACTTGATTTTCAACCAGGATTGCTCTCTCTTACTGGTTATCTCGGGGCTGACTGGCTATATTTGCTCCGTTGAGGACGGCACTGTTATCAGTACTCGAACTCTAGCTCGGGATGGCTATCGAAAGTGGATCGGCCATGCTGCAGAGCCAGCAATCCTCCTTGCGATTGGACCTGATGAGACCACCGCTTATCTGTGGGCAGACTTTTCCATGGTCACTAATTGGCCATACAACTATGAGGCTAAACCGTCGGAACCCATAGCTGAGCAGCGACAGATCTGGGCGTCGCCTGTCATGGGCTGTGCGATGATTGCTCAGGATCGCCGACATGCTCTTGTGCATCGGCCAGAGTGTGATATCATCGTCGACCTGGCAACTCTGGAACTAGTGAACGGGCATCCTACGCGCTCGTACCTACTCGCCCATCGCGTACCTTTTGAGATCTCCAGTCAGATCTACATCCCCCTGGGGATACTTCCGGGGTTGCGATTAGTCTTTTTTGATGAAGACTTATGGATTTGCACCTATTCGCTGCTGACCCCGCCTCGGGGAGGAACCCTTGAGCGCCAATTCTTCGTCCCCCGCGACTGGGCCAACACGGTGACTCTAAAGCAGTGTCGGATCCTCCAGGACGGCACTCTTCTCTGTCCCCGAGAAGGTGGAGTTGCCGTGATTATGACGGGATTGCTTTCGGGATTTTAGAATAGCGACAGAACCGATGGAGCCTTTACGACTGGTTCAAGCAAGAAGTGTTGTATCGATCATCTTCGATATTGCCTCATCCATCGTTGGCAATCTGGCAGTCGTAGAGAAACCGGAGTGAAAAAAATGATGAATTGTGGTTGGAATTGGTTTTCCGATAAACCTATCACCTCTCACTGCTACTGTGTACTTTTACTGTTCCACAAGCCACTAATTCCATTCGATCTATAGTATAACGCTTTGTTAAGGATTTGACAGCTCCAGCCCAGCCCAGCCCAGCGGTGGCGGCTGTGATCATTGTACGGTGTGGGATGGCAGCTACAACTGTCACTATCATGCTGCAGATACTGACGGCGGCCAGACAAAGAATGGTATTATACCAATATAGGCATGTGGAGCAAAGATTTGGGCGGAATAGCTTTCGATTATGCTAGGGCCGTCGGTGTGTAGGGCCTGGTTGTCTACTTATCCAAGCTTGATGCCGTAACTGCCGGCAGATGGGTTTCTCTTCCAGCTCATTCTTGCTTTACATATCGTTCTTCCCCCTGACACTTTACTCCAACAGACCAGCAAGCTTGGAAGTTGGCCCGTCATGTTTCAGTCAAGTATCTTTTCTTCTGGTTGTTGGGTGATATGTGCCCATAGTGATCACTGTCACTTCCCTGTTGCTTCTTCCTCTCGCTCGCCCCTTCCAGTACGAGTTTCTCTTCCTCACCTACAACCCCTGACCTACTTTCCTTTCAGGTATCTAGCATTCAAGATTAATCACATCTTTATGATCATGAGCCCAATCAGTCCTTTCAGATTCTTTACAATCCGGTTTTGTTAGCCGCCTGAAAAGCATATGTCTTCGAATATTGAACTTAGGAAGAACATTCGACGCATGATGAAGAGAAAGATCTCATTCCACGATATGTCTTCGGATGAAGACAGCAGCTCCGATAGTTCTGAGCCTCTAATGAAAAAAAAAAAGGCGTCAAAGACTTCCATTGGAACACACAATACCCCCGAGTTCCGCAAAGAAATAGCGCCAGATACCATTGTTCATAACCTGGGTGAAGAGTCCATAAAAGTGCAGCTTCAGGGTCCGGCTACCGCTCTAGCTCTGAGTCCAGATGATAGATTAATTGCAGTCGCTGTTGGGGGGGAGATCCACATTTATTATTGGTCAGGGGCCGCCTCCAAAGGCACCGAAATAGTGCACAAGCATTTAGGGACCATGAAGGAACTTGTATTTGCGCCGAACTTGACTGTTAGTGGAGGATATCTGCTCGTTTCTTCAGCGGATTGCGTGAAAGTATGGGATATTGATAATGAAGGGAGAGTGCTGGATCCCGCGGGTGGTTTCAGGGTTGACCCTGCCAAGCTGTCGACTGAAGCTGCTGGAGACTTAGTCGCCAAGCTTGTTCATGATCATGGATTGGAGAAAGATGAAGATGCATGCTTGTCAATCGATGGGGATCTCAGAGAACTTTTGAGCAAAGCTGTTGACAAGCACACCCATGAACATCAGATCGTATTGAAAGGAAACATGGCGATCTTCAGTCCGGATGGAAAATTCATGATATGCATCACCAGGGACAAAAAGTTCGAAAAGCAGGTAGATCTTGGGCCCTCCCCAAATATAATCACTTGGGATGACGAAAAAAGGGAGTCTCAACGCGAGCTACCTGGTCATTCTGGCGGGGTTCGATGGGCAGCCGTGAGCCCAGATTCTAAATCAATTGCATCTGTCGAACGCGATGACAAAGTTCGAATATGGAACGCTGCCAGCGGTACATGTGACTACATCCTTGATTTGTCTGGCGAAACGGTTTTGCGTGGTGCTTTATCACCCAATCCTAAGCACATCGCGTTGATCACCACAACCGGCCTTTTTGTCTATGAGATCACGACGGGAAACCACACTATCCTATGGAAATTACCCAACCCTACTATCACGTTTGTTACTTGGAGTCCGAACGGAAGGCTCATAGCAACATTGAGTGCAGACGGGTTCGGTTTGAGAAATGCTATCACGGGGGTGCAAAGGATGCAGCATCCGGGCCCTGTTTTGAGAAATAAAGAGAAATTTCCTATTCCTTTACACATGAGCTTTGTTGATGAAGGGAAGAGGTTCATGTTCAACTGTCCCATTGACATGGCTACCGTGGTTTACGATTTCATGTCGCTTGTCAGGCATAAGTTTCCAAGGGAGATTTCAGGCACCGTAGGACCAGTTTGCTCCAAAGATGCCACCGTTTTCCTCAATATTGATAATGGTCAGACTTTGAGACTCTGGACTTTTGATTAGGGAAGTGAGCTGTGTTGCTATACCGTCCAGGACACTGCTGGCAAATCCTGTACCTGACTAGCCTATGAAACATGCTAAAGTATATTAATCTCTCTGCATGCAGTCTTTTTGAGCAACCTGAAGATTTATTGTCCGGACAGCCGGTTGGTCAGTAGGCGAGCGCGTCACGTGCCTTGTCACATTGGCCACTGTGTTGTTGTCCTTTTCATCCCGTGTAGCAGAAGCCTTCTAGCTAGTTAATCAATATTATTCATTTTTTCTAGCTTCATGTTCTAACAGATTATAAACCTGGCTTTTTACTGTAAAATATTACTATATTTATTATTAAATATTATTTAAAGTAGTTTTACAAAATTTCAAGTTATTAAAATTTTTATAATATTTTTATAGAGTCGCGACTATAGAAATATTAAAATCTTTTTTTATAATATTAAGAATTCTGATTTTGGTTATATTTATAATTTATAACTAACCACTCCATACTGACTACTAATTAAAAACCAATTTAAGTTAAAAAAGTGTCAAACCCTAGGATCGCTTCTCCCTGTTCCTGTTAGCTTAGCTTTGCCGATGTACGTACCTTCGAACTGAATCGAGGTAGAGTCGGACTGATGACTATCTAAAGGTGACTGGTCCTGAACAAGAGAAGAGAAGTAAGGCCAGATAATGTCGCGCAGCTATCCGTAAGTAAGTGCGGACGAGTGTTGTCGCTAAGCTTCTAAACGTATGGTTACTTAAAGACGATTGTATTGAGCACGAAGAACAGAACTAGCTAAGTATATGAAAGAGTGTTCTTATATCCTATCCTTCATATACCATATTATATACCATTCAGGGTAGATCAAGGGTCGATCCAATCACATTCCCGGATCCCAGTATACCTCCCGTATATCCTCAATAGTAGATTCGATGGTAGATGGTCACGTGACACAGCGCCGCTCCGGACGTTACTCAGACCAGGATTCTACTCGATAAGAGTTGCTGGTTGTCCGAGTCCTGCCTTGTTGCCACTTTTCTGCCTAACCAGTCCGCTTCGCTAATAACCTGGCTAGCAGGGGTCTGTAACAATCTGATGATAGATAGTCACGTGATATAATGCTGCTCCAGATATTACTCAGACCAGGATTCTGCTTGATAAGAGTTGCTGGTTATCTGAGTCCTGCCTTATTATAGCTTTTCTGTCTAATAAGTCCGCTCTGCTAGTAACCTGGCTAGCAGGGGTCTGTAACATCACTCCTCCTTCTTCAAGGTTTCTTATCCTTAAGAGATATAAAGGTGTGTATCCCTCCTACATGTCAGTTAAGTTTTTCCAGTCTTCTTTTCCCCATGATGGGCCAATATGTCTTATTATCATGCTAATCATGATCGGGTAAAGAAGCGTATTCACCAGTCTAATAAGATTTATAAAAGCAGTTTTATTATTAAGAGTTTCTACAAACATTATTTTCTGAAAGATATTTCTTATATTATAGATTTAAAGAGTTAAAACTGTACTGCCTGTACTTATCATAGTTAGAAATATAAAAAATAATTTTACAGTGATAAGGAGTGGAATAAGTTAAAATAAAATTAATTAGATATATAAAGTAAACTTGTTAAAACCCTTGCTGAACAGGCCTGTATTGTTGCCAAAGTGGCTTATTTATTTAAATAATAATAGTTTCTAAAAGATCATGATAAGCAGATATTAGATTATGACTCAAATATATTAAAGCAGTTAGATAAGAAAGATCCTCCAAGTACTAAGGATCTCCGGGAGCTGGAGTACCTAACTGATAAGCATGATACTGCTTAATTTACTGCTGTGTTAGACAATTCTAGCCTGACTTAGTTAATTAGTTCTTCTTTCTTCTAGATAAACTTTAACCTGTTTATTAATAATACTGCTCTACAAGCTGGTAACAGCTTGTTAAATTCTTAATAAGTTTCCATATATTTTCTAAGATATTATATCTTTCTTATTTTATTAAGTATTATAATCTATTACTAATCTTTCTATAGTCTAGAATCTTTTTAACTTTATATTCTTATTCTGTGTTATTATCAATCTCTACATTTTCTGTGATTCTAGCGTTTTTTAGTACAGGTTCTAATAATAAGATATAAAACACTGGATGAATTTTGCTTATTAATCTTAATAATCTTAATTTATAATTGACCAGTTCTTTCTTATCTTTAATAACAAATAGTCCTAGCTTGTAATAGTCTGTTACGGACCCCTGCTAGCTGAACGACTAGTGAGGCGGACACGTCAGGCAGAAGACTACGTCCGGACAGATGAAGACTCTTATCGAGTAGAGTCCCGATCTGAGTAACCGATAACCGGAGCCGTTACACGGCACGTGACCATGATGGACATATCACCAATAAGCTATAACATATCAACACTACAACAGGACGTATCAATGCTACAACAGGACGTATCAGCACTACAACAGGACATATCAGCGCTACAACAGAACATATCAGTACTACAACATGGCATAGCGATGCTACGACGAAGAATAGGATATAAAAACACTCTTTCATATACTTAATTAATTCTGTTCTTTATGCTTAATTCATATTATCTTTAAGTATCATATGTTTTAGTAAAGCTTAGCAACAATACTCATCCACACTTACTTACGGATAGCTGCGCGGCACTATCTAGCCTTACTTCTCTTCTCTTATTCAAAACCAATCATCTCTTAGATAGTCATCAGCCTGACTTACCTTGATTCAGTTCACAAGTACGTATTGAAACAGGAGCTAAGCTAACAGGAACAGAGAAAAGTAATCCTAGGATTTGATATATTAAGCACCAGTCAGTACGAGTATTATCCAGTGATAACTATTCATTATATTAACTATATTAAACTCATCGCGCGCTCTATAGCAGCAAGGCCTGATAATACAAGAACTGATGGGTATGGTTAATCAGTTATAAGAAAGTATTATTGCTTTAGAATAATAAAATCAGTTACTCGAAGATTGCTTAATAATTAAGTCTGTTAAGATCTGACTATCCGAGTTATTTAACAGTAATTGAGCGAAGCTCAGGGCTTTCTTAACCCAGTTAGACTTGTATCTCAGCATAAATAAAGAAAGACTTAAGAATAAGATTAATAAGATTCTTTTTATGTCTATCTACCTGACCGGATTAGTATTTAATTAATTTGAACCATATATCTGTAAGTATCAAGAAAAGTTAATAAATAATCAGGATAATAATATGAAGCAAATCTTTACTAGTTATACCAGATTTAAGCAGTATCTTGAACAGATATTTAAAGATATTAATATAACACAGAATACTAAGTAAAAGTTGTGATAACTTAAGTAGACTGGATTAATATTTAAGTATACTTCAGAGTTTTTACAAGTTATCAGTTACTTAGATTAGGATGATAATGCCTATATCATATGATTTAAAGAAGAACTCAAGATAGAGATCCAAGAGAAACTCATCTAGTAAGAACAATTAAACATATTGTTAAAGATGATTGAAGCAGTAGTCAAGATTGATAACAAGTTATACAAATATAATATAAAATGATGAGAAGGTTGATAAACCAGCGGGTCTATACCTTGATAAAATAGCTAATCAGGTTACCGAGCCAATAACAGAAGGTTAGCATAATCTAGAAGCTTGGGATACAAAGATCTTTACAGACTGAAACCAATGGAGCTGGATGCAGCACAGCATCAGACTCAACAGACTCAAGTGTCTAAGGAGGAACTCGAACAGTATAAATAAGACCGCTTGTGCTTTAGCTGCAGCAAAGCAGGTCATTAATTAAAAAACTACAGTCAGAAACAGCCTCAGAAGCAGTTAAGAACTATGAACCAAGATTAAGACAGAGGAGCCTATAATATTATCACCATTCAGCACAAAGTTTGGACAGAATCCGTAACACGAACACTAGATAATAAGAAACTATATATTATTTAATATAATCAGCTATCAGAAAACAAAATATATTATGACTAGTTAAGATAACAGATCATTACAGATAAGCCAACAGTACTACTAAGTTAATAAGAGAATCAATAATTATCTGTATTATTAGTTTAGACTATAAAAGTTAATAATAACAGTTATAAGCCAGTTCCGAGGAGCAACTATCCTAGTATAGTTTAAGATAAATTTAAACTATTAAACAAAAAATATAATATTTTATTTAAAGATCTTAAATCCAGTAAAAAAAGATTTAGCAAGATATTTAATACTCTAGAAAAACCTTTATTAGAAATTAATAAATCTTATCTATTACAGTAAGACGAGGATAAGAAAAACTAAAAGAATAATAAAAAAGATATTATTTATTAATTAGACTATATCTTAAAAGAGATCTCAAAAAATCCAGTATGATTTTATCCAGAACTTAAGATAATTATACAGCATTACCCATATTAAGATTTAAGATATTGAAAATCATAAAACAAGATTTAAAAACAATATTTACAGAGATATTCCTATTATCCAGAAGTTTGTTTAACATATAGATAAGATAATATAGATTATTATTACTAATTATCAGAGATTAACCAGAAGGTAAATATTACCAGAACAAAATCTTGATATAATAAACCATATTTATATATTTATTTCAAAGAAAGCAAGGATTATTAAAAACATAATAAACTTTCTTAACTTATATGCTATACAAATATATACTTAACATATTATAATTAAAAGTATATTATTAATTACTGATCCAGAATACTGAAAGTAATAAAGACTAAAATAAATTATTATCTATATCTAAACTATGGCTGTGTATGCAAAGAATATTAATAATACTTTTATTATAGATTAATATATTAGTTAACATATTTCAATAATTAATATATAATATACTACATAATAAAGATAAAAGATTTAAGATTTTCAAGAAGATACCCACAGTAATTAAAACCTAACTAACTAGAATAGTAATTAGTAATCACTAAATCAGGACCACATCTGAAGATTTAAACAATTATATTAAATTAATAAACCCAAGTATTAATAAATT